TCATAGTTATCTGAAGGTGTCTTCCTCACTACATAGTCTGGAGATCTTAGTTTCGGTTCCATATTGTGTTGTATAGATGATCACAGCTGAAAAGTTCGAAACAAAATAATCAACTTCTCATCACTCTCTTGTTTCAATAAATTATTTAACTCTAACATTCTTATTCGATAGTTGTGTTAGATCCTTACTATTATTGGGGTTAAAACTTAACCTGTATTATCCCTACAAAAAAGATCATAACTTTTAGTTCAAGCTCTATATCTTATTCAATTACTCCATATGATTATGTTTATGAATACTAACAAACCCAAATCATGCAACTTACTTCATTCTAGTCTTGGATACTGTTTTTCGATTTTCATTTTTATATATTATGTACATCAATTTCATAAAATTCTATATACAAAGTTCAATATATTACTTTATATACAGAGTAGTATCATATTGAATATTTTCGAATATTATTTTTGGTCAACATTTCCACTCTGAAGCGTTTAACAGCATATAAGTATGCCATTTATAATGGAAAGCGTTAATCATCTCATCTGTTTCGATATTGATCACTACATTGGTTGTCAATCTGAAGCTTAACATGTTATTACACATTATGTCTATATCTAGATTATCTAATTTGAATTAGAGACAGACTGTAATTTACTTCGCTAAGCATCGATCAATCATTCTTTCTTGTGAATAATCTATTAAATCATTTGACTCTATGTACAATAATTTCTAAAGAAAATAGTTTTTCACTCTATTTTTTTTTTCATACACGTTTATATCAATCACTACAATTCCCGCTTTAAAAAGATCAATAAGAAAAACCTTGTAAATGTTCTCCTTTTTTTTTACATTCGCTGTAAAAATTTCGGTATCATAGTCGAAATTTCACAAATCAGATGTGCACATGTTGTTTTCCAGATGATTTTACCGTTTTTTGTGTGAGCTATGAAAAATGAAATTTGAAATTCCGATATTGTATCGTTTTTCTTTTCGTGAGTGTGTGTGCATGTGCATTTGTTAATGAATCATCTCTTTTTAAATAATCTCTTATTCTGAAAAAAAAACTGAACAATAAGACTAGTTTATCTGCTAGTAACAATATTGGTGGATATTTATATGAGATGGTGAACTGTTCCACACCAGATGATAACATTGTGTATACTATAAATTTTATTTGTAAATTTTACGTTAACATTTGTGTTCTCGTTTCAGTTTTTTTCTTTATCTTAAAATATATATTTTGTGTTTCAATTCATAATTTCTCTAACGTCAGATAAGCTGCGTTGGGATGAACTATTTGAAAAAACTAAGTTGAATCGATAAATTAATGATCCAAACACTCAGTTATTAATCAATAGATTTTAGGTTCTAACCATTCTTCTCTACTATACAGTTGTAGTAGCCCAGTAGTATTATTAACCTTCACACAAAATATCCCCCCAAAAATGAACTTGCATTCGGCAAATATTTAACATTACCTACCTATTGATTTTTATCGACACTGAGAAAAGTTTGATATTAATTAGCTCATCTTCCTTATTCATGTAGATACCAAATGACTAAAATTATCGGGCTAAAGTGATTTCTTGCTGTAAATTCATTCCATGAAATTATTTACAATGATTTGTTGTTTATACTTATATGTACTACTTTTTTCACGATTGTTTGTCACAATTATCATATTTGAAAATAAACTAGTTTTAAGTCATGCTTGTATATACTACACTATTATATACATGATTTCTACTATTCCAATGGTTTATGAATAATGAAAGAAAGAAAGAATAGTGATACAAGAGATTCTGGTCATTATTAGTTACGTTTCACAAGTTAATTTAATTTCAATAACATCTTTTAACGAAAGATTTAATTATTTTGTATCTTCGTGTTTTTTCCGTTGTGATACCTCAATAAATTAAACACCCTTACACAACACATTATATATGCGTGTATATTATTGCTAAGATTCTAACCCCCATATCTCCCACTAAAAGTAGTTCCGAGTGATGTCACTAGCTCTCATGCAACTTAATTGGTAGCGTAAAACCGATTACATAAACATGTAGGTGAGTAATTACATTATTATTATATTGAGGTTATTATGAAAATGATTGTAATTGATTATAGCATAGCTTAGTAGTTAGCTGTTGTTAGTAGTATTATTGCAGTTAAAATAAGTTGGTTTCACTCATGCATGCTTTTCATAAGATGGAACACGGTTTAGTACTTACTGGTTGGTAGAATTCTTGCAATGCAATAACTATGTCCTAAGTGGATTATGTTTTATGATCACTATATTTTTTTTTACCATAGTAATAAACAACTATCTATCCCTCCTGTCTGCGATCATAACACATTATTACTATTTTTGGTTAGTTAACTTTGTAAATTGTTATAAAATATTCATATTTCGTGATTTATTCATGTGAAAATTCATATTCAGTATGATTTAAAGTTTAAGGAATTAATGACAACAGATGAATAATACTTTCTTTTGTATCTTCACATATAAACTTGGTTTGAATATCATTAAATTTATTTATATATATGATAAATAATTTAAATGTCAGTTAATGCTGGAAATTACATTTATGGATGTGGTTGCTTTTTTACTGAATTCTAGCCCCAAGCACATATGTCGTATGTAACGGCAATTTAGATTCGTTGAAGTTATTCTTTTTGTATTGTGACTGGTAGTTATACATTTGGCTTTCCTTGGATAGCACTGTTGAGATATCCACACTAAAACTCGAATACAAGAGTCATCGCTTCAAATATGATATCATCTGTTCAACGCTTCTTGACTTTGACTGGTTGACTAACTAAACGTAAATAGTGGCTCTCTAATTATGACGTTAAAGGTTCCAACTCCACTCCACCTACTTTAGTTTGGCAAACCGATTAGCATCAACACTTTTCATGCCTAGAATGTGAATGAAAGCTAGGTGACAAATATGTACTTTATAAATGAGTTGAATTAAATTTAAAATAAGAGTGAGTTTGCGATGTAATTTGTTAAGACAGTATCTTATTGTTCATGATTTACACATATGTTTAGTCGAAACTGAAATAGTTATCAACGAAAGATGATAAACTGTGCTTGTTTAGCTTTTTTAGTATTATTTTCTATTGAACATTGATATTTTTTACGTGATTGGTAGTGATTTTCAGGGTCATTTGATGCCCCCTTCATCTTGTCAGTTGTTAAGTTGCTTAAAGAAATGCTTTTCTGTACTTGACGTTTCTACGCGGTTACTGTTTGCTAGCTTTTCTGCAAGCGATTTATTTTGGTTTTTTTTCAGTGAAGAAAAACAAAATGATGCAACTTCTTACATAATAACAGCAGTCGTCCTTTCGTTATCGTTTATTATTATTATTATTATTATTATTATTATTATTATTATTATTATTATTATTATTATCCGCGTGTAATATAATTTCAGTTTAATCTATTTAATCAATGTAATGGTTCGTCGTTTGAACAGTGAAAAAAACAACAAATGAGTAATTGTGTTACTCAGTTAATTTTTGTGTGTGTGTTTTAATTCTTTGACCGTTAGCAGTTAAAATGTTATCTTTTAGTTTTTAATCTTTTGTTTCACATTTTTGTGCAGTATATATATGTTTCATTTTTTCATCACTGTATGGGTTTCCAATCATTTGTTTTAATTGTTATCATAATCCATTAATAACTTCAATACTTAAAATATTCATTTCAATTTGTCGTTGAATGTTGGCTTTGTTGTTAATGAATTCAAGTTTCAACAATGAGACTGTCGATTCGGCTCCCCTACCACAGTCTAATTCAATTACATTGGATTATGTATTTGAATAAGAAATGAGGTTCAAAGTCCACCGAGAAATCTTATATTTAATTACTAAGGTACATTAGTTAATTATTTAATTATGTCTAGAAAATGTCAGTGTCTTCAGTTCTAATAAAGTAGTTGTAGTAAATGCAAAATGATTGTTTTACTGTTGAAGTCCCAAATTAAAATGAAATAGCTATCCAGTACTCCTTGATTTCATAATAGATTGAAATAGAAATCTACTTGTAATTTGTCAAATATGAAAAAAATATCAAAATTCAAGGTTATTTTTGTAGAAAAAATTATAAGTCTACCATAGAATTCACAGGTTTTTCATTATTTGACTAGCGAATTAATTTAAAAATTAAATATTATCGGTTATTTATTCTCTGAAGAAGTGGCTTACACCAAGTCACGAAACGTCAGAAAATCTAATTTTTCTACTCATTGGGATGTTACAAATATATTATTTATTTATTTATAACAATCTACCCAATGTTCAATTTATTCGAAATTATCAAATCAAACCTAGGTTATGATACCTAGTTTGAAAATTATTGACCTACTGCACTATACCCGATGCTGAAGCATAAACGAGAACCTTATTATTACTGAACGGGACCACTTGGAATTCTCTCTCCTTCTGTACATATGGACTTGTACAAATGACTTTATTCGTGTTATCATTTGCACTGACTTTCATTTTGAATAGTTATCCCATTTTATTCCCCTTATAACTTATTCTTAATTTCACATTATTTCCTGCAAGACCCACCATCTACTCCTGAAGAAATTGTAATGTAACAAGCTTAACTTATCAGTATTTTTATCAATTATTTTATGACCCAGGTTTTTTTTACAATAAACTGTTAAGTGTTTCAGTCATTTAATTACTATAATCATTGGATTGAATTGTTTCATGTTTATGTGATACATTTGACTTAGGTAAAACGATTCTCTCGTTCCATCTAATGCGTAAGTTTCGTGGGATATTTGCCACAAATTTTTGGCTATTTCACAGTTTATTGCGTGCTTGATCGCTTTTCGTTTATTTGTTTTCTCCATGGCTATTTGTTTGTCTACTTTTAGATTGATTTCAATTCTTCAGTTAAAAATGATTCATTAAAAAAAGACATCTACCTATTGCATTTCTTTACTCTTTTCTCGTTTTCTTTCTTTGTTTATCAGCGTAATTGTTGGGTTCAAGATTTATTTTTGGATTTACGTAATGGTTACTTACTAGTACGTTTATTGGAGTGTTTAACGAATGAAGTATTGGTAAGTTGAATATGATAAATCAAGTACTCTTCAATTTAATCAGTACATTGTTTACTAACTCCCACCATAGTTCTTTTGTTTCACCAAGGACTACAATTTTTTCCAGTTTATTGTTCGTACTCCAATTTACAGTTTAGGTAATACAACACTCAACGATTAAGTCATTGGTCTGCGTAATTTGTTCTGAGTTGCACTGCTTAACTGCGAATATTTACCCAGTTCGTTTAAATTGCAATTCGATAAAAAAGTTTATCTCGTTAGTGAGATTCTTGTTTTAGACGCTCTAAAGAATTTACATTTTACTAAAACGATCTACTGTTCAAAATCCAGTCTATACGAGTCAGTCAAAGAGTAACTCAAAAGTAACTTTTCTGGCCATGATACTTAGTTTTGTATATTTGACAAATATGGTTTTAAATTCTGCAGGTAATCTCAACGTCTAGTCCTTCCTGTCAATGTTCTCCAACTATTCTTCTGCATTCCAAGCTATTGATTTCATTCAATACTTTTCTGGTGTCTAACATATGGTATATGAGTTAAAACCATGTGATACTTCGTGCATCACTAAAATAATAACATACATAAGTTCTAGCTAACCATGGTTTCTCTCTACAGTTAAAAAGAATTTAAACTAATAAATATATAGATCAGCAAATTTTAAATACTGGTTGTTTAACTAACATAATTACTATTTATTATTTATTTATTTGAACACGTAAATATTAGTACAAAGAGACACCGAATACATGTGCGCCACACAATCCACCTGATTTGTGTGTGGGCTGTGATACTGCCCGGGTTCCCAGAGAGAAGCAGGTGGTTTACTTAGAGGGGGACTCACTCGGATTTTTTGACCTAAATATCTGATCCATAAGGCAGTGAAGCGACGTCAGGAGATGCGGTCCCATGGTAGCCAGTGACCAATAATTCGTTTATACACAATTTGTTCCTTCGGAATCCTGGAGCCCATGTGCACCATTGGTTTGGGATGAGGGTTTTCAAACTCCCTTAGGTGGATCCTCCATATCCACCAACCCGATTATAGCACTAAACATTCGCTTTTCGTTCTCTCAGTTTCGTAAACAACAGTGATGCCACGAGAAGGTAGTCGCTTGAACTTCCCTGACAGCGGCTGTATACGCATGGTCATGTGATAGCATTTGGAGAGAGAGAGTTAACTCTCCCCACTCTCAGCCTTACCAGGGTATTTGGGGGTTGTTTTTTATAAAAAGGTATTTATTTAGGTCTAAACACTTACATGTTCAAATATATTTGGTATATGGCCTACAGTGAAATTCAAGATGCACGTTTGATCGTATTTGCAAAACATGTGAGTTGGATGTACTTGTATCCTAGTGTTGATGTTCACACTGAAATTAATTTCAACCAACGTTTTATACACTAAGCTAGTGAATTTAAATAACCCTAAACTTTTTCAACAAGTATGAATGCGTTAAAAAGTGTATATATTTTCGCGTTGTTGATATTTTCTACCACAATTAATTAGTTTCAGTTGTAGGATGTCCACCCCGATCCGGTTACCTCAATCATAGCCCTTTTATTAACGAGTTTTATTACATTTGATCAATTATAATTCTCATTATTAATAACAATATGAAAGCATAAAAACCCTACTCAGATTATTATCATTGGACTATTTATTATATGACACGATATAACTTCAAAATCGCTTAATTCTTAAGCTTATATATGAATATTGTATTACATTCAATAAAAATGAAACTGAAGTAACGACCATTCAAATGTAACTGGTTTTATGTTATAACTCATAAAGTTTTCTTTAGTATTCTCATTTCTAAATGGTCTTATAGCACATTAAGTAGTATATAACCTTTTTTACCTACAACATTATTTATCTTTTCTTAAGTGATAATTTTCACAACAAGAATAACAAAAAAGACGATAATGGTAATATTTCAATAATGAATGAACTTTCTGGTTTATATAAATATTTCTTCAACCACACAGTTGTTTTGTACTGATTAATTTATTAATTATTTTTATTTCATAGGGGCTTGAATACATTGAAAGTCGTGTCCATTGGATACAAAATATTCAACGTGTATTAGATTTTCTTCGATATCGTGGGGTAATTTTTTGCTCTATTTTAAATTTGCCCGTAAATTCCCTCCTCTATTTTTGATTTGTTCTTTCATTGTCAAATTAACAAAATGAGGAATACAAAAGTCAATATAAATGATACCAATGAAAGTGAAATACTCAACATATGAAATGTAATTTGTAGAGAAGTGATATACAAGTATAATGAAAGTTATAGGATAATATTTAATTTCACTATATAGGAGAGAATGAGATACATTTGTCTTGTTATTACTGTTTTGACATTAATCATTCATCTTCAGCACAAGAGAGCCAGTTGTAAATTAGGAAATTGGTTTCGCACTAGTTTAGTAATTCTCAGAAAGGTGCCCATAAGATATTTCGTTTTTTTCCTATTAGTTAATTGTATCGATATGATAAGATCGGAATGCATTTTAATTGAACTTTATAATCCATAGTATTATTAATTCGAAATTCTTGTCAACCTACTGCATTTAATGACACTATTTATTTATTTATTATTTTAACACATAGATGTTGGTACAAGGAGGCACCAAATACATATACGCTACATAAATCTCATTCGATATGTGTGAGGGCTGTGATACTGCCCGGGTGCCCAAACCGAAGCAGGTGGTTTTCTTAGGGGGCCACTCCCTGAGCCTTCGACCTGAAGGTCTGATCCACAAGGCAGTGGAGCATCGTAAGGAGATGCAGTCCCATGGAAGCCGGTGACCAACAATTGGTTCATACACCATTTGTTCCCGCAGGATACTGGAGCCCATGTGCACCATTGGTTTGGAATCCGGTTAAAGCACCGGACATTCACTTTTCGTCCTCTCGTTTTCGTAAACAACAGTGATGCCACGAGAAGGCAGTGAGTAGGACTTCCCTGGCAGAGGCTATATACGCGTGGCCATGTGAGGGCATTTCGAGAGGGAGAGCGGACTCTCCCCACTCTCGGCCATACCAGGGCATTTGGGGGCAGTTAATGACACCTCGTAAACTGATTGGAATACTGCGTTCAATATCTGTCGGCCTTCAGATTTAGTTTAAAAAAATAACGAACTTAGTTACAAGTTATCTCAAATCTTACTTTTCATTAATTCGCAAAAATGTCGTGTAGAATAGAATTCGGATATATATATATATATATATATATATATATATATATATAATATATATATATATATATATATATTTATATATATATATAGGTCGATTGGGTGTCTTCATTTATTTCAGTTTTTCTCTCTATCGCGATGGTAACACTATAACTCCAGTTATCATTCAACATTTCTCACTACTTTCTAGACATTCGAAGTATTCATTTCTCAGTCTATATTAATGGATATTTTTTGAAAATAGGTGGTAATAACATTCTATTTTAACTGGCAAAACATTAAATAAATTTTGTTGATTGTAATCGCTCGTTTGATTCACTATGACTAGTATAGATGAGTGGCAACTACTCACAAATCCAGATGATTGCCCTCAAAAAGCTCCCGGTGAACGGATATAAAAAATAAGTTATCGTTTGGCATTATTGATTTCTCTGATCAAGATGGTTTAATTGTGACGCTTTTACCGCCGTTAAAGACATCACTAACCTATACTTTATATAGAAGTTAGCTTCTTCATAGGTCCTGCCATTTTTATTTGTCTTTACATTCCTATTGACTTTTTGCTCGATTAACCTCTGACTATGTAGATGATTTAATTTTTTCGTATGAGCTGAATAATCAGATTTGTCTACTGATTGCTTATTGATCTAAGTGCTACATTCCTAGAAAGTATAATTTTTTTCATCCCAGAATCTTAAAGTTTTCGCAGTTGAATTAATGTCAATGGTTGTATCTGTGCATTGATATTAATGGTAATGCATCATGTCGTTTCAGTATCATTTCCTTCCGTTTACTAGTATATGAAGGTAGGGTCCAGTTTATTCAATGTACTATTTCTCACAATTAATACAATTAATTTTCTAGATAATGGTACATTTATCGTTGTTATATCTTTCGGTTTACTTAAAATTCAATGAAATAATTACATTGGTTTATGGATAATATTCACTCCATAGGGTTTCCAAATCCTAGTCGTGATTTTTTTGAATTTTATTAAACTTGATTATTGCATATTTGTGTTTCAATGAAACATGAGTCACTCCATATAACAAAGTGGTTTAGGTACACATAGAGTATTTCACACAAATAAACGTGTTTAAGTCATTTGAAATGTCAATGATTGTTAGATATGGGTTTTCTAGACCATTCATGAACCGAGAAAATTAAGTCGTAATTATTAGACTTATTTATTGCTCACCATATCACATTTATTAAAACATATCTTAACGGCATATTTTACATACGATTATACGGTTATATATATATATATATATATATATATATATATATATATATATATATGCATTTAATATAAGAATCATGTAAATGACCTAAGTTACTGAATAGAATTATAAACCTTTTTATCAAGTAGAATAGTTGAGATTCCTTTATATTTATTGTCTTTGATTATGTCATAAATCGTTTATAAAAGGTCTATTTTTCTTTTAGCTAGAAGTACAACATATTCTTAATCCATAAATGTTAATTTATATTTGTTAAGAGAATTGCACCAATAAGGGGTAGGTTATAAGTTCAATCCTTATTAATCCACTTACGTTACTTTAAGGAACTGAGCAATAGTATCTTTAACCTTAACATAAACTATATTTGTTCTAACCTGGGTTTATAAATATGTACTTGGTAAATAAGTTATACTAATATTATGAATTTGTTATAACTTGTGGTATTTTGGCCTATCAATATATGACGTAATGATACCGTCAATTCGAGAGCAGTGATTTATCAACCGGACCAATGACGCGTAAAACAGTACGAGCAGTCTAGAGTCTTTATCGTTTCTTCTTCCTGACTAGCCGTACCTATTAAGTCCAGAGCACCAATCTCAGCCTCCATGATGTGAATCATTTATTTCAAACATACTAAGCTTATATACAAACCAAATAGACCACGTCGTACCATAAAACAGAAAATAACATTTGTACAAGATCTATCCAAAAGTGGCTGTGAATGTGGGAGACTAATTAATAGACTGGACATAACTCAATCGTATAATAACAGTTTATAGGTCAAAGTAAAGCTTGTAATATGAGGAGTATAGATATACATAATCTAGATACTAAATAGTTATACATTAATAATAATAACATTTGCCCATAAATAGTTCTCGATAGCTACCATTCATAATTTTCGCGGGGATAAAACACTGTATCATACTCCTTAAATAACATCTCCAAACACTGATTTTCCCGATTACTGCTTATACTCTTATTACCCCTACCACTACGGGATTTGAATCGACCACTGCATCTCTGTGCTAATGTGGTGTGGCAACTCGAACTGACGTACGTACGAAGTTCTACGTTGTTACTGACTGACTGATATAAAAGAAAAAGTTTGAGTCAATGCAACAGTATTAAGAACAAAATTTACATATTATCTTTCAAATTTTGTAAACCTTATTGCTTACAGACTACTACTTTTTGATTATTTATCTTTTCCTATTTATTTGTCTTTTTTCGGTTTTACCACATATGTTGTCCTTCTATTATCATTAACTTATCTTTATCCATTTTTTCCATAAAAATTTATATAAGTGAGAGTCTTAATAAATACTTGATTTTTATTTAGTCCTTTAATTAGTGCAATCAATGTTAGAGCCTAGCGCTGATGTGGATTAGCCCAAATCGTCATACAATGAGATGAAAATAATAAGATAAATGATCTTAGTCAACAGAGATCTACAACCTGATCAACTGATCTCCCATCTTTGCCTAGTAGTACCCTGCATCTGACTTCCATATTGTTTACACGGTTGTTCAGAAAAACTTGAACAGTGCTTTGAAGACATCTACTTTCAAGAAAATGTAGCCTACGCATATAGTCTACTTTCAAAGAATAAGTTTTATGTTTAATTTTCTAGACAAATGCTATCAATTTTATATTATAAGCTTCTTTTACTATTTCATTATCATTTTAAAATTAACATGTTTTTGTATTCATTTTGTTTATGTATTATTATCTCCCATTTAATTATTTTTAAAAATCATAGATTCGCATAGTGAATATTCGTGCAGATGAAATCGTCGATGGTAATCCCAAGTTAACATTAGGCCTTATTTGGATTATAATTTTACATTTTCAAGTAAGTTTACTCTCAACTTCTATTCGTTATTGTAATAAGTTGTTCATTTTTTGCATGATAAATGCTATTTTTAGTGTTTCGTGGAAATTGGTTTACTTTGCAGGTTGTATTCCTTATGAATTGGTCTCAATTGGGTTGTCATCTGAAACCAGAGTGTATTGGATAAGTTTTTAGCCCTGGTACGGAACCTCTCGACAGTGGACACCAATCATGTATCCGGAGGTTTGACTCACGACATTTAAGCCTCACAACGAATGCTTAATTATTAGAACCAACCGTATAGCGTTCAGTTAAAGCCTAATAAGTTCCCAATCGTATATTTATCGTTTATTGTCTCACTAACAAATACGAGAATTTCATAGTGTATTGGTTTAAATTTTTGGTGTTTCAACCATCGTAACAATGGTGGACGGTGGCGCAACTTCGTGTATTGGTTGAAGTTAGATATTAACACCATTGGATGCCGGCTTAGTGATCTATAACTTAAGCGTTCGCGCGCGAGACCGATAGGTCCTGAGTTTGAATCTTACGAGGTGGGATCGTGGATGCGCACGGCCGTCCCGTGCCTCCAGGTTTTCCATGGTGGTCTAGCTTTAATCGATTCATGAATTCAACTATTAAATTACTATAATATCCCCAAAACCCCTCTCTGATAATTATTTATTTATTACCTGTGATGTTTTGTAGTAAATATTAATGGACTAATTCAAACATTCTACTAATTCAAGTTTATTACTCTATGGCTAGTAAGAACATGAGTGCTATAATTTTCCTGAAGTGCTAGTGAGAAGTTATGATTGTTCTAATTCAAACACATTGGGAGTGAATCAGTAGTTTCCAGTGGCAATAAATGACCATACATTATTGCAAATAGACTGAATTTAGCTATCCAAATCAATGGATGTCAATTTAGTAACCTGAAGGCCCTAAGTTCCTCCCCCTCATAGGAGTCGTAAATGTGTGCTATTGAAACGTCATATGCTAGGACGAAACAGCTATCTAATACTTTTTAATTTTCAAAGGTTTTGTAACAGGAATTAATTCGTGACAAAAATTCAGATAATATTCCAGTTTAAAGCATAATATGTTGCAATGTCTTTACACATACCCTTAATGTTAGTATAGGAGGAAAATTAGGAACAAGATAGAGAAGTCGTTTTTGGGAAAACCTTGGTGACTGAATGTAGTTTTTTCCGCCGCCGAAATTCAGTTTTTTTTCCAAATAAGTGTTAAATATGCTTACTTGTTAAAGTTTCTTGTAATATTTTGTTTAAAACCTTAATATGTATCTATGGTGGAAACAGTTCATATAAAAGACTCTCTACTTTTGTCACCACGACATCTTTGCTTGATAATACATCCGCTCTTAATATCTGGTCTTAGAAACAGTCTTTCTCTGTATCTGTATGAAACAGGATAAATTAGGACTGAAATACTATTGTAACAAGTTTTTTATTATCGATGGAAATCGAAGTTTTATCACGATGTAATACATTTCAAAAATCAGTGATTTACTTTTATCAGATGTGACAGTAACAAACATTTAAATTTCTATCAAGTTCCGTGCATACTTTAGTCGTTTTGTTTATGACAACCTTAAAGAGAAAAGTCTACTTAAATTAAATGAGTTGTTTAGTATTTTCTGTTTTAAATTAATTAGACATAAACAGTATTTTTCATCAGACATATGTTGACAGGTGCGTATAGTGTTTCTTTCATATAGAGTTAAACTACTTGATAGTAGTTTTTTTGATTTGGAGAAATCGTTTTCTTATTCAATCGACTAACTTTCTGTCTGAGAATTTAGTTTAATTGTTGCTTTTTTTTAGTAAGTTTTAATGTAAATTCCTTGTTTCGGACCTGTGTAATAAGCTATCATCTACAATTGAGTTTAGGATTCTTTTATACTTGTATCTATACTGTATCTATTTTTTTCCAATTTTTGACTTTCCATTGTAAATCAGTCTTGTTACACATTCCCTCTACTTTCTGAAAATTATTACAGGATTTACGCCAGTTTACAGGCATGATCAGTTTGATATAAATAGTAACATTAGATGTACAGAACAAACATGTGGTAGAAGAAAGTTTTAAGTATACTAGTTCAGCAATTGTTTAGGTAGTACATGTATTACAGCGATCCAATGCATCAGGCGGGAACATCTAATATTTCTTAAATGAACAGCCTGTTGATTTATGAACGGTGTAATTAAGGTCATTTGGTGTACCAGATCGAATTAATGATAATTATCTACAACTAGAGTAATTAAAACGAAAAAAGAGAGCACGGAACAACAAAACAGTAATTACCAAAATATGTCAATCAGGTCTACTAAAATGAGTGTGTCATATGACACAGTGATATACTGTTGATGTTATTCAAATAAGTTAAACTTGCTGGGGCGGTGTTAACATAAAGTGACAGCAAGTAGGTGGTTTTACTTAGGGAATTACGGATGTCATAATGAGAAGTTTCTGCATATTGAATCACGTAATTGAATGTAAAGGATAATTTATTAGGTATTTTGAAGAAAAAGACAATATTTAGTTCGAGTCTCCTCTTCCATAAAGGGTATAGCCCAAGTTTATTTAATCTGGAATTATAAGTTAAGGTACAATCAACTCCAAGAATACGAAGTGTAAATCGTCTCTGTACTGATTCCAGCCTTAATTTATCCTTTATGCGCACACTGCTAAGAATAAACGTGCAATATTCTAGAAGTGGTCGAACACAAACTTTGTACATTATAATACGTGACTCGTTGTTATAAAGGTTTCGAGTTATGTAACCTACTAGATGTTGAGACTTAGAGGTTTGTTTCAATATCTGTTCTGTAAACGACAAGTCTTGGGAGTATCTAATTCTTAAGTCTACTACTGTATGTAACTTAGATAACACTTCTAAGTCTAGGTTGAGTGATGTGTCGCCGAAGCATATCCATCCACATTTAGCCGTATTAGGCTCCAGTTGCCATTTTAAGCATCACTGTGCTACCATGTTAAGCCCCACGCTGATGCAATTTTGCATATTTTCAAGCTCATGTGGAGGAAATGAATATACTACTTTAAGATTATCTGCATATAGAAGGGGATTACCCACACAAAAACTTTCACAAATATCATTGATAAACACTGAAAAGAGCAAAGGGCCTTAGACACTACCTTGTATTACACCACTTCTAACAGGGACAGAGTTAGACAATGAAGAGTTAATTTTAACTATTTGATATCGATCGCTGAGAAAGGAATCAAACCAAGCTAGCAAAGTATTTTGAACCCCATAAGATGCGAGTTTACCTATAAGAAGTTGGTGGCTGACCATGTCAAAGGCTTTAGAAATGTCCAAATATAGCACCAAGACTAGATATCCTTGGCTACGTAGAGAATAGAATAAATTAAAGAAGTCAAAATGACATGTCATGCAAGATCGATTTTTAAGAAATCCATGTTGATTATCATTGATAAATTTGCCAGCGAGTAAATAGTTGGAAAGTTCATCACTTTTTTTTCCATAATCCTAGAGATAACTGGTGTAATATTTATCGACCGATAATTGTTCATGTCAGTTTTATCTTCAGATTTGTAACGTCGTTTGATGTGCGCGGTTTTCCAACAGTAAGGGTAAGAACCAGTTTCCATAGAGAGAGTAAACAGCTTTAGGAGAAGTGGAATATCTGGACCACCATATTTGTAGAGAAATGATGAAATCCCGTCTGTTCCATGACCTCTAGAAAGCTTAAGGGTATTTATAGCCTTATTAATTTTCATGCATGTGAAGGAGATAGATTTTATTGAGTTGCTAGTCACGCACATAACTCTTGAAGCAGAACCACTCATGATTCCTACACCATTTGCAAAAATACCACTGAAAAGGTCTGCTATAGTTTTAGAGTCGTATATAAAAGTGCTATTATTCTGGATGAAATTGCGATACGTTATCCTTAGTTTCTCAAATTTTTCAGTTCTATGCTGGTCAAACGACATGCTTTCAGTCTTTTCCTAACTTCTGGATACTTTCGGTAATTTCTTAGGGTTCCCAGTACAAATAAGTTAAATTCAGTATAATTTAGGATCGAAGTGTAAGATTTTATTGTGATTACAAGTATCTTTTAACTTCCTTATAATTTATAGTCATTGTTAGAAACTAACTAATGGCTTGCTTAATCTCGCTTGTTTCATTGATGATTGTTCTGAATTCATTCACATTTTTACTCCTCTTTCACTCCCTTCGTAATATACCTCTCTACTACTAAGCTGACTCAACGTTTTCAATCGGTGCTGGCAAACTCAAACTAAAAAAAACTGACCTTTTAATCTCCTTTTGATATTTGAAATTTTGACTAATTGCATTTGTTCCCTTATAGCTAAAACTCTAACATAAAATATAAATTTACATCTAGTTCCCAAGATGGTAATCCAAAATCTAGGTTTTGTCATTTTCTCATCTTTAATTGATAAGTTTGCTTGAAGATAAAAATAGAAAAGGACTCGACAGTAAATCTCTAGATGATGGTATTCTATGTAATAGAGACACGTGAGTTTTGAAGCCTGAGTAATACAAGTTACTACTTGGTGTTCTGATTAGTGAATGACGGAAGGTGGGTGTAACTTTTCATAGGGTATTAATTGTTAGTTTATTGAGTAACCGCAGTTTCCAACTCAGTGTTAATAATAGTAGGAAAACTTCATAATAGATTACATGCAAGAATAACGTTTCTTTCATACTTCTTCATACAACTTGTTCAACATACCCTGAAGCTTGGATTGATGTTAGTTTTCTCAGCTATTATGTTTTGAGGCTGAACCCATTGACTTACATCTTCAATGATTGATTTTCAAAATGACAAAGAAAAATTTATAAATGTCCATGAGTTTTCCATGTGTATCACCGTTTGTTGAAGTGGCAATAAAACTTTGGTTATCTTCTCGATTGTTGAGCTCTAGGTAGAGAGTCATTTGTGTATAAACCATAAACTCTGTTGTAAGATATTTTGTACCAACGATCGCGTTGTTGTTCCAAATTGTGTAGCCTGAAACATGATCATATTAAAGTCAAATAAGTAGAGCTGCTCATAATTCTTAGTGATGCATTATTCTGATAATATATTATTACATTTTTGAAAGTCTTCTAATGTTGTTTGGGTCAATCTACTCACATACACATTCTTAGAAATTTAACAATCATTAAATGTCCACTGGTAACTAAGATCATCTTTTATCGATTTAGTATAATTTGCATCATTTCTAAATTTGTTTTAGTGTTTAAATTGTTATTACATTACATCTTATGAAATAACTTGATCTTGTTATAGTCAATATGATGATGAAGCTTAATTCAACCTCTTTTTGTGGATATAACTACTATAATCCTACTAAATGCCGATATAACTTAAATATTTATTTATAATTTTTACTTATTAAATAAGTATAAGCATGGGCGTTGGCTTTTTTATGTATATCATGATTTTATGGCAGGAAGATAGGTTAATGTTTTAATAAAGACAGAATATTAAATTTATGGCAATGTGACTAGGATTAAGAGAGGGGGTGGTCGAGGTGGAAGGAACATAGTTCAGCTGTCAGCTACGCATACATATGGATGCGACGATCAAACCGACGGAAAGACAATATGGTATAAAATATTGTTATTATTATTTATTATTATTATTCATATTATGGTTGACAATATTCATAATGTTTTTAATATTTGAAAATTACCATTATTATTGGTGTTTTACACGTATGTCTGTGTATATGCATAAATATGATCATAATTGTAATTCACTACTTTTGATTTCGTGAACGATCTACTGTAAATGATCTGTGGGGAAATGTCGATTATATTCGTTGTTAGGGTGAAATAATCTTTCACCTCACAGAAACGTTCACACAAAAAGTTAACTATATCATATGGTCCGTCTGTTAGCTAGTGTATGTATATGCGTATGCACGTAAGTGTAATTCCAGTACGTGTACTATTTTCTAATCTTATATGGATTATCTTGGATATATTTCATGTATATCGGTTTTATTACTCTCTCTACATGTTTCTTTCTGGATTATGATTTCATGAGTAAAAACAGTTGGTGATTTACCTGGTAGGATTAATTTACCTATTGTTATCTGCTTTGTTACCTTCTAAATTGGTAAATACATTTACATTAGCTTTTTTGTGTTTTCTTAAATATGTGCTAATTGTTTATCATTCATTATATGCTGAAACGTCTGTTATACGTGCATCAGAGTTGTTTTTCTTTATGTTTCTGAACTTTTTTTTCTGAAAAATCAACATAACTGGTACTACTACTACTACACTCTCTACAACTCTCCATACTGATAAATAAAACTGTTATGTAAATAAATTACTTCACTGGTCGTTGCGCAATATTGTTTGTACTTTTGGAATTTCAGTTGATCAGTCACTCTCTTTGTACAATTACGGACGACGGTTGCACTGTCATTTTATTTAGTCTAGAATAATCACAAAACAAAAAACGCTTAAATTATTCTAGTTAGTTGCATAATGCTAGTCATATATTTAAGTTAATTTAGACATTCATATATAAATAAAAAATATACCAAGCCATGCAACTTCATAAGAATTTACTTGAATTTTTGAAAAATACTATAACTTAAGTCATTTAGTTATTTTACGCTTCAGTTATTGTTATATGTTTTTACGGCTTGCTGATCTAGAAGTTGAGTCCAGTGCTATTTTGACTAATCCATGAGCTTACCTTGATGAAAAAAGAAAAGATAACATGTTAAGTGATGCCTAGCTAACGGTTTAAGTGTGAACAATTCATTTGAGTTGTATATCTTGTTCTAATGAATATATATATACTAATATTTTAGCTAGTCATTGTGAAATAGTAGAGAAGGACTACTTACTTGTTCCATTTGCAGCCAGTTGGACTCAGTAGTTGATTTAAGCCTTCAGATGAACATTTGAATGCCTAAACTTATGTGTATACTGATGAAACTATCAGTATATTATTTGTTCTAATACTAATTACTTCATTATAAACTGTTAAGCAATTATCTTTGTATATATTTATTTCTTCTACCACTGTCTTTAATTATTATTATTAGCATACAAAACCAAAAAAATTATTGACTAAAATTTTCCTCTAAAAAGTTAATTTTATTGATTTTCATGTAAGCTAAAAAGATGTACGTTTTTTGTAACTTCCCCTCTCATTCTCTCTGTATTCTGTTAGTTGATTTATTGATGGAATCGATATAGATAAATGCATTTTTTTTTCTTCTGCAAAGAAAGATATAAATGTAAAGGGTATACTTGAAATCAATCACTTTATAGCTGTAATGTACTTTTTTCACTAGTTTGTTCCTTTTTTAGTTCCTATTTATATTCTCTTCTTAAATAAGAGAATAAGATAATGAAAAATTCAAATATTCAAAACGTTAAATGATCTTCCCTTTTAAAAAAAATAAGTTGTTACATATTTATCGTTCTTGTTGTTAAGTGGACGTAGTTGATTCATCCTCAGAATTAGATATGCAACTGTATGCATAACATACCTGTGACTGTAACGATGAATAGAACATTGAGGAATAGTTCAACTGGCATCCTGATACACTGCTGTTATTCACTATTCGGCAACAACGTGAACCGGATATCAACAATGGACCTCCAACTATTAACCTTTGATTAACTAGAAACCACGGAAGACATTAATCTCAGACTGTTCAACTTCAAATTTATGTTTGAACAGTGATAACGAATTATCTGTTAGATTGAGTGAAATTTATCTTGCATCCCGAAATTTCAACATCATCGCCTCATTTTTTATGAAACGACAGAGAGATATTTTAAGTTTGAAACTCTGGGTGACATGGCTCAGAATCGATCACAATGGCGTAGGTGTATGACACTTTCTGTCTTCTCTTAAACTATGATATCAAAATTGCATTATATCTTTCTTTCTACGAATTAATTCATTTTTCCTGTACTATATCCTTATATGCACTCTTTCTTTTATATATTACCACCACTGAATTAACTACTTCTATGAATTCGGTGTTCATCTTGTTGTGTTAATGAGGTATGGCAACTTGGACCGATGCACATATGTGCCTGGTTCTACGTTGTAGCTGACTGACTGTTTCCAAGATCTTAACTTCAATGTTACGACCTGGCAACATGAAAGTAGATTGGTTTCAAATCTAAGGTTTTTACTAGTTTTTGAATTATAGAGATATTTACTGACACCGTAATTTTAGAGCTAAAGGTTTCATTTGAATCTGTCAATTTGCATGTCTTATGGCAGTGTTTGTCTTCGAAAGACGTACCAAAAATGTACGCAACCGTATTGCAAACTCTTCACTTGAATATAAGGAAGTTACAACCGTTTAATATCCTACTTATATCTATTTTCAGTAAGGGAATTTGTGGAGATTGTAGTATTTTTAGCAGTTGAATTCACGAGTCGCTCTGAGTCAGACCACTATCGGAAACCTCGAAGAACTAGACGGCTATTTCGTCCCGGCATGGGATTCGTCAGTAGTGCAGGCCCACGATCTTACACGTAGAACTCTAACTAAGGACATTCGGTCTCACGCGCGGACCCTTAACCTCTAGACCACCTAGCAGGCATGTAACGGTGTTAATGCCTAACTTCAATCGATCTATAATCTTGCACAACCCTTCTGTTTGTTTCATCATAACATTCGTTGCGTACATTTTTCTTTATATCACTTTGTCCTTTATTTTTATCTTGTTCCATTTGTTTCTTTTTTCCATCCACTAAAATATATATTTAGTTGGCCGAATTGATTGAAAATCAGACAAAATTACAATCGGATATTCGTGTTAATTTATCCATGGATAATGCGGCTAAACAAACATTACTTAGTTGGTGTCGAGCAGTCACAGCAAATTATCCAGGTGTATATATAAAAGATTTCACTGAATCGTGGAAAGATGGTCGTGCATTCCTTGCTTTGATTCATCGTTATAGGTAAGTGTATTTGCCTAGAATTATATGTATCTGTACTCTAACATCTAATTTAGTATATTTTATCAACAAAAGACTTGAAGGATTCAATGGTTTTCAGATCGATCATTGTAAACATGTAACTAAATTAGAACGCGCTGTTTCCTTAAAGGTATCCTACACTATAAAAACACGAAAATAGCTAGTGATATTTTTTGTTATGGAATTTCTCGTTTAAAACTTTTATGTTTCTTATAATTTGTGTTGTAAATATCCCATTTTTGAGAAAAGTATGTCGGAATTATCAGTCACTTCAATAACTTACAATAGGTTTTTTTAAACTTCCTTTTACAGGTTAGCATTTTAAAATATTATGTTAGTAAATAACTTTCAAGTAGATCACTGTACTATTTTTAATAGAAATTCTGAAGTCAATTATGTTGTTTTTTTAGTCGCAATGTAAGTGTTATGAAAGATGTCTGTGTTTTTTTTAATGTTTCTGACCACTCTTTAGTAAGTATTTAACCTTCTTTAAGGTTTATTTCTGATGCTAGATAGATTTAGCGACTTCGGTCGTTCAAATCACTTTTAAGCTGTCTTTCGAATACACATTTTTTTTAATATAATAATCTTGATCAATTCTTGTTTCTAACTGCGTTATTCTTCAAAATTGTTTACTAACAATTTACTTTATACATTTACTGAGAGTCTAATCGATGCTAGTCACTCATTATAATGTCGCTCTGAATTATGTTTTACAGATGATTAACCACATCTCCATTAGCTCTCTTCAAGATCACTTACACATCTTGACCATGAGTGCTGGCTACCATAACTCCTTAGTTCCATATTAAGTACAATAGATCTTTTGTGACTGAACGTAGTAAATAAATTTCAATTTAACCAATTATTATTATTATTATTATTAATGGCTTTATTCAATATTATATTTTTGGTACAATATAGAATTCTCAGCACAGGGTATTTCAACAAGTTACTTACTGAAAAAAAAAACGAACAAATAGGCAGTAGAAAATACAAAAAGAAATTTTTTTAAAAAAAAAAGTTTTTTTTTAAAAATAAATTTTAAAAAAAAGACCAAAAAAAACTGTGCAAACTTTTTAAAATTAAAGACATGTTAAGAATGTAAGTTATTAACTAGGTTATTTCTAACAACCTGTTCGTCACATAGTATATTTGCTAGGTAAGGAATTATAGAACTTTTATACTTTTCCTTACGTGTATGGATTTTAATGTAATTACGTCTCGTTCTACCAGAAGATATACAAGGAGAAAGATAAGAGTGAAGGGGATGGCTAGTATCTGATAAAATAACACCTGCCAGGAGTTTGCAACTGTCCAAATTAATAACCAAATAATACACCACTGGTTGATCAGATTGTAAGTCTTCATCACCTGAAGTTTTTGGGATATATACTGAGTAATCTCAACCGTCCACCTTGATCAAAGATGTTGACTAGCTTAAATAATAAGTCGGAAGAAAGCTGGTGGTGACTAAACAAAAAACGTAGGATAAATCTATAAAGTCGTTGAGTGTTGGTTTGAGTCATGTTCGCAGATGTAGACTGTCTGATTGGAGTCTTTACTATTATCATGACTAATAGTTGAAAACGTTAGGTAACATGGCTCAGAATCAGTCCCAATGACACAATTGTATACACTCTTTGTCTTCCCCTATATTTCTAGTTTCAAAAGTACACTAAACGTTTCTTATTCCAAAAAGTCATTCGTTTTAGAATCATATCGTCTATACCTACTCATTTTAATATATTTGATACTTCTACTACTTTGGTATTATTCACATTTTGTTGATATAATATACCGCCTTTAATCGATGCTCTGTTGTGCAAAGTTCTATGTTACTTCTTGATTGACTAACTGAAAAATACCACTAAATGGTTAATTAGTAACTAATTATCATAATATTAGTAATAATTTGTGACGACAACTTATCGTATCGGTCATGAAAACTATTACGTGTATAGATAGAGATCTTTCTATGGTCACTTACAATCGAACTATCGCATCATCCGTCGCGACACCGTAACAAAATGCGCGTCAGTCAATCATAACGTAGAACCTGTACATATGTGCATCGGTTCATAAACCATCAACCCACAGATGAAATTGTCAGACAAAATCCCAGAATAGTAGAGGTTGTAACAGTGTCAATGGTAATATGAAAGATTAAGAATCGGCGATACGACTCGAAACGAATATAAATTAGCACAAAAAAAAGTTATGAGGAACTAAGATCCTCATGAATCTGGGGGAGACAAAGAGTGTATTCGTCTGCACCGTTACAAACGATTTAGAGCCATCTCATTATAAGCCGCTTATTATTGTCTAGGATAAGCGCGCAAACCCCAAACACATTGTCTACAAATATTAACATGGCTCACTTCAGTTGTCAATAATTTCACGGACTAATTTCATCTTTTGGTTTTGCCGCCCCTAGTTTTCTCCCAACCTGCCCCTGCACCAGAGATAACATCATCCGTTGAGGCAGGCGACGGATGGACATTTGTAACACGTGTCCCAACCACCCTAGTTGATAAAGATTTACTATTTCATCAATCGATTTGCCATCTTTACTGAATATCCCATTCTTAATCCAGGCACTCCTTACTCTCTGGTCCTAAAATACACGAGGAATTCTTTGAAGATACCTGTAATCAAATACCAGTAACCCACGAGTATGCTTTTTTCTGAATGACCATTTTCCACATGTATAATGTAGAGTGGAGCGAACTGTTGCTCAATAAACTCGTCTTTTAGTTGAAAGACGGTAATCTTGCCTACGATGAAAGTGACGCAAGTTTGCAATTTTTCTGAATCTGTGCCCAGATTTCCTCAGACACCGGACCATCAGTACTGATGAGACTCTCAAGACAAGTGATGCGGTCGACACACTCAATTACTTCATTCCTTATCACTAATTCAGACAATGACGCAAACCAATCCTGAACTAACATTTTACATTTGGAGGGTGGGAACCGCATCATAATACGCATATACTGATGTGTTACATAGAATGTGTATTTACGATGTATGATAAAGAAAGTGCAATTCGTAACAGATAATACCTGAATAAAAAACCCAGTAGGTAGTCAAAGTCATAGGTTGACGTTTATTACTTACGTAGGCTTTCATTTTTTGTAAAATTATCTCTTTATTCCAAGAAAAACAATCTTTTCGATTTTATAGAAGTTTATTGACTTATTGAAAAGTTTTATATTTATGTCATATCAACTGTAATTCTATTCAAGACTCAAGTGTTTTTTTATTCTAACACTTACGATCTGTTTATTAATCAATATTCTTGATCAATTTAATTTTCTTCTGCCTATAATATTATTTGAAAGTATACATTTTTTGCCTGGTTACTATTCTTGTTTTCACTTTATTTGAATCTATAATTTATCTGGATGGCGTTTTCTATCATCGTTCTAATTTAATATTTTTCTGTGTTTTTTTAATTTAGACCAGATTTAATTGATTTTCGTCAAGTTGATCGTCAATCTGCCCGTGAAAATCTTGATTTAACATTTGAATTAGCTGAACGTGAACTTGAAGTTACTCGTTTATTTGATTCAGACGGTAGGAGTTTTACTTTTTATTGTCTTAAGGGATGTTTTATACTTTTACTAATCAATATCAATTTCACATATGAATAGATTATTAAAAATAAATAAATGATGTAGGTTACTAAAATATATGTATAAACATAAGTATTTAGTTTTGGCTCTGAGACATTTTGACCAATGATCTGATAATGTATTAGAAAGATGCAGACTATATCGTTTTTCTTTCTTAAAACAATTAAAAGGTAGATAGTTTTCTAAACAAATTCATAATGTTTCAGTGTGTTTTTCATTGTTGTAAATTGTTAAACAAATCAATAGAATTAGTCTACTTCAAGATCAATTTGTTACACTTTAAAGTATTGTTAAGAGTTATGACTTTTTTTTCTTAAAAATAAACGATACATGCCGTCCAGTCCTATTGAGTTTCTTTTTCAATATAAATTAAAATGTTTTCTTTTGGTTTTCAGAATATTTATAAGACTTCATACTGATTATGTAACAAATCAACAAATTGATGAATTTCCACTAACTATTAGAGCTACGTGAATATTATCTAATCTTTACAAACTTGTTCTTGCTTTTGCCTTTGTTTTAGATATTGCAAAAACAACTGATGAACGGTCGATTATAACTTATGTAGCCTCAATTTATGATAAACTAGTATGTAATTCATCAAAACATTCATTATATCCAGTACCAATTGTACCACCTATGCCTTCTTTATATCATCATGATCAAAATTCTACTAGTAGACCAATTGATTCAACTTTTCAACTTCTTAGTGCTTCTAATCAACTTCCAGAAGAATTAAAAACACTTTGGTCAGATTATCGTATTTTAGGTAGTGATCTAATACAATGGCTACGATCAACTACTGATCGTATGGCTAATCGTCATTTTCCATCAGATTTAAAATCAATGCAAGAACGTGTTATGGATGAAATACGACGACATAGACGTGATGAACGACCAAGAAGAGAAAGAGAACGTCAACAATTAGTTCGTATGTATGAAGAATTAAAGGTAAAAAGGAAACGTTATTCTTCATGTGTATTAAAATAGTTCATCATAGTTCTTTCTTTTTATCTTAAGGACTTTTTTTACCGATAATAACTTCATTTTTTATGATTTACTTCATGAATTTCTGTATATTAGATAACCATTAAGAACCAGAAAGTACTGGAAAGTTGTTTTTGTCTCAACATGTAGCTCCTCAACAGCGCACATTCACGAACTCATCAAGGACCAAGCGCACAGACTTCAGGTCTCAATGTTAGCACCACTGAATCGGCATACAATGAGAATGTCGCGAGTTAATTGAATTCAGAATTCCAAACCATTGGACAGAGGTTTCTCAACATTTTGAAACTTCTTGACCACGAAGATACTAGATATTTAAATCACGATCTTCAGATGTCATAGTGAAACGCTCAGTACTTTCCAACTGATTAGCTGAGATCCAGCTGTCTAACTTCAATCAGTTTGCTATACTTCACTGTCAATATCTGTTAATTTTAAAGAAATATAGTCACTTTTTTTTAGATATATTCTCATCACAATACTCCAAAGTGCATTAGTGATCATTAACCAGCCTCGATGTTTATTTATATATTATACAAACACTGTATTATCATAGTTTATCCCAAAACGTTTTATTAAGTAATAATACCTCAACTTGTTGTTTTGTTTGAATTCATCAACGTTGTTGTTCTGTCCTTTTTTGTATACTCTTATGTTTCGACTTTAAAAAAAAAAACTAAATACATATTCAACCAAATATTCATTTTACATGCTATATATGTGCACAGAAGACGTTCAATTTGAGTTAAACAGCACTTACCGTCAAATTGACGGTGTAGCAATGGGAAGTCCATTTTCTCCAATTATCCCAATGTTTTTGTGTGCTATTTAAAAAAAAACAAAGCTTAAATAAGCAATTAACGAAATGACAAAATGCTACAAGTACGTTTATGATACGTCAATTATTCGTAACAGCAAACGGAAATGGAATTCATTTGGGATAACTCTTCAAGAAGGCATTTAACTATCGAACACGAAGAGAACATATTCAACTTTCCAAAAATTGCTATACGACGGAGTGCAAACGGAACTTTTCAACGTTCGGTTTAGCAAAACAGAAATTAGAATGGTCCATATCTCAATTTCAGTAGTTTTTGTCCAATTAGTTTGTTGTAACGCGAAATGCTGCTGATTGGAGCGCAGCGAATTATTGATCGGACCAAAGACACGTAAAACACGTAAGAACGACCTAGAGTCCCGATTAGCCCCTCTTCTCTGTCTAGCCCAGCCAGTTGAGTCCAGAACACAAGTCCCAGCCTCTGAGATATGAATCATTATATTTCAAGCATACTCTGTTTATATACCAATCAAGCAGACCACATCGTACTATAAAATAGAAAATAACATTGTACAATATTGACCAGTAGGAAAACGACACGTGAAATAAATATTGACCAATAAGAAAATAATACCATTTCAAGTCCAAGGATAGCGTTAGACTTAACAGAATAATTTTTGGGATATTTTCCTGAATATTCCAACTTAGTTACAAGAAAACACTGGTTAAAATACTATTGTATAGTTTAGAAACTAAACTCACCACTTAACACTCACAAAATGGATAATTGTTTAGAAATACTTCAGGGATAACTGCTACACACCGAAATTCATTGACAAATGTAAAAAATCTAAGACATTAAGGCGGATGTGGCCAAAGTCAATAAAATGCCAACATTTATTTATCTCAACTTTAAATATGATACGTTGCAAGCATAACCATCAGAAGGCTCAACACTGTATTAGCATTATCTTGCAATCAAACTATTAATCCTGTATAAAACAACATGTCCAATAATCCAATCAATGGTCAACAAGTATATCTTTCATGTTACCAATAACTGGGTCTATGAATTCAAATTTACCTGATGAAGTAGCTAATATGTTTCCTAAGCTTTTAAACGAGGGGAAGAAACACTTTAAATAGCACAATCACCCGATATCTCTTGGACATAGGACATCAGGTTTATACATTGAAATCTTTCAAGATGATCAATAAATATCCAAGTTCAAGTCTTCCAAAATTCGCTGAAAATTTTGCTGTCAGGCGTGAAAAACATGATTCATATATCCTAAAGGAATCGATTATCCGTCTTTTTCTGCCTCGGCAACACGAACCTTTCTTCATTACACCATAAAATCCTGTTCAACTGCTTGTTCCAATTGATGACATCACTACGTTTTCTATTTTGACTGTCTTCTAGATCAATTATCTTAATGACCTTTACTCGTTCTTCTTTCTTACTTATTCTTAGCGTTTTTCACTGTGCAACCACTCTTTTGTACCTCTTTTATGTAAGTAATTTGAACCCATTTTGTAATTATAATTTCTAACCATTACGGATTGTAAGCAACTGACGTAAACCAAACGAAATAAAATCGATCCTTGTTATTCCGCTTAAACCACACTTCTTGCTCTCCTCAAAATAATAAGGGAAACAATGTGTGTAAAATCACAATGTAACGACAGATTGACGTTGGGGAAACATTTTAAAACAATTTGAAAATCATGATAAAATACTGTATAATTTTAATATATATTCTACAAACTATATATTGAATTTTGACTTCATTTAATTATAAACATTAAACATGTTGCTTACCATCTTTAAAATGTCAGTACTAGTAATTTGATATTTACTTTGTGCAACTATAATCCATCCGTTCGTCCAATACTTTTGTATGGTTTTACATTCTTTGTATTCACTTTGCTAAATTTAAGTTTTTTTAACTTCTTTATGCTGAACTATACTTGTCAGTTTGTTTTCTAAAACGAAATTTATATGGATTAATTTGTCAATTCATGATAATGTTTATTATTATTACTCGACAAGTTGCATAGTTTAATTATATATATATATATATATATTTAGTTTTAAAAATTTGTTTACTTAATGTATCAACAAACTAGTGTTTCATTACATTTTATAACCTTAAACAGAACGAACCCAGTCCAATTTAATGTGCTTTGCAGTTATCATAATAATAGTACTAAACATGATAATGGTAACAGTAATAATTATCGTTATATTATTATTATTATTGATAGTAGTAGTAGTAATGATATTAATAGTGTAGGGAACGACGCACTCTGTGAAGGAAGGCCGCTTTATTGTTTGATGCAAACTTACAGAGTTCTTTCGTAAAATACGAAAACCATACATTAAATATTTTATTTGCACATCTTCCTTCAGCTATCCTTTACATGTTTCATGATTCCTTCAATTCTGTTGTTATTAAAATTCTCCTCTGTTTACCTTCATGTTCTCTTCAATTCAGTCTCCTCCTGTCAGACATCCCACTTTTGTGTTACATACTACTTATATATGTCAACATAAGTCACATACACCACAGTAGTAGTAGTAGTAGTGTTTTTTTAGATTCAGTGTTCCAGATGAATGCATTTTGTTTCATAGTTACCTGGTTACAAGTAATAACGCAGTACTTGGCGAGTACAAACTTCTTCAAACGTATTTTATGCACTCTGATATAGTACTAAATAAAATTTGTGTGGAGTGAGATACTGCTCAGGCAGTTAAACCGAGAAAATTAGTCTTCTTAGAATACCATTTTCTAAAACTTTAACCGCAAATTCTAATCCACAAAGTATTAGAGTAACATCAAGAGCTTCTACCTCATGGTCTCCAATGACCAAAAACGAGTTCGTGCATGACTTTTTCTGTTAGAATCCTGGAACCTATGTAAACCATTGGTTTGGAACCAGAGTTTTCTAACCCCTTGGTGAACAACCCACCGTGTTCACCAATCCAGTTTAGGCATCGAACGCTTACTTTTCATTCTCGTCTAATCCCAACTCTCATATGAATCCACTGAGTAAAAATTTCCTTACGGAGATTATAACTGTATAGCCGTATGAGAGCATTTCGAGAGGAAAAGTAAACTTTCCCCAATCTTGTTTGTACCGGGGCAGTTAGAGAAATCTCTGAATTGAACTATGAATGTATATTTTATTTTAATAAATAAATATGTTAGCTGCTCATGGCACTAAATTCATTTTACTGTGTTAGAACTTCTTCTAAGTATTCATTTTATTCATCATGATTAACTTATTTATAATTGATTTAATTGTTTTTTACATTTCAAAAAGCCATCTATTGAACGTGGTTTACTACCAATTGATTTATTCCTTCGAATCGAACAAATTCACCGATTATGGGATGAATATGATATTGCTTTACAAGAACGTGAATTGGCTGCAAGAAATGAAACTCATCGTTTAGATCGTTTACAATGGGCCGGTAATCGAGCTTTACGTGATTGCATTCAAGTCCAAGCACAATTGACTGCCTTAGAACGGCGAGTTGTTGAGGTTTGTAATATATATATATATATATATATATATATATATATATATATATATATATATCCCTTTAATATTGTTCTCTTTTTATATAATTACAATTTCATTATGGCTTTAAAAAAATTCCTTTTATTTGGGAATGTTACCCCTTATGAGGTACGCATAAATATATACGATTGGGCTTTCTGGTACAGTATTTTGAGGTCAGATTACCCTCTCTATCTCTTTGTATATGATATATATATTGTATGCATAGTATTCGCCAATTCAATTGGTGTCACCATCTTGAAACACCGACTTCGGTGGCTTGGACATGTTCTACGAATGTCGTCCCAGAGAATTCCACGTCGTGCATTATTTGCCGACTCTGGGACTGGTTGGAAAAAGCGGAGAGGTGGTCAGTGCATGACATGGTGTCGTGGTATGAAAGAAAGCTGCAAAGGACTGGCTTCTGTCGGTCCTTCACGACTCCCTGGTTGGGGTCTGAGAGATGGTGCTACACAGTGGCTAGAGACGTTATCAGATATGGTTCAGAATAGAAGCCAGTGGCGATCCTGCTGTAACCTTCTTTTACTTTCTTCATAATAGTGGTTGTGTCTCGCTTACTTGAAAGATTTCTTCTGATTGTACCTTTCTGTTCCATCGTTAAGACCACACTACCTTTTGTGGTCCTTAGTTTTTTTTTGTTTTTTTTTCTATCTCTCTTCGAATTTTCATTGTTTTGTGTGGCGCATATATATTGGCGCTCTCTTGTACCAATATTTATGTGTTCAAATAAATAAATAAATAATAAATAACTTTGTATATGATATATATATTGTATGCATAGTATTCGCCAGTTATAAATAACTTGCTAACTCAGTTTATTATCACGAGTACATTGTGTTCAAAACGTTTTATAAGGGTCATTTCATTCGTTTTTATCGTCATTATCATTCACATTGTTCATATTATTTTTCATACCGACACATTTCGTCTATCGATCCCATGTACTATGAATAAATAAGTGCAAATTTACAGTAGATCAAATTGTCAATTTTGTTTTATACTGAAATCAAATTGTTTTTTACCTTTGTGAACTAAAGTGAACAGTTACTGAAATAAGGAAATAGCGAAAAGTTATTATTTCCATCTCTCCACTTAATCTATCTGCTTATTTATCTATCCCACTCATCCATCTCTTTGTACACATTCCAAAATCTATAGTATACTATAATCATAGATGCATAAAATTATCGTAATTAAATCAGATCCAAATTTTCTTTATTTTATTATACAAAATTATGATTGTTCACTAAAAGTTGACTCATTTTAACTTCATGTAAGAACAATTATGGACAACGATTTTTTTACTTTAGAATTATCAAATATTATAAACTACTATAATGTTAATGACAATTTCATTTCGATTTTGATATAATTCATTATTATTATTGTTTTTTTCTTCCAATTACATTATCTAATCGATAATGTATACTAGAACATTACTCATTTATCAGGTAGTGATTTATATACTTGATATTGATGCAGACTGTTAGTTTGATGGCTGGTCATACTATCTGGCTTCGCAAATGCAAACAGGTGGAGTGCAGATCGAACCTGTAACCTGTTTTTTTAAAAGCCGAATTATATAACTACTAAGTTACTGTTTCACCATCATAATTCACTAAGTACGAACTAGTGTTTTCTCATTACAATCTGTAATTAATTTAAACAGGCAATCAACAGTCTCTAGTATTTATGCTTCTATCTCGAGCTTCAATATAATATTGTAGAGTTTGAATCGTATATTTTAAAGTGAATCGTTAACATTGCTATCATATCCTTAGCTGTTAATCAAATGGAGTTATAATTTCACTTACGAGACTTATCTCTAAACTTTTAACCAAATAGATTTTTAAATTACAGAAATACTGGTTAACTGACATTATATATATGTATATATAGCTGAATAAAATGGTATTATTTTAATACAATTTATTTTATCAAAATACTACTACAATGGATTACTTATCAGTTAACGAGTGAATTAATCAAGCACCAATATGAAGTTAAAAAAATATCAACATTGTAAAACTTGGCATTTCATTTATTTCTCTAATCCAATCTTTTTTAATTAGCAAACCTAGTGTGTTTTATCTATAAACAATAAACAAAGTTTCATTTACTATTTAATTTGTCTATTTCATCTATATGTTGAAATTAGTTAAAATCTGAAGTACCTGGTCAGCATGTATTCGATACTAATAATGAAATAAGACGTTGGTGTGATCAACTTACGCAAATTGAAGCTAAAATCAATGGATTATTCAATCAAGTACAGCATTTACGCACTGGACGATATATGCAAACAGAACAAATTTATAGAAAGTAAGTTATGATAATTAATTGAGTTTAGTGTTGAAAATTATTTGTACTATTCCAACTAGTATTGGCTAATGATTAATTGGTAATTCAGTTAAGAGTATAGATTTTTGTTTATGTAACTCAATTATGACATTGAATAAATGGATTGTCGATTGCCATGTTATCGTTTTATATCGTACATTGGTCATAAATTATGTCAAAATGTCAACTCTACACAACGGACTCGTACGAACATCGGATTTTTAAATATCTAATATTTTTTTTATCTTAATCTTTTAATTACAGTAGTTTAATAGTTAAACTACTTGAATTTCAGCTAGTGAGTTGCTACTTCGAACCCTGATCCACTTATTTTTACGTATGATGTTGGTGATGTTAGATCCCCAGAACTCACTCGGTAAATGCCTTATTTTTGTAATTCTATTTTAAAAATTTAAATCTCTTGTTTTCACGCCACAAGCACCCATTTTCACCATATCGTATTTCCCGCTTGGGAGTACCTTAAATGCTATTGGTTCGTTGTCTCTTTTAATATGCTATTTCTTCACGTTTTCCAAGGACATTGTGGTTGTTGTTCGTGCTTCTGACTGCTTGTTGAATATAGTTCCCTGTTCTGAACTTGGACTTCTCTCTCTAGTCAGCGGGGTTGATATGCCCCAGAATAATTAGCTTATCTATTCATTGTATCACTGAGTCTTCGTTCCGTTCGCAGATTAGGTGAACGCGTAATCTCCTCAAACATAGCATATGAACAGCTAATGAGTAATACTGGTAGCTTTCACATAAAAGCATGACTCGTATATGGTGATTATTTAAAATTTTACATGAGACTTTCACTGGGTGTTTGTTCGATTTTAGATATTTGGAGGGCTTGTAATTATAAACAGCTTAGAAAACTTCGTCCGTAATGCATCAAACTACCTTGTTCATTGTAGCATTTAGACAAGTGTATCATTAACCACTTGTGTGTATTGATTTATGATAGGTTATTAGTAAATATGATACGTGAAAGCGGAATGTCATACAATAGTACGTTGCGATTATAGTTTTATACATACCTTGCTGATGAATTCTGAAGATTTAGGACTTTTTATCGATTAATTTCAGTCTATCAAAGCCGAACAAAAGGATAGAGATAGTAACTTACCTGTAATGTTCTTACCCAACTGGAAAATTTTAGTTGATGCTGAGGACTCCAGTAGTACATCATTACTATTTCATATCTTGTAGATTTTATTAGATGTTAATAATTATCCAAGTCACAGTCAAAGAACCTAAAAAACATTCGAACAACTCTTGCCAAACCACTGACCTTTAAAATTTTTCATAAACCTAAATATTCAACAGAAATCGCTAATATCAGCATATTTTCAAGAATTCCAAGGGTTCTCGCAACCATATAAACCATCTTTAATTTTTGTGCCTAAACTTACTTTTAGGTTTAACAATATTTTCTCGATACTTCCCAATTGATGAAATAACAGTTTTGTACAGGTTAATGTGCAGGTGGCTTGTTTAATGCCCAAACCTAACAATATGCTCCCTCACTCCATACACCAATTAATAATAGTGTTCGGGTTTTTTTATGAACCTAGTAATTTAAACTCATTTATCCACCATTGATTTCCTACTGTATTATAACAAATTGATTGAGATTTGCCCGATTTATTAATGGTTCCATTCCTTTCTTTTATAGTCTATTTCATATAATGTTAAATTGACAAATATGCATGCCTGTTACCTACCATATCAAATGTTTTTATATATGGCTGATCATACTGTGCTTGTTACCACTGGTTATCAGTATCATCATCACATGATATTACCAGTAAATCAGTATATACTCTATTACATACATACGTTTTAAGTTTGCCTATACACTATCCTTACCATAATCTTATGTTCATACACCTATGCATGATATACATAATTTAGAATGAATAATTTTAAATGGAAACAGTAAAGATTATTAAATTTATTCTTTTTCACTCATTATATTGTTGTTGATAATAACTCCAATACTATATTTCATAATTGCATAGAAATAAATAAATACATGTTGAAGGTGTTTTGGTCTCTGAGACGAGAGAATATCCTCATCTATCGTCTTGAAATAAATAATTAAATCATCCATTCCTTTCAGTTAGACAATCATTGGAAACCAGGAAGCATTGGGCAGATGTTTATTCCTATTATGGAACTCTCCAGCAACGAGTGACCCATACTGGATCTAACCTAGAACCATCAGTCTAGCACGCGAGCGCCTAAACTTTAGACCACTACGTGAGACATTTATCCACCACAGAGGATGGAAAATGGTCACGTAATGTCGCGAATTGATTGACGTTCGACATTTGCATAATCGGATTCTGGCTCAGTGGCCCAAAGGCTTAGAGCTCTCGTGCGAGACTGATAGTTCTAGGTTCGATTCAATATGGGATGTTCATCGCAAAAGAGTCTCATATCAAGATGAAACAGCTGTCCAGTGCTTCTTAGTTTTAAATAGATATTTAATTAAGAGAAATGAATAACTTAAACTATGAAAATTTAAAAATGTCAATAAATTTACTATAGAAATAAGGAAATTTATCACTGATTAATTTCGGTAAACAAATATCTAGTAAGAAACTGTAATCAGCACAATCAATTTATCCGGTAACTAATGAATAAAGTGTTTTCTGAAGAAAAAAACCCACCATAAATAGACTAAGTTAAAAATGTACACACTGACTTGATAACTGAATGGTATAATGTTCATGTCATGAGACCTGACTTAGCCTAATTTCACTACTATCTGGAGCTGTATAAGTCTTATTGATACGAAGATCCTGATTAAAACAGAAATATTCGTTAATTTCTCGTTAAACAATTATTTGCTTTACATGACAGTGATATAATATTTAAAAACTATAAATAAAAAAAATGGAAATGGTGTTTCAAATTCTCTAAATGAAATTGAATAGACATCCAATCATCCGTGATTGATCGTTGATTCTTCAATTCATTTGGAATTTTTGTAAATGTAACCTTTCACAATTACTTTTAGTTATAAATAAGTTGTTTTTTTGCAGTTTTTGTTCAATTTGGAAATTAGTTTGATATCAGTTACAAATTGTCAAAAGGATGATTCTGTTATATTTTCTATATGTTTCAAAAGATATCACCTATCCTACTGTCATCGATGGGTAGTTGCATTACACTTTGATTGAATAGTCTAGGCTAAAATCAAATTGATAGGCTTGTATTCGGGGTTCCGCATTCAAAGTAATCTTTAATCATTTTACTTTCCAATACATGATTTCTTATTCTTCCGATTAACTTTCTTGAATTTCACAACTATTTTGAAATTTCTTGTTCTTTTCCAGTGTTTGTACGTTACACCAGAAATTCTTAGATCTTCAACGTTTATATCGAGAATTTACATCTTCTTCAATGGTATTATCACCACCCAGTGTCGTCTCTAGTTCTGTTTGTTCAACATCTATGACTATGTCGAATCACTCTACATTCACATCTATTAAAAATGGTACTATTTTGGAAAATGGTCACCTTATTCAAGGTCAATTAATTAGTCCAATCGAACAATGCTTACAATGGATTATGGAACATTCTCACACTGTACAAACTGCATCCTATGGAGCAAATCGAAAATGTAAGATTTCTTTTCACGCCACTTCTCTCTTATGTTGATGGTTAGAAACAATTAGAATTTAGTGTTACACATTATTAGAGCTTGAACAACATCTTTTCACTATTGCATAATATCAAAATCATCTAGGAATATTTGTGATATAGTCTGTATTGTGATTCAATTTACTGTTATTGATTTGTTCTATCAATAGATGTAAGACAGAAAACTAAATAACGATACTAGAACTTGCTAGGTTTTATACATCTATATGTCCTGATTGTGTTAATTCACTATCTAGACATTGTGTGTTCGTTATCTGAGTTTAGCTTATCTTGTCTGATGGGTTAGACTGTGCAACATATATCGCACTATATTAAATTCCTTACACAGTCCCACAATCCACCTATACTGTTATTCCAAAGTATCTTGCGTAGCGCGTTACCAGGATCCGATTCTTCGCAGCGTCGTTGATGTACATTACTGATAAATCTCAAGCTAAACCTGTAGGGTTATCCGTTTCTGTTGTACGCTCGGATATTAAGGGAGCATGATTTTCTACCTTAGGACCCTAACTGTTTCAGGCGTTTTTGCTATGTGTCTCAGCAACCTCAACTGTACAGCTTGTTTACTCCTTCCAATGCATTCGTATTTACTCACACGCATATGTAAACTGGTCAACACAACGAATTGTGGAGAAATGATTTATGCGAGATACAAGTTTATATAGATTTGTTAGCTTAACCCTCTCAGTACTGATAAGTTTGGATGTTTAATACTATCTTCCTGGCTGTCATCAATCTTCAGTTCAATTTTATACCATCTAATATTCTTCTGTGTTATAGCCTAAAAACTTTCCTTCTGCACATGAGTTTAAATGCTATCTGACTGTATTAATTTATAATTTCTATTGGTATCTGTTTATCACATTATATCTAAAGCTATTTAATGACGTGTGACACTAGCTGGTTTCAATAAGGACGTTAACATTTCAGATTAAACCCCTTAAATCAATACGTATTAACTGTGCCAAAGAAAATATACAAGGGTTTGAATGTATATTTGTGTGTTTGTAGGTTGGTCATTATTATCTTTGTACAAATAGAAGACTTAGTAGTGAGTCACGCGACTTGAGTGGATTATCATTGGTTGATAATAACTATGGCTCACTGCGTCGATATCTCTGTCACATTTACTATTAACACTAGGGCCTTAACACTTGTTTCTGTAATAATACACCAACATATACAAATGGAATTATTTTAATGAATTAGAGAATGGTATTCAACACAATTAGTTTCATTACTCGTGCAAAGTAAGTCGTATGTAATTATTTATCACACTTTAAACCATTTTTATCATCAGTCTTATTGATATTAATGCCATATCTTTTTGGGACAATGGTTAACGATTTAACCATATAAACATTAATCTCCGATGCTACGGGTTCGAACCCCTACTTCGGTTCAAGCATCCGGCTAGTAGTTTCTCATGCCCCCACGTATAAATGTGCCTTAAAGTCAAGTGAAAACAACCTGCATCTGGTTAATAAGCTTCATTTTTTATTAATATTACTGTACTCATTTTTTCAGCCGTAGAAGAAGCTACTAGGCGTCATGAACAATTTCATCGAGAAGTGTTGAACTTTAAGAACGAAATCGATCGATGCAAAGCTAATCAACAAAAGGTTATTATTTATTTTTTAATTTTTTGTTTTTTTCTAACTTTTCGACTTATTATTTTAAAATTAAACCGTTTACATATCACACCCTGATAACCTTCTACTTAAAAGGACATGATTATTCCAACCAATTCGTTCCAGATAGCCTTTACTTTAAATAGGATAACTGAGTAAATAATTTGTAGATTCACACAAGTTAAACGATAGATTATCTAATTGGTGTTGAGAAACTACTATGATCAATATGCTATACTAGCTAGAAGTTGGAAGGATATTAAGGATGGCCTGATTGAGGAATAGAGATAATCGATGAATTTACCAGTCTCAGTCGTGTCAAAAAATCGTTCATGTTTTATTCCAAGAGATTAAAGTCGATCATATTTGTATACAGACACATCTATTCTCTGTCTCATTTTATTGTCCATTTTTATGTAATATTTTTGCAGTCATTTATATAAATTCCATTTTTTGCTTGTTTATACGGAGTACAGTAACTGTTTGATTAGTTCCCAATTCAATATTCCATAATTAATCATTGTAATTTGACTACTGATCACTGTAGGTAATTGATCTGAAAATTATCTATTAGTTTTGTTTCTTATTCTCTCTGGTGATGTAACTCACTTATCCAATAGGGGTTTATGTTGTTGGCTCTGTGCTGAACACTGTTTGTATTAGGGCTAACGACACCACTATGCTTTTCAAACTTAAGTATACGTGTATCAGAGTTCAATCAAACCTATAAGTCACAAATTGCAAGTCTAGTGCTTTAACCACTAAGTTACTATTGTACACTTCATTTTCGATATCTTCATAGTATTATCGCTATTAACCTTTGTACCTGTATGTTTTAACTGGTTCGAACTTGAGAAAACAAATGTGTTTTCTAGAATTCTTTCGGATAAACCTAATTCCTATTTAATCTTTTTAAAACTCTTGATGTGTTACATTTCCGATCGATCATCAATTACATTAGTCACATAATTTTTGTTCTCTGCCTAAATAGCTTCCGACACGATCAAAAGAAGAGAAACAAGTTCTTAATGAATCACTTCAAATACTTGAACAAAATTATCAACAATTAATGGTAATCGGTAGAAAAATTTTCTATTTTATCTATTATGATTATTATTTTCTTGCTATAACAGTAAATCAGTGAATTATCTTTATTTTTAGTAACTCATTAATATATGTTTACACATACAGATAGATTTAATAAATATTTAGAATTGAATTAGTCAGATAGTCAAAGCAACGTTAGAACCGGACACAACTTTATATCGGTCCAAATTACTTCACTATATCAATACGGGAGACGTAAATTGACATGATGTATAAAAAATTAGCCGAAATACTGGTGATATCATTTATATTAAGACTTAACTTGGTTGGGGAGGGTTGGAAGAAGGCTATAAATATCATTAAAGATTATTGAAACCCATGATTTAAGAGCAAGATTTAGGATATATACATCTGCACTTGTGTAACCGTATCACTTAAGGTCTAGCACTGCTAATGTTCATATTAATCGGTCTGCACGCAGCACAGTCTAACAGTCAGTGACTTCATATATTAATATTACGTTTTAATTTACCGGCCAATAGCCTTCTTCCGACCCAATTTTATGCCTACCAGTATTGTACGTTAACATAAACGGTGATTAGGAGTGCGTAACACGTACCTTAGACACTTCAGATAAATATTAGATAAACTGTAATAATGGTGTGCTTTATTTTATTTTCCAACGAATATTTTTTAAATATATGAATTCGATTCATTTAAATAAAAATCTTTAATAAAATTAAGTAAGAAAGTTCTTTACTTGGCCACTGAGTTATATATGACTATGTCTGTAGTCCTTACTCCTTAATGAATACTGTACTGTATACGTTAGACCATTGTTGCTACCTTGACGTGGTGGTCGGGCTTGCCTATCGTGATGAAGCAACCGAGCTATACTTGCTGGAACAACCGTTCCTCAAGGTCCTACCATGTCAGACAGGTCGGTTGAAGAGCGGTAAGACTAAAAGCAACAAACCCAAGGTACGAAGGCGAAGTCGTACTGCTGACTGTACAGAGGTGTGACAGCAGTAAGGTGTTTCCTTCGGACAATCAGCATGACAGCGATGCTGCCTTCCCACAAGGAGGGGTGGGGTTAGAAAAGGTCGACCCTAAAAATGCACACCTCGCCTTACCTCACGGATTTCCGTCTCCGGCAGTAAGGCCCTTTGAAGAACGGAGCTAACACGTCAAAAACCTTCTACAAAAAGGCCGTGCGCGACCGGCCTCAAGCAGTTGTCCCTTGGGCACTGCGGTCACGCTCTCAGGTCGCTGAGACTTCCTCTAATCCAATTTCCTTTTCAGGTACCTCCAGAAAAACCCTTCCACGGTGTGGGCAACCGGGAAGTGATAACCGCCCTCATACCTCTAACAGCACCCAAGACCACTGTATTCATAATCAAACTTCCTCTTCAATTCCTATTATTCCTCCTACATCGACTTTCAACCCTAAACTTCCTCCTTCTGCTTCCTCCTCAAGTGTCACCATAGCCAACGATTCTAGTGCTCAAAACTCTGTCCCAGGTCTACTGAAACCTCGCTCCAAACTACACATTGGAGCTTTCAACGTACGCACTCTATGTCAAATCGGTCAGCAGGCTTCCTTGGCTAAAACCCTAGAGTCTCTTTCCATTGATGTATGCTGTGTCTCCGAAACACGCATACAGGATTCCAGTGTGGTCATTCACTTGACCTCACCTCGGCAAAACGGAGAGCCAACGAGATACACCCTCCGTGTATCTGGTGACCCGATGGCCAGTTCTCGTGGACTGGCAGGTGTAGGCATAGCACTAAGCATGAGGGCGGAACAAGCACTACTAGAGTGGATCCCCGTCAACAGTCGTCTATGTGCTGTTCGGCTAAACGGCTCCGTAAGAACTCGGAAGGATAGGGACACACGTCGTTCCCTTTTTGTCGTTTCTGCCTACGCTCCCACTGACTGCAGCTCAGATGATGTGAAAGATGAATTTTACAGAAAGCTTTCTGAACTTCTTCAGAAAGCTAAACGCTCAGACATAGTACTCGTAGGGGGTGACTTTAATGCTCAGATAGGTAGTTTAAACCAAACAGAAAGGCATTTAGGTGGATATTTTAGTATTCCGACACAACGAACAGATAATGGTGATCGTCTGCTGCAACTGTGTTCAGACAATCGCTTATTTTTAGCAAACACAAATTTTAAGCATAAGGAGAGACATCGTCTAACATGGCGACCCCCTACACCAAACCAATGATGGACTCAAATAGACCATACGTTAGACTTGATCGAACTCATACACAATACTCATGAGTTTTCGCTCTGAAAACTACTGAGAACAATCTATAACATTTAATTGAATGACTATCATAGTACTGTTGTATCTTTACTAAGATACCTTATAAGAGTTAGATTTATTGAACCTAACTGTGGTTGACAGCATCATTGATGAACAGGGTGGATCTGATGCAAATGTGAAGGCGCGGATCGGCAAAGCAAGAACAGCATATTTACAACTGAGGAACATCTGGAACTCAAAACAACTCTCAACCAACACCAAGGTCAGGATTTTCAATACAAATGTCAAAACAGTTCTACTGTATGGGGCGGAAACCTGGAGAACTACGAAAGCCATCATCCAGAAGATACAGGTGTTTATTAACAGTTGCCTACGCAAAATACTTCAGATCCGTTGGCCGGACACTATTAGCAACAACGTACTGTGGGAGAGAACAAAGCAGATCCCAGCGGAGGAAGAATCACTGGAAGTGGATAGGACACACATTGAGGAAAGCACCCAACTGCGTCACAAGACAAGCCCTCACATGGAATCCTCAAGGCCAAAGGAGGAGAGGAAGACCAAAGAACACATTACGCCGAGAAATGGAAATAGACATGAAAAAGATGAACAAGAATTGGATGGAATTAGAAAAGGAGGCCCTGGACAGAGTGGGTTGGAGAATGCTGGTCGGCGGCCTATGCTCCATTGGGAGTAACAGGCGTAAGTAAGAATTGTGATTGAACTGTCAAAACAGCTTCTGAACGAATTAATCACTTTTTATATATTATTTTTAGAAATAAAAATGACCTTAGTTATTTAATTAACTAGCTAAATTTGAAATTCCAATGTCTGTATCATAGTAAGACATTTTGTTGTCTCATAAACTGATTTAGTTGAATCCGTTGTAATTGAATAATTTCCTCGCTATTTTCTTCTTGTCCTAGACTTTACTCATTTCTATTTTAAATATCACAATTTATTTACAATATTTATTAGGAAGCTTCATTAAAACGTCGAAATATGTCCAAGTCATTATTGGAATTTACAGAACGTGCCCATAATGAATTAATTTGGCTAAGGGAACATGAATCATTCGAGGTGACTCGAGATTGGACTGAAATTTATCATAATGAACTAGATCGTATTCGAATTGATTTTCAAGTGGGTTGTTTGTATAGTTGATTGATTTTTTTTGCTTTACATTAAATTTCCATATGTTTACATATGTATATAATTGTGATCATGGAGACTAGTAATCATGTGACATTTAAAAATTAGTGTAATTTATCAGAATTATTCTATCAATTGTGAACCGAATACATAAATGTTTACTCTCTGTGATACCATTTCATCAAGTTCATTATTCAGTGATGTTTGAAAATAAATCCAATTGTAAGCTAAACAGATCTAGTTCTCGTGATATTAAGCATCAGTACTATGGGACCTTGGAAACACCTTTGTTCAACACTGAAAAAGATGGTCCATGTCTAATCACTTTACATTTCACACTAAATATTGAATACATTGTCACTCGGTAGCATTTTCTGCACCGTTAATCAACATTATACTCAAAAGAACTCTGATATTATTCATTCTAATTTAGAACAATCTTTTCTTAAAGTTAAATTTTTCACAAAATTCCACTAAGTAGAAAGCATTAACAATTAACGAGTACGAAAAACCAGCATTTCCATCCAGTTTTCCCCTTTATTAAAGGAGGAAAATGTAAAAAATTCCAACTCTAAGAAAATGTACGCTCACTTTGCCCCACGGATATTGATTGCCACCAGTAATCCGTTTAAAACACACCAGGAACTACTCGAATAAAGGTAGTGCATGACCGGTTTCGAGTATTTGTTCCCTGAACTCCGTGATCGCAATGACAATCTTCGGAAACCACCACTTTTCAGAAACTTCAAGAAGAAGTGCCCTTTTATAGTATGGACAACCGGGACGTGAAAGGCACTCACCTAATAGCACTAGATTAATTACATTATTCATCTTTCAACCAATGGATCAATAGTATACTCAGGATCTGTCCTACGAACTTCAGTTTTTAATTGCCATTTGATATAGATAATCTTTATAAGGATTTTAAAAAGTATAACTCAAAACCGAGTGCATAAACGTGTATTCATTAATTGAATTACAAGTTCAAAGCGATTGATCGTGAATGAAAAAGAAACATAAATTTATGTCAATTGCTTTCATGCTTCTTACACGTTTTTTTTGACTGTGTGTACAAGCATGTTTGTTTAATGAGTGAAATAATTGATTGTTGAACCGATCGATCAATCCATGATCTGGATCACTTTCTAACTGAATTTTGTTCTCTTTTTTATGTATGTTTTCTATCTTGTCATTCAATCAATGCGTTGAGTTTGTGTTTGTTTTTTGTCAATATAATTATGTATATTTTACTAGGTATTAAATTGTTCCATTCGATTTCTTCTCTTAGTCTATACATTTATAAGTTATTTATCACTTTAATGATGATTAACTTAAGGTTTAAAAAAATTGTGTAATTTTATACTCTGTACAGTGTGTAATTATTGCTATACCGGCATGTCATAATTGTAAACTGTCTTTTAGTGTGATATGATTTACTTCACAAAAAAATTGAATATAAAGAAATGAAATCTTTATTCGTCAAATCTAAATATAAGCATGTTGTGAATGTTAAATATTTTCAAGTTAAAAGCCGCCGATAACACTTTTTATGGCTTATTGTCAATTCATTTGCTTTTTATAATCATGTTAAAAGTACCGAACTAAACATATTAGTTACTGGTACCTGTTATTATTTACTTATTTCAAGCTTTCTCAACACTTTCATTTATCTATACCATCATAGATTCATCTAACTATTTATTCAAAGTACATGTATATACGTACTTATGTGTATAGATGTTTTCAAAAGTAAAAAAAAAGAATAAAAATACACAATTAAACTGCTTTTATAAACATTTCTACTTATTACCGTTATTTTTATGATTAGAAAATCTATTAAATCATTCTTTGTGTATAATGCATTCACATTTCTAATAGATAGGTCACTGTTTTTCATATCTCTTCCTATTCTTCCTCATTCACCCCTTTATTGGTGTTATTATTATTATTATCTGTTGTCAGTGTTTAATCTTCACTCTATCTTCGATTAAAAATATCGATCCTATCGATCTCTATTTGCATTTAATACATATAGTCCCTTGAAAATATTTATAGTAAGGACAGTATGGATTATTGACTGTTTCGTAGAATTAAAATTTAAGGAATGCACGTTGTTGTTTTTTGTTTTGTTTTAGATCGCATTGATTATAATTGGAATTATTATATTGAAATAATAAATTCTCATATAAACTGCTTATGATTAGATATAAAATTGTTAAATGAAACTCTAAGTGAATAACATACTGAACAAACTGTTCCCTTTCACTTTTTTTTGGTTGAGTTTCAATTACCACCAGAATGTTTGAATTTGAATAGGTTGACACAGTTGAATTATGTAATGCTTATAAAATTTATACACGTAAACTATCAGAAATATGTAGAGTTACATCATATTTGCTAACTAGTAACATGGCCAACAATTAATTGGACTAACTTCCTGTTGAGTCCATATTTAAGCGAAAAAAAATATGAGTCTGTAGGTTATTTATAAGAATCATCTCCAATTTTTTATACCGGTCTGATTATAATACTTCGTAGTCTGAAGCTTTTGATATTCAAAACAATGTGTGGTGTGATTTTTTAAATGAGCGTTCGTTTTGATTGTATCATTCCTACCTAGAACTCTGTCTATAGTTTAGTATGGTTACTCTTCTCAGTATTATCCCCATTTCTTTGAGGAATTTTGAACCTTATCGTATTTATGACCTCTTCTTTGAAAATGAATTTCAATTGTAAAATTCCAATTACTGTCAACAGTACAAGTTTATCTTGCTTAGAGAAGTCAAGGTACGTCTAATGTATATCTATATAATTCTCTCCTAATTGCCATTATTGTATCTGTCATCGTCAACTTCATTGTTTTCTTCCTGATTATTCGTATCACAGTGTAATACACAATTGCATACACATTTTCATAAATATTTCTGGCTGATTTTTTCTACTGCAAATAATTGTATAGAGATATTTTATTGAACAAATATATTGACTATAATAAGTATTTTATATGCTTATTTCTTTCGAATTGTAGAAACTTATGCATGAGATACACGAAAAAGAAATTGTCTACAGTGAACTCAGTGTATTAGGCTCATCTATCCAATTGGAAAATTATGATGTAACTGATCTTGTACAGGTAAGTGCTGGATCTATCGTTAGTCTGTTTGTATATATTACATTTGAAGTAATTTTTAGTTGTCGCCAAAATATCAATAGATTATTGATAGTACAGACTGGGGCAGTAGTTTTAATGATCAAACCACTTGGCTTTCAATCATTGAGTTATAGATCCATGTTTAGAAATGCTTATTTGATTTTGAGTAACCAATTAACTGAAGAGCTGCTTATTCAGTCGTTGTACATTACATATTATTATTATTGCACTATTTCACAAAGTTTTAGTTTGAAAACCAAAACAACTATTCAGTGATTTCTTGTGTTTTATGCAGCTTATTTTTTTCAATGGTAATATTCATTTTAATTTAAAATATTTATTATCAGTATCTTGTCTTGACATTATATTCGGTAACCTCGTTGTATTTGTTACATAGATTTATACATATAATTACTTTTCTTTTGTATTGAGGTGCTTCAAGCATGAACTCTTTAACCGAACCATGTGGGGGGTTTGTAATCTTCCTGATTGTGATCCACGAGTCAACACAACGCTTATTGTTGACTACTGTAGCCAACATGACTCAAGATTTATCGTTCCTTACCTCTCTATAGATCTTCAGTTTTTTTTGTTATTCCTTCCAAATTCTTCACTTTCAGTCGTTCTTTTCAAGCTATATTCTCTGTTAGTAAGGCTTTTTAATTGCTTGTTGTTAATGTTGAGAACCAATTGTCATGTATCAACAATGAGAAATTACAAATCTATACTAATAACTTAATACCCACTCAACAAGCTAGTGTGTATCCGGACTCAGTAGCTTATTGCGTGACGTATCAACGTTTGAAATGATAGGTGCTAGGTTCGAGTTTCATTGTGTATACCAATACATAGGTGAAGATGCATTGAACAGACGAATTGTAAATAGGACAAAACACGCATCTTGGGTTCCGTTATTAACCGAAATCCATATTTTCTGTATATCCGTTTTTTTGCTATCGATTAATTTTTAGGCTTCCTACAACTCTACTACTTATTTGTTTTGTTATTAAAAGGAATGTTACGATTTTTCAATTTTTTTTCATTATTATGTATGATATGGCATTTACGATACAATAATGCTGACTATAAAAATTTTTTTATTGTTAGATGAAATGAGTAGCCTACTTAAATCTCACTCATAATTGTTATACCATTACTTCTACGATTTTTTTTTTCGTTAAAATATTTCATTTTTAGACTTATCTAAATGCTTTGGAACGTCATTGGGCTTGGTTATTACAATTAACCTATTGTTTTGAAGCACATATTGAACAGAGTGCACGATTTCAAAGTTTTTTCAATGATGTTGAACAATGTGAATTATTACTAACTACATCATTAGAAGAATTACGTTCTCTTTATGAATCAACGTTAAATGCAACAACAACTGAACAAGGTGAAACTCTTCTCAAACAATTACAAGTGAGTAAAAGCGAATAATTACTATTTACGTAACAGTCTTTATCATAGTCACTACTACAAATTATTGGATTTTGACTCATTTCTTAGATGAATTGATTGAAGTTTGCTTGTTGTATTTCTATACTAACTTTTTCTACTAAGGTTTATTGTGGTGATCGATCACCAGAATTGGCTAAATGTTCACCAATCAAGCTCTTGATTAATTTGCATTCACCATTCAATAATCATGGTGAACTGTGTTCGGATATACGTTTGGAAAGAGCACGTTATGTTGGCCTAACAATGCATCCTCATTATAACCACATATGTTATGTAGAATGGTTATTAAAACTTTAATGACAATCAGTCAATAAAATTTTAATACATTTTTAAGGGACCCTTAACGATTTACATAACTTGAAAATGCTTAAGAAAAATAGATCTCTTGGTGAAGCAAAAGTTTAAAGTCAAATATGCTTATATATTATCTGTCCAGATATATGATTTATCGTCCCGTTTTTCTTTAGAACTGATCAGTTGAGGAATCCATTGCTTCCTCTTTTTAGTTGTTTTACTTTATTGAAAAAAAATTCTTAAATGATTCCTGAAGCTATTACCCGACTGTCGAACATACAGTAGGTTAAACATATTTCTTTCAAACTAATACCCAAATCGTTGACAAGTTAATGCTTTATACAATTTATTCACATTCTCATAGCTACAAAGTTGATATTTTCTCATCATTTAAAATAAGCATACAGGCTTCAAGATTAATCTATCTTATAAAGCTATATAATCAGTAAGATTAATGTTGATTGACACATTGAAAACCAACTATCTAATTTAATAAAATTAACCGATTATAATTCATTTTCATGATTCTTTCGTTATAGTAATTTTGTAATTGATTGTACACAATGTTGATTATTGCTAATTCCTTTTATTATCAGAATGAGTTTTGTGGAGATTTTAGGAAATTTCACAGGTTGAAATCATGAGTCAATTGAAGCTAGACCACCATGGAAAACTTGGAAGCACTGGACGGCCGTTTCGTCCCAGTATGGGACTCCAATGCGCATCCACGAACCCGCACCCCGCGGGATTCGAACCCAGGACCTACTGGCTTCGCGCGCGAGCACTTAACCATTAGACCACTGAGCCGGCATCCAACGGTGTTAATGTCTAACTTCAACCAATCCACGAAGTTGCGCCACCGAACACCATTGTCTTCAGTGAGCTGATATCTCACAACAGACCTGGTTGAACTCCACTGGTGACGGCTTCTCACTAGAACTCTAGAAGGTTCTCCTGAAGTCAGTCATTAGTGAGCAGTGCTTCCAGGTTTTCCATGGTAGTCTAGCTTCAATTGACTCATGATTTCAACCTGTGAAAATTCCTTTTATTGTCTAGTTTACAGTAGACCAATCATATTATATGTCAACTTAAACAATAATATTGATTATTTTTAATTTTGTAATGTAAATTGGTCACAGTTCAACAAGCAAAACAAAATAAAGTCAATATTCCATGATAACTTAAAAAAGATAAAACAATATGCTGAATAGTAAAACAATGTGAATTAATTTTTTTTATTTTACTAAATTCTCTCATCACTTGCTTTAAATCTAAAGAATTTTAGAAAATAGAAAGATAGAAATGAAGTTTAACATACTTTTTGCAATGAATTTGATCAGAATATGTTGTAAACATAATAGTTTAGTAACAATCTAAATTACATTTTCTTTTTTTAGCAAAGAAAAGTGTAAATGAAATGTTTCAAATAAGATATGATAGACGTAATACGACATTTTTAAAACGATATCAGTTATTACTACTGTTTTGGGATCTATAAATGAATACATTTGATGATTGGTTATGTTGATTAGCTGTGTAGGACTAAAGATAACCGGGATTGTATTTAGGTCTGATCGACTGGATTTGAATATAATAGTTTTAATTAAGTGTTTCTTTAATTTAGACAGATATTAAAAACCATGAAATACTTGGTGATTGTTCCATCCTAATATGAGACTCCTCTATAGTGTTCATTCACGACCCTTGTGGGGTCAAACCCAGGACACTTAAGTCATATAGTAATGTTTACTATCTAGAAGTACGGAACTGGCTTTCACTGTCGAAATTACCAGTTTCAATGAGTTCGTAATATATCGCAGCGACCAGTCGATTCCATTTCTGTCAACTGTATTACCTCCTAAAAGTTTGAACTCCATCATTCACTTGTTTAATTGTTGATTATTTATATTTGTTGTTTTAGTGACTGATTCAAACTCATATATTCTCCTGGTATGAATTCTATTTTGAAGTAAATTTTCTTATTAGGGGTGCTATTGAGTACATTGACTGATCATATTCATTTTTTATTATTGAATTCAGAAATGAGAATCACTTAAAACCGTATTTATTATACTACAGAAATTTTTAATAACTACTTGTCTTCAATTATAACATGATTTCGTTAGTGAATGTATCAAAATAAATTTACTTATTCTAATGATTTCAATCAGTCAACCAGTTTCATTTGTATACATAACAAATAATAAAAATGATATAAAATTTTTCCATGGGACTGCATCTCCTTACGATGCTCCACTGCCTCGTGGATCAGATCCTCAAGTCGAAGGCTCGGGGTGTGGCCCCCTAGGAAAACCACCTGCTTTGGTTTGGGCACCCGGGCAGTATCACAGCCCTCAAACATATCGAATGAGATTTGTGTGGCGCATATGTATTTGGTGCCTCCTTGTACCAATATCTATGTGTTGAAATAAAAAAATTGTAAATAATTATTATATTAAAATTTACTACTATTGGACTACTTAAGGAGAGATAGAGAGAGCAATGAAAATAAAATGAATATGATCTATTGTTCCAGCGAGATCTTCAGGTCATCACCATTTCATATTATTTTAATTATTATTATCAATCTAAATCATTCTTTGTATCTACTATAGTTTGCATGTAGATACTAAATAAGGATAATAACTGAATAAGCCAATAGGAGAGTTAATTAGTTTACCCATATAAATGGGTTTTAGAAGTATAAACTTATATAATATTGATCTTAAATATTATCTGTTTGTTTAATGATCTAAGCAACTAATGTATTAGCAGAAAAATAAGTTTAGGCGCTCATATTAATGTTGCATCTTGATTTGAAACAATGAAATAAATTCTCTGTGTTTAGATCATCTCAATTTTTTAAATGGGATTAGTTGTTGTTTTTCACCGCATCTATACCGTATTATTCATTAGTGAATTATTCGAATTTTAAGACAAATTGAATTTTCTATTAAACGCTCATTTCCCCCAAAAAATAATGAACGAATAATTTTTTTATCACTCTTGATCCATTTATCTCAGATTTTTCTCTTCTTTCTCCCTCTCTCTCAACACTATTCCACAGGAACTTCATACTCGTGTAATTGGTCAAGAGTCATTCATATTTCAATTAGTAGACATAAGTCAAGAAATTATCCCACCAATACCAAGCCACGTGGATGCACGAGACAGTTCAGCAACTTTGATTGGTCGACGTATACGTGTTCTATGCTCATTCCAACCTAAAGATTATTTCTCCGATAATCAATCCTATTCCGGTGATGTATCAATCGTTAATTCCGCCAATACAAGTCATTTATCGATTGCAAACGCAAGTATTAGCAGTATTATAGAGCCAACATTTTGGCCAGTCGGCAACAATACAGGCTATTTTGATAAAGGTGATTTTTTCATAATATTGGAAAATCCAGAAAATCATCGGCTTCAGGTAAGTTAATCAATTACATAATCTCACCTGATTACTCTTTTTTCCTACAAGATAGTAAATACATATTCTGATACAGCATTAATGATCATATACATTTAGCTTCATATCACCTATGTCACGAAATGGGGACTATTTAATCGGATACTTTATTGGGTGTCTTTGTCCATGCTACTTAGTTTTATGTCACTTCGTAATCCAAGCAATCACTGTTATATATATATATATATATATATATATATATATATATATATATATATATATATATATATATATATATATATATATATATATATATATATATATATATATATATATAAGTTCACTAATTGATTCTTCACGCTTAAAATTATAATTGATACAAATTCTCGATTTTTTTGCATTGTTTCACATTCTAAAGATAGAAAACATGTGTTTGCTACTCTTTCCATGTTCATTTCAGTCTAAAATACCATAATCCTTCTTAGTGTTGTCTCAGTAAACTGTTTTACTGTCTGTATATCCAAATTGATTACTTGTCAAATGAAAATTCAACCTCCATATCTTCAGTCAATTCACAGTTGCTTTTATTATGATAGTATTGGAACTTAAAAGGTTATACACCATTAAATCGTAAAAGAGTAATTGAATATGAAAACTTTGTTTACTGGAGTTAATCATCTCTACTACAATAATACGTTATTGTATATATAAATTAAATATCTTTATTGCTTTTTATGGTTCTGTTTTTATTCTCATTCATTTTGACTTATAAAACTGTCCGAACCGACGAAAGATAGTCTGTTTCTTCTAAATAGTATTTATATAGAAATAAATTCTATTTTTCCCCCTTTGTGATTATATATATATATATATTCATCTCTGTTTATCTTTTCTTTCTCATTTAATAGGTTCGTACAGCTAATGGATCTACACTAACTGTTCCTTTGACATGTTTTCTGCCTTGTTGGCCTAGTAGCGAAGCAATGGATCGAGCTAAACGTATTATTACAACTCTACAACATTTTAAAACATGTTGGTCTGAATTGAATTTACGAATACATGGACATTTATTAACTGTAACAATGTCTAAATTTATTGATGGTGCACCTCTTCAGTATAATATTCCACAACAAATGGATATACGAAAAGTAAGATAAACTATTTTATGTCAATTAATTCATTAAAAAATATTTCGAATAACATCGTTTTGGAGTTGAAACAATTATTTGCTGAAATTTTAAATTTCACCCTTTCCATTCATTATTTCTCTGATTTTTATTTATATGTTAGTAGCTTGGTGGTTATAGTAGTTGAATTACAGACACTACAGTCTCCATGTGATACTAAATGATTAGGATTCAAATTTTGCAGGAAGTATCAGTTTCTCGGAAATTGCGAGTACTCTTTCCTGACGAGTACGAACCGTTACGATATCTAGACCCAGAACTTTCTACCGATTCACTCTGACCACCAAACATTGCTTGGAGTGATTACTTCCTCCTATATTTATTCACACCACGATACATAACTAAGTATAGTTTGATCGGACTGATTTTTCGTTACCTGTCATGACCACCATTTTGTCTTCGTTATTATATCACTAAGCAAAGTGAAAGAAGTGTAAGCGAGTTGCTTCCCTATTATTCTTGATTACTGAGATGCTATTGATTAGTGGGTGGGTTTGTTGTGACATTGATAAATGTTTATGTGTGTTTTTTTAATTGCCATTGTTGTTACGAAAGTACGTACATATTTTATTGATAAGAAAAAATAATAATTTATCACTTAAATTCATTTTTTACAATTCACCAGTTATTTCTTTCTCACTTCAATTTGTTTCATTGCTTACAGTCTGTTTTGTAGTAAATTAGGTCATTTTTTGTGTGTTGACATCAGTGTATACATTAGACCTGGGAGGACCCTATAATTATTAAGCTACAGAAATACTTCACGTTAACTATTACTTCTTTTTTTCGAAATTAAAACTATCTAATGAGAATCTATAACTAGTGGGGTTTAACCATTTCGCATGTCAGGCACTAATGACATTGGTAGATAGTTGAGGATTTTTTGCGGATCAATCAAAATTAGACATGTGAACCACTCGATGACGACTCGGTTGCCTATAGTTTAAGCTTTTGCCTTAGAATTGAGGGTTCTGAGTTCGATCGTAGGTAAGGTTTTGAATATGTACTGCTTAGGTGTCCTGTACTAATACTAAACAGCCATCCAGTGCTTCTTATTTTTCTCTGCTTGTTCAACTAAGATCAGTTTCTAATTTTTACTATCAAGAGTGCATACTGAACACTTATGTATAATATGTATAAACGGCTTCCTTCAAGTAAATTATTTTTTTATGTAATCAGTTGTCTAGTGTTAAAATTGCACGAACAATACTTTTTACGACTAAACGTTTGAACTACTGTGGAGAAATAATAATGGAAGAGCCTTTGTGTGTGTGTCGACATGCTCACCTGAAGGTCATGAGTCTAATTCCGTTCAAGGCATTGTAAAATCTCAAAAAGAAGACTTATTAATTATCTTTTGCTCCCCTCGTTATCATCAATTCGTTGGTTAGTAAAAATTGTCTTCAAAAAATTCTATTCAATTAAAAAATGGTACATGTTTTTAATGAAATGGGAATTTTTTTCTTAGAATTAAACTAGGTCTATTAAAATTACGGTAATTTACGGGTCGAAACAAAGAAATATGTAAATTAGGTGTTTTGAACTACTAAATGTCAACCTGGTTCATTTTTAAGAATTGAGTATAACTCTGACTTTAAATTAATGGATCTCTGATGGTGACCTTTCACACTTTAGTATAATTGCATTCCTTGCAATGTGCGGATGCTTCGTAATTGACACCTACTTGTATTGGCTACTTTGTATTGTATGCATAATTCTAACTTAATAAAATAAGTTGGAATTATGCATACAGGCAATAAAATGTCTTCTCTTGAACCATGAAATCTTTCTTTTCGTTATCTCTCTTAATAATATAAAGTTATCATCTTTGAAATGTCATTTTATGTTAGACGTAATATCTAATTACCAATAAAACAAAATATAACACTAATTAATAATTAAATACATTATTCGTAAAATTCTAAACACTCGATAGATGAAATTCACTTGATATTGTTTACTTGAATCTTCCCATTGGTGTTTTGAACTGCAATTGATCTGTCTTTTATTGGCATATATGCGTATTGTCTTGAAATTGCCTTAATTCTAGTCCTGGAGTGAACAACAACTCGGATGCAGGTACATCCAGCTGATGACTACCAAATAGGACAAAACGCGCGTCCTGGATCCTACTGCTAGCCACTATCCATCTTTGTTTATAACTCAAATAGAGTGGTTTAGAAAATAAGATTGATAAGTTTGATTTTCAAGTCACTTTAAAAATACCATCACTTATTCGGCTATAGGTGTACTCATTTAACACGAGTATCATATTAAAACAAAATGGCTCATTTATTCAACAGTATTTTAGGCTGTTGGTCAATAATGTTGAAGCTTCTTTCATTGAAATTTCCAGTCATATTGTTAGGAAATGTGTTATAAACAATCCTATTGAAATAGTGTGTTTATTATTGAACTTATCAGTGTGAAAGATATAGCGATTTTTTTTCATTATGATTTAAGATTGGTTAAACTTTCAAGTAAATACTTATCATTTAACTAAACTACAAGTCTTCACAATCACAGACCAGCTATTGTTTTCTTTATATTCATATGTCTCAGTTAAATATAAAGTACTAAGTTAAAAGTGATTATTATCGATTATTCACGTGTTATTCTATGTAATTCGTTCGTTATTATCGTATCACTTTCTGTTATTGGCTTCTATTATCAATTAATATAATGATACTCATATATTTCATTATTTTAAAATTAATAACACTATATCTTCACATGAACCACATATTATTATTATTATTATTATTATTATGATCATTTAATAGTTCCCCTGTTTCCTATATCTCACATTCTGTATGTACCGCTTCTGCATTACTTACCATTATTGGTAAAACCACATGATTATGTTTAACCCGAAGTTTTTTTTGGTATGTAACCCTTTATCTTTCATATCATATAAAGTCTTAACTAAAAGAATTTGGACTTTATTTAAAGAAAAGAATAATTCACATACACATTTACACTTGTATCCATCCAGCTGTGATGTTCATGTTTTAATTTTCATTCGTTATTCTATTATGTTATTGTGTTATTATGTTATTCCAAATACTGCTTATGAAATAATTCTACAATAATCTGGTACTTATGTTATGATTTAACTTGAGATGGGTTTCCTCAGGTTTTAATTAAAAGCTTGTAACCAGTAGATTAATCAAGCTAGGAACTAGGTAGACATTTTTAGTTGAAATGAAACTGAAAAGTGCAGACCATTTGATTCATTGGTTGAGAGCTATTGTTCTCATCGCAAGACTTGATAAGTACAAACTACTATCGAGTTTCATCCCAAAATAAAATATATATCTAATATTCTTTAGTGTTTTAATTCGTTATGTAATTGATATCAGTTCATAAAGCTTTCAATTCGTGCATTCTATGTAGAGTATCAAGTGCTGAGTCAAAAATATAATTCATGTAGAACGGAAAAATTGATAACAATCCTTAATTCTTAACCCAAAAAAAGATGGCCAGATTTCTTGATAAGACTAAATACTTTTGAGAATGAAAGTGATTTTACAGCATAATTGTCTAATTAACTTTGTATATGATTTTCTTTAAAGTATTTGTAGAATTTTATGAAATCTTATTCTGAATGATACTTAACACGACAAATGTTTAAATCAGTCATAAACCCTTTTATACAAAATAGATGGGATATGGACATCATTGAAATCAAGACATCTGTCTCGTCGTATTTGGGACTTGTCAGTTAGATGTACCTGCATCCTATAGTCACGATTCTCTCTGGGACTCAAACCCATTGCCATTTTCTTCAAACCCCACTCTATTATCCACTTAGCTACTGGGTCCAAATACCCACTTACTTGTGCTGCGCGTCAAAATATCAACGACAGAACAATCCAAATCGCTAGAAATTAAAGTCATTAACTCTGTTTACATGACTCCTATTGGAGTCAGTATAAATCTGGATTATTTAGTAAACTTAATTACTAATTGTACATTTTCATTCACTCATTGTCTCATGCTGTTGTGTGAAATTCCAATTATGTTATTTCGCCTTAAAGTTGTGCTGCAGTTGCTTTTTCTCCGAAAAATCCGAAGATCCTGTTATCTGATGTTTTCTAGTTAAGAATTCCAATTTACTACATACACAACTGTTCATAATAATCGGCCATTCCCAGTCGTATTTTTTCCATTTCATTTGTGTGTTCATATAATTGTGTTTTAATGTTATAGAAATTTTTAAGCGTTCATGTAAAATTGACCTCATTATCTAATGAAAAACTATAGTGGAAATTAATGAATTCTCTTCAAAAATAGATTGTAAGTGAACCTGTTTATCCTTTTCACATGTTGTTTTTTTATTCAGGTAATTTATCGTGATGCTGAACGTTATTGTTTAGAATTGCAACTAGCTAATGTACCAGCGACAGAAGTGGAGAAATTTAAGCAACGTTTTCTAGATTTCCAGAATAGTTGCATTAAACAAGTGAATGATGTTCCAACTACTGATGACAAGACTAGTATTTGTAATGAAGGTTTATTGACCAAATCATCAGAAATTTATTCAATTATCGATGAACTGAGAACAGTGTTGAGTACGTTGACAGTACGTCTAAGGGAGTCGAATTCAATTCCCTTACCAGGTAGATCAATAGATATGGAAGTTCGTATTAAAGATCACAAGGTCAGTCTTTTTTTTACCACTTTCATTAGCTTTAATTATTTCTTTAACTTGGAGGCTTATAATTAACGTTTCGGTGAATGAACACTGAATAACAAATGTCGATGAAGATTGATAGCTTTATCAACTATTAACACAGTAATTATAATTACTTAGTGGTTCCATTGTGTATGATCAACGCTTTTAAGACTGTATATTTCCAACCTATATTTGAACACAATAAACAATAATACAACAGTTAAAACATTCGGCTTTCAATCAGTACTTGGTGGAAAAGAGAAATGTACTAAACACTTAGAATAAAATAATTTAGATGCAAAATTATATTAAACCTACTTCATATTATATTTTTCTACAAAATAACTGTATCTTGTTACAAAATCTATTTGTATTCTTACGTAATTTGTTAAATAATTGATATACTTGAAATTTGGAAAGAAAAATAATAAAACGTATAATTTTAGATTAGATATTTCTCATCATGAGAATATTTTTGTGTAAAGAAAAATGAAAGAATTTTGTTTTTATGTACTTTTCTCTTGTGGATTTTTTTCTTCTCACTGTGTTGTTATGTGTATTATAAAATACTCTGTTACTTAATTAATTATATGTGAATAAATAAAACTCAAGTTATTGAGATCATGAGGAAACCTAAGTTAGAAAACTATTGAAAACCAAGATGCACTGAACACGTATTTTCTCATAAAATGAAACTTTTTCAGAAGTGCACATCGACGACCCCATTGTGTATTGAATTCAAGACGTACGGTTTGTTGGTCAGTACAATAACATCTCGTAATCTCTACAATTCCATACTGTAAATCCATGTTGTTAAGAAAAAAATAACTATCGTTATCTCGATTTTCAAGCATCTGTGTACATAAATGAAGTTCCTCTATATCTCTTCTATATTATATTTGAATATTTAAACAAAGTATTCACTTTATTAAATTCCTATCCAATTATCTGTGTGTTTACATAGTGCATTATCGCTGTAGTTTTCATGCACTCTACTTGATAGCACTCAGTAACCAATTTCAGATTAGTTTACATGGTTTTTCTTTGCACTACACTATTTTGTGTGAGTGAGGGTCATCTGAACTTACAACCAACTGGCTGCAAGTCCAATGATTTACTCATACATTCATTGCTTCACGACTTAATTAATAAATTGTAGATAAGTTATTGAGCTTATGTTTTATATACACGTGGAATCTCACAAAAATCTCCAAACATATGAGCAACTGGAAAGAATATACAGTTGATCATTGATATATTATTATCTTTAAAAGTACGGAATATTTAAATGATTAGGTAATTTTTGTTAGTTAATTTCCCAGTTACATATTCGTATACTGAGTCTCCAACTACGCCATGACTGTGTAGGGTAATGATACCACCCTGCTACCCAGACTGAAGTAGATGGGATGGAGTTCGAACCTGCAACTTATTGCTTGGAAGTCGAACTTTTTAACCATTAACACATCCCTTCTATCAGGTATTGTTTAGAGAAAATGTTAGTTTGAATGAATTGATCGCAATATCTTGAGATGTATTTCATATTGAGTGGTTAAAGGCGTGCGGTCTCTTAGGCTATATTGAATTTATTTAATATATGAACTTCATCTGAAGTAAAGGATTACACAAGATTGGTGTTGTATGATAAATAATTTAAATGTAAGATTTAACCCACTTTGGATAGATTTTCTTTTTCATTACCATGTGGAAAATCCTTCTTATCTTTCAAATATTTGACTGTTTTTCTCCCAATACTCATATGGTATAGTAGACTTTGTACTTTCGATTTGATCACTTGCCATATAAAACTCCCTTTAAGAAATTTGAAGGTTAAACGTTATTCTACTTATTATTGATGAATAACGTGTTCTAAGAAATCTGATGTTGTTTGTGTGTGTGAAAGTTAACCTGTCTTATTTTAATTTATCAGATAAATAAAATTACATTATTTCTTTTATGTAACTACAAATCATGCATGAACGATAGTGAAAAAATTAACAGTAATCCGTAGTTCATTACTTGTAAGCTATTATCGCCTATATTCTATCCACTGATGTATGAGAGTAGATTGGTCATTATGTTTTTAACTTCATCCATTTTTAATTAGGTTTGCCCAATTTACATCAAGAACTAGACTTAGATAAATAACCAGTGAACTTTAACCATGGTGTATGTAAGACATTTATCTACCATAGCATTGATAGATGGTTGGGTAATATCTCGAAATGTAAAGTATTTAATTCTCACTAATGGTCTAAAGACCAAGCAATTGCTAAGAGACTTGATGGACGTGACTTGCATTCTTGCTAGAATCATGTGATCACATTTATGACGAGCCCCATATTAGGAAACAGTTGTCCATTCCTACCGACTTTCATTGATTATTTGATTGATTTCAGTCTGTGACATAACCTATGACATTCAACAATCTCCATAAACACATCACACAAATTATTTTTCACCAATTAAGAAGTTGTTATTATTTAATTAGTTTCAACATATCGTTTCACTTTTCTTTCTAATAACAAAAAAACAATTCTATTATAGGAATGGTCTCATGCTTTAGCTCGTGTTCGTGCTCAATGTACTGGATTAGAAGAACATATCAATAATCAGTTACAATCACGATCATTGAATGAACAAGATACACTGTTGAGTACAAGTCTTTATGCTCTACATAGAGCAGCTAGTGAACTAGCACTAACTGGTCATGAATTTTCTTGTCGATTAGCTGATGCTGACGCATGGATCGCTCGTTTAGAACAAACTGATCAAATACTAACGGATTGTGAATTATGTCTACTAGGTTGTGCAGTACGTGTACATGGTCTATTGCAACTTGATGATTTGAATAGTTCAACTGATCCAGATGGTCTTCGTGTTACAGTGGTGGAAAGAGCTCATCGAGATTTAAAGGTGCGTTTCATCATATAATTTTACTGGTATTTTGTGTAGTTATTTTACAAATACTCATCATAAAATGTTTCGATTAATGAATAATTAGAACAACATATTTTAGAGAATAATATTGATTTCAATTAGATCGTCATCAATCTTTACTCTAATATACAGTAATAGTTATTCCGATACATGAAAATATGAGACCAACCAAACTATAATGGCCGTACTACTAGATAAATTAGCCAATTAGTTTTCAAGCATTTCTCGTAGTTTGCTGAATCAGTTAAGATTTCATACCCGGTTGCGTACTACCACACATGTTCTTATAGTGATTACGTGCTCGACAGAATCGAAGCATTCAAAGTGATTTGCGTTCAAGTTTCGACCTTGTCTTTGACATATAGTACAAGATACAGAGGTTCGAGCTAACAAATGTAGTGTGTGTATCTAAAAGGATCTTGTAATACCCCTGTCGCTGTGTTGTTCAGAGAAAATCTAGTGGGCGACCTTATTAATTATTTCTACCCTGTGTTTCTCTTCACCTTTTACGCATCTCTTATTCACTACGTATGTATTTAAAACGGAACAATCAATTTGTACTTTTTATTTCTTTGATGAATTGTGTAATATATCTGATTGAAAACAATACTGTTTGTTGATGTATCGTTTTGCACGATGGAAACTTTTAATAGTTTACTGTATAATTGTATAATAGGAACTCTACCAGTGAACATGTTTCCCTTATAAAATAATCACTTAGTTATGTAGCCTGACGTATTAAAAATGTCATATATGAGAGCGGTTTTAATTATTTAAATTTCTTCACCGGTTGCAATAGTTTATTATAATTGTAGACAGTCATGTTTGTTTTATATGTGCTTGTTGTAACTAGTTCGGGAAATTACTCAAACTGTGGACATACTTATTTCCCTTTTTATTGATCACACTACGAAGCTGAAATTCAAGAAATAACTAGATTTATGGATAGTAAGTATGTTGACTGTGTTTGGCTGTTGAGTGATCTACTTAGGGAAACATTTATCTAACTATTATTATTATTATTATTATTATTATTTTAGTCGGTAGCTGAGCGTCTTCCTCAAATTCGATCTGACCTAGATTTACTTAGTCAACAATTAACTAGATTTATGGTTTCCAATGAGGCATTTAATGAAACGCTCCAGTATGATACTGCTAACCTATGTGAAAATTCAAACCTGTTAAAGATGCATTTATCACCTTGTACTGATAATCATTATTTAGAATCAAATCTTGCTTGTTCTGAACATCGTCTAGCTGAAGCAACTAAAGAAGTTGAACAAGAGTGAGTGAATATTTGTGTAATTTTCAAGTGTTTTTTGGATATTAAAATCATTTGTTTCATGATATCTACTATGACATCAGATAGTAAATTGTATTCGTAATAACCCCAGACATTGTAATCTAGATAGTTTCAACATTTCATCTGGTCATGTTGGGTCGGCGGAATAATAGTAAAACGCTTGTTTACTTACTTACGCTTGTTACCCCCTCGTGGAGGAGCATAGGCCACCCACCAGCACTCTCCATCCAATCCTTTCCAGTTGCTATTCATTCTTTTCATGTCTGCTTCTAATTTTCGGTTCAGTATGTCCTTTGGCCTTCCTCTTTTCCATTTCCCTTCAGGATTGCAGGTTAGCGCTTGTCTCATGATGCAGTTTAGTGATTCCCGTAATGTATGTCCTATGCACTTCCAACGTATTTTCCTAATTTCCTCTCCAGCTAGAAGCTGGTTTGTCCTCTCCCACAGTAGGCTGTTGCTTGCTTGTGGCTTAAGTTTATTATTCATACCCACTCACACCTTCCCTCTTTGGACTCCTTAAACCTGTCTCCCAATAATATTGATATATTTATCAGTGGTATGATAAACTTTCATCATTTTAAGATGAATAAAAAGCCAATGATTTGTGAAGTGATAACCATTTTAATAACAGTGAGCTTTAGTAATTACTCTATCACTAGTTTGGATTTAATTCGGAATCCAGTTTAAGACAGATAACTTGTCCCGCAGTATACTATATCACTGTACATTCGGGCGGAAAAAAATTCTGCCTAGATACATTGAGCCTATATCTCGATAACATTTAAAATGATCACTACCCTTTTTTAAGTATTCACTGGTATACCTTTAAAAGTTTGTCGTTTGGGTTAGTGAAAACAACCACGGTCGCCATAATGTCACTCGGGCCGGTGAGAGCATTCGACAAATTCAAGGACATACACACATCCATTGTTATTATGTCCTCATCTGTACACCAATCAAAATGCCGTAGACCATGACTACTTTTCTCATACCCCCCATCAACCCTATCTGGTTTTTTCGGGAATCAAATAATCGAAGATTTTTGATTGGTCTTTAAGTCAGGAGGAATCAACTTTATTTGTGTGCATATCTTTTCTGTCAGTCGAATGATTAGTATGTTTGATTGATAAAACTACTTAATTAATTTAATAAAATCTAGAGCTTATTATTCACTTACTGAGCTTATTATGTTTTGATTGGTTGAATAATTTCTGAAATTTTTATTTCCTTCTGTACGTTTCACTGAAATCTGTCTGTTAGTATAAACTTGTGGGCTTGTGTGATAGCTATTTTTTGTGTTTAGAAAATTTTTCATGATTGGTAAATCGAACAAATTCAGACTGATCACACTACGCCTACGGTAAGTGGATTAACTCCATCTAATCACGATGATCGCCCATATATTTTTTTATCTGGATCAGTCTAGTCAACTAAAAGTACGCATACAACTGTAAATGTTATCATTGACTATGCAGTTAGCTGCCACCTACGCAACTTTTATTTTCACCCTTTGTATTGTTGGCTTGGTCAAGTGTTAGAGATAGGCATAACAGATTAACTGGACTGATAAATTTAAAGTCTTTAAAGGTTCATAAAATTTATGTCGGTTTATTGATATGTAAATTAAATTACAGACAACATTTGAATATTCACATTTCGATTTGTATTACTGAAGCAACATTTCCTCTTTTGTTAGTGGAGGAAACTGCAGTTTATCATTATAAAGCAGAAATATATTGACCGTACACCAAAGCTTAATAAGGCTTATAAATATGTTACAGATGCCTTAAATTCTGCGTATCTGCATACCTTATACTGATTGGTATAGGAGAAAGTAAAAAAATAACTAAGGCATAGTGGTTAGCCCTGGACATGGTATTAAACCATGAGATATGATAAAGTACAAACTGGAAAGTTGGAGTTTGTGCAGTTAATAGTGATCAGTGTCTTTAGACTTTAGGTGATATTACTGAAAACTGGTTGTAGACATGTAGATACACTCATTCCCTTTCTTATCCTAAATCTTGAATTTCAATATTATTTCATACTTTTTATTGTCTTATTTTATTCTTATTTTCAAAACATATTGGCTATCTTTGATCCTTATAATCGTTATTATTACAACTATTCGAATTCATTTTCGGTTCATCTTGTTCAGTTAATTTCACTGAGATAATTTGATATGGTAATTCAGATTGATATATATCTGCACGAGATCCTCCATTGTTTATGAACTGACTGATGAATGTTACTAGGATCATATTTAAGAGGAAAGTACATTTAATAAATTATGTAGTTGATATGTGTAAAATAAATATTCGCCTCTCCAAAAAAATTTATATTTTGAAGCAGAGATGTATGATAGATAATAGTGGAATCTGCTTATAATCCTTGTGAATTAGTGATATTATCGATGCAATCCTCACAGGATGCACATATAGCAAAAGAGACTGACCAATTGCAATCTTAAACATCATTGAGAAGATCCAAACAACCAGTATATATGAATTAAATTTATGAATTGTTTCTGATTGAGATGAAAACATGATTAGTAAACTATGAGCATGGAAAGCATCTCCTTAGAATTACTTCTACGTAATTTTTAAAGAAACTCAACTATTGCAATGTAAAAAAAGTAATATCTTTAGAATTAGTTCTTAACCTTTTGACCATAGGCTAACACGTCCGTTGGGAAATACTAAAATATCTCTGTAATGCAATTTATATACCAATTAGTACTTGAACTAGTTGACTTTATACAATATAACTTGTCTGAAGGACGGTTACATTAAAAGGTTATTCAAATAAAAGTAGATATTTCGAGTTTGAACCTTCAACCTATGATTTAATGAGCAGGAACTTTAACTACTAAACTGTTCCTTTATATCTAAAATATTACTTCCCTGTAAGTGTTCTCTTCTTGGTTGATTGGATTATGTAGACCACATCTCAGAGACAGCATGGACAGCTTGGATTTGGCTAGATGATTTGGACTCCCCAAATGATCTAGCTCTTCTATCCCATACACAGGAACATATACAAACTAAGTCAGACAGTGTAGTAGCAGCCTCTGCAACAGTAAACCTCAACATACACAAGGGAAAAGCAAGATCCTCAAATGAAACTCAGAGAGCACCAATCCAATCACAGTTGGCGGAGAAGCTCTGGGAGATTTGGAAACTTTCACGTACCTGGACAGCATCATCGGAGAACGAGAATGGTCAGATGCAAACGTAAAGACCAAAATGGCAAAGTAAGGACAGCATTTGTAGAGTTGAAGGACATATGGAACTCAAAATAACTGCCAATTACTATCAAAGTGAGGAACTTCAATACGGATGTCAAGACAGTTCTACTGTATAGAGCTAAATCTTGAAGAACAACTACAACCAGAATCAAAAATGTACAGGTATTGATAACCAATTGTTTACGCAAGATACTCTAAATCCATTGGCCGGATGCCATCAACCTACTGAGGGAAATAACAAACCAGCTTCCATCTGAAGAGAAATTTAGGAAAAGACACTGGAGGTGGATAGAGCATACATCACAGAAATGATCAGACTGCAACACGAGCCAAGCTCTAATACGAAATCCTGAAAGGAAAAGGAAAAGGGAAAGATAAATGAACACATTGCATCGGGAATTAGAGACATACATCAAAAGAATGAATAGCAATTTAAAACAACTGGAAAGAATTGCTCAGGACAGAGTTGGGTGGAGAATTTTGGTGGGTAACCTGTGCTTCTCCACAAGGGGTAACAGGTATAAGGTAGTGAGTAAGTTAATAAGTATAAGGGTATGGAAAAGAAGAAATCAAACCATTATTATCTAAGCACTGATAAGCTTGTAAAAATATGATAAAAACATTCATAATGAAATTTCAACTTCATTGTTTCTTATTGAACAAGAGATTTCATAGTTATTGAAGAAAAGGATGTGTGAAATTTTTTGGGCCACAATGAAATTTCCTATCACTTTATGAATAAATCACAATAAGAACAATAATTTTCCTTGTTCTTTGTAACAAAATTTATTCACTACTAATTATTATTTATCAGTATATGAAGGGGGGAGTTTTAGAGATTGTTGAATTTCATTTTCACATTGAAAACCAGCTATTCAAATCGTTTCCTGGTTTCTAATGTTTGTCTAACTAGGATCAGTTTGTTATGTAAACTGCAAAAGTTTTAGTAAATTGACACTCCTTTTGATCTCTTAGTTATCAAAATCCCCTATTTATGTATATTCTGTATGTTGGATCGGTCGGTGTACATTATTATTATCACTATTATTATTATTATTGTTATTACTATTACTTTTATTATTATTATTATTTATTATTATTATTATTATTATCATCATCATCATCATTATTATTATTATTATTATTATTATTATTATTATTATTATTATTATTATTATTATTATTATTATTATTAAAGGCATTCGTAATCACTGGAATAAGTGTCCAAATTGTAGTTCGAAAATTCTAAGGTTATATCGGTGATCTAACAACTTATGCAAACCAATACTATCGATAAACAGAACTGTAATGTTTCTTCACTGAGGGCCGGCATTCACCTTTTTCACTAAGCAAAGTAAGCGTCTATGAACTTGAGACTGACAATCTCGCTTCGTTTATCTTTGTAACAGTTGTTTTTGTTATCGAAATGACACTGTCCATCTATCTAACTACAAATTCTACAGTGAAGATGTTTGTAATCGACATAGCTTTATTTAATGAATTAGTAGTAGACGTTATGATGGAAGATAGAAAACTCGATTATTATCAGATAATTTATCATTAGTAAAAAAAATTTTGTTAGACACATCAAACCCAGGTTGTGTGAAGATGTTTGTCTATCGGAACTTCACAAAACAAACAAAATTTTGTGCTTTATTTGAATCTTTTTTTCGTGTTAACAGACTCAAATCATTTGGCGAATCACTGGTCTGTTTCTCAAACTATCAAAAGTTATCCAGTCAACTTATTGTGTGGTCAAGTGAATTCTCTTCTCGTATGCGGTTATTTGGTGAAATGGCTCAGTCTTTAGGATTAAAATCATCCGATACAAATATGATTACTGTACAAAACCCTAGTTTATTAAAAGAAATTCTTAAACAGTCTGATGATTTACTAACAGATTTACAGGTTAATTCAGATGTTATGGAACAGTTGAATAAAGAAGTAGCTCATTTAATATCTTCATTAACTGTAAGTTATTTTGAGTAGTTTTTTCCATAATTATGATCAACAATCAAGAAAATGCTCGTTGTTTATATATATATATATATATATATATATATATATATATATATATATATATATATATATATATATATATATATATATATCGAATACCCTCTGCTCGTAATAGCCATGCTTCACCCGGTATAAAGTAGGATGGAGTAAGGTGATGCTCAGTAAACTCGTCATTTGGTTGACACACGAATATATCACCTACGGCGCAAGAGGCACAAGTTGACAAAAGCTAACCAAACCTTCTGAATATGTATCGAGATTTCATCAAAAACTAAACCATCAGTACTGATGAGACCCCCAAGATAAGTGAAGTGGTCGATGCTGTCAACTACTTCATTCCCCATCATTGATTCAGGTGATAACCTAAGCCTATCCTGAAGTAACATTTTGTATTTGGAGGAAGAGGACCATATCTGTGTTGTTGCTAAAGGTGGTCAGAAAGTCTAGTATTTGTAGGATAGTATTTCTGTTTTAAGCTTTATTTAAACTACTAACCAGTAACATTATCCCTTCAATTCATTTACTGTTCAGCTCAGGTGTGTAGATAGATGCAGACTATCAACTTGTAGTCCACTTGATTATCATAACTAATAGTTCGAAATGTCGGCTAATATAGCTTATAATCGTTTATTCATTCACTCTTTGTCTTCGGTTGGATGCTAAGCTTCTCAATTATCTTAAATTTTTTTACCCCAGTAATTCATATTTTTCTGCATCATTCATATCTTTTATGATTAGTCTTTTGTACTACACCTAAAACTGCTATTACTTATGCTACTCTGCCGTTCCTCTGTTCTGATTTCGTGTGGCAACTTAAACGAATACACATATGTATTATTTTGTACGTTGTGTTTGATCAACCGACTGGTCAGTTTTCAATCATCACTATGAATTCAGTGTCTCTTCTAATCCTTCTACTAATCATCATCATCATCATCATCCTTACTAACAAAGTGTTACTTTAAAATTCATGATTATTTTGACTAAAAAAAGGTTCTTTCTATTAATATCCTCATTTTTATAAATGTCTGTTTTATAGAATTATGCGCAACATACTCAAAATTATCGTGAATTAGTTGAGAGTGTGTTTCAGAAAGCTGGTGGTTCACGAGATTATCAATGGTCACCAGGATATGGTTTATTCGATATGGGTAGAGTATTACAAACAACTGATCAGCTGAATGAACAATTTAATACACATTCTCGTCGTATATACGATATAGTGAATTGTTTAAATCGGGTAATTTTTCTGTTCGAATAATAATAATAATAATAATAATAATAATAATAATAATAATAATAATAATAATTTGATCAGAATCTTAAGCACGTATTTTGTTACTGTTTGATTTTAGTTGTCAGATGACTAATATTTGCGGATTTCAGTGTTCTTATTGAAATATTCTAAATAAAATAACGGTATTTCTTGGTTATGCACTCATTTTTACCCTTTTGTAAAATTATGTTTATCAAATACTATTTATGATTTCACACGTCTGTCATTAATGACATTATACAGAACCTCGTGTGAGTATGTATCAACTCACATTGCCGTATTTCATATCGCAAACCTGAAAGGACGAAAAGTGGTCTTTCGTCACGCAAACTGTATCACTGGATACGGAGCGTTCACCTAGGGGGGTTGATAAACTCTGACTTCAAACCAATGGTATACATGGGCTCTAGGATCCCGAGGGAGTATAGATCTGTTTTTGGTCACTGTCTGCCATAGAGCAACAGCTTCTAATGTTTCTCCCCTACAGATTAGACGTTTAGGTCATAGCCTTTGGATGTGGGCCCCGAAGAAAAACAACTGGTTAGGTTTGGACTGGTGGATAGCATCCCAGCTTACATACAAGTATTTTTCTGCGACGCATACTGTTTTTGGTGCCTAGTTGTACCAGATTTTACGTCAGTTGAATAAATAAACTTCATATCACCATAGAGAATAAGACAACTAACTATTAAGACCTTTATGTTCAAGTTTCGCTCCATATACTTCAGTTTGGAAATGTGAGTAGTATCACTAGCCTTCATCTACAAGTAGTGTGGATGAAAGCCAAATGCACAAACTCTCATTAGTAAATTAGATTCTCTAAAAATATTCAACTAATCATATTTTGTATGACACTTAAATATCTCTTACCTTAATACACCAGACGTTTTATTCCCATCTTACTGAAATAACACACATATGACCCTTTCGTTGTATGTCTGACTATTTATGTGTACTGAGAATGAGAAAATTTTTGAGCGTTGAGGAGACAAGTCGATACTTCGAAAAATTCAAGTCCATTATTAGTAAAGGATGGACATACTTTTGTTTTCACGTAATTCCTTTTTTATTATTTTTCCCATCAGCTTCTGCGATCCGAAGAACCTATCTCTATGAATTTATCTGGTCCAATTTTTGTAAAGCCTTATCGTGAACTCTACATAGGCAAATGGCCAAATGAATTAAACAATTGTTTAAAGGAAACTCAATCGTCTTTTTCTCCCTTGGTATCACGATCAAAGTATCAAGAAAATGGAAAAGACCACACATTACCATTAAAAGTTGCAAATAATTCAAAAGATAAAAACCATTCAGATTTATCGTATTTTAATCAACTAATCGGGGAAAAGGGACTCAAATATGGTGTATATCTTAATGATGTGCGAAGTCAACCGGTGTGTTTACTCCCAACTGGTTGGGAAGCAGCTACATTGACTACAATATCTAAAGCACGTGAATTATATGGACCAAAAATTTTTCCAACTACTGGTGCATGGTTTGTGACTAATTTAGCTGGTGAGAATGAAACATATGGACTCGGTGAAACTATTTGCGTAGGAGATGCACTACGATGTGGATTAATTGATTTAGTTGGGCATAACTGTCATCAAAATCGAAGTTCACTTGCCATTTCCTGGTCTGAAGCTATTGATCGTGGCTGGTTAACTGCCTATACTATTCAGGCTTTAAATAGAAATATTAAAATTGGTGATTATAGTGCATCTGTAACAGATTTTCTGACTAGTACTTTGCATAACCCTGTCGATCATCATATCGACCCAAAGACTGGTATAGTCATGCCATATGGCAAAAAAATTATTGATTTATACTCAGATGGATTCATAAATGAGGCAGATTTTCATCATTTAGCTTCTATTCTATCTAGTGGCATGTGTGTAGAATTTCGAGATTGTCATTTGACATGGTATGAAGCCCTAAGCATTGGTCAAGCAGATATATCTTGGAAACCTTGTCTATCTGATTGGTTAGCTGCTGGTGCGTACAATCCAAATACACGACGTTTACGTGTCAGTTTACTAAAGTCTGGAAAATTTAATAGCAAAAGTAAAGCATCGAATAATTCATTAGTGTTTACTGAAAATGAGTTAACAATCAGAGATGCAATTAAAAATGGACTTTTAGACAATACTGTCCCAGAAGTCATTGTACCTGTTGAAAACCAGGTGGGTGGCTACCATGCTACCTCTTATCGACGTGTCAGTCTGTCTGAAGCTGTCGAAATAGGTCTTGTTGATGATGTATCTGGTTATTGGCTCGGATCAAGTTCATCTTCCAGTCGAACGAAGGTTGGTGTGGAAGTGGCTCAAGCTGCTGGCTTATTAACTAAAGCTCCTTGTCTAGCTGAAATTGTTTTATCTGGTCTAATATCGTTTACTGCTCCGAACATGAGTGAAAAACGTCCTAGAAACAATGTGGGTATTCTTGATGCCCACACTGGTCAATACGTGTTGTTTCCAGAAGCAATTAAACGTGGAATGATAGTTGGAAATCAACCAGCCATAATTCTTATGCAATCCCATCCCAATCAAGTATTGACTTTAGTCGAAGCTCTGAATACAAACCTAATCACGCCGTCCGGATTTATAATTTTGGAAAATAAACCTATGAATTTGTGGGACGCAGTTAACAATAATTATATTCGACTTATATATACTAAATCGTATCCGCCGCCTGTAGGTTTATTACTAGGTGCTAAGGAATCAAATCAGACGCATCGTCAACATCCTATATTACAAGCTATTCTTACAGGACTAATTGATTCATCCAAAGAGGAGATTATTCTTTCTAGTACAGACCCACGTCAACACGGTACAAGCTCTTCGCAACAACGTATCTCTTTAAGAAAATCAGCTAAGCATTCGGGATTGTGTGATTTACACTCTATACAGTTATTAACTCAAGGATGTGGATTATTCACTGAAGATGGTCGTGAGCTAACTGGTTTGGAAGCACTTAACTCTGGTTGGTTAAAACCATGTGAAGATTTCCAATTTGGTTCAACTATAACATATGGACAAATAACAGATCCTATTAGTGGGTCGTCTATAATTTTATCGCCAAATATGAAGACAATGAAAAATATTGATATATCACCAGTTGGGGCTCAATTACTGTTAGGCTTATCTATCAATCGTCCTTCTTTGGCTTATTTAATTAATCAACGTTTTATAACACGTTTAGCATGGCTTGGTCCAGGTTTACATAATGATAATTTAATAAATAAAACACTGAATGATTCATGGTTCACACATAGCTGTCGGTCTGATGATATATTAGCTGTTATAGATCCAATTAGTAGACGTAAGATCACACAATCAGAAGCGATTCGCCGTCATCTACTGGACATGGAGACTGGTACATTTCGAGATCCTGTTCATAATCAAATCTATCCATTTAGTGAAGCAATAGAAAAAGGACATATTTTAGTGAAAGAAAAACCTCTTATGGTAAGTTATAACATTTTATATGTTTTTTTTTATCAACACATATGTCAGTATTTTTCATTTCAAACTATCCATTTAAAATAAATTTGTTTAGAAATCTTTAAAAATAGAAATAATTTCCCCATATTTTGCAGTAGAAACCTAATTTATTGATAAATTGCTATTCATTGATACAAACTATCATAGAAGTATAAAGCTTCAATGTATTTTTTTCGCATTGTAAATTATTTTCCATGTTTAATGCGATTCAGATGCGAAAACTTAGTATAAAATATAAGCTACTGGACACTATGTTTAGATTGTTGATTAGGTTCTTTGCATATGATAAGGGTCATAAACATGACTCTTCTCCCAGCATTGAGTTCTGAAGTACTAGTGAATTTTTGTAATATGGCTATATATTACTAATGAACTGTTACTTCGAGAAAATTAATAAGATTTAAATGTTTTTTTTTTAAATATTAACGCAAAACTTATAATGAAATAGGCAAATATGCGGAATACTGATTTGTTAGTCGTTTGCTTTACAATTTATTAGTTACTTTCATATTCCTAGTTTTGTTATTTACTTTCTACAATTCTCTCATTAATTTATTTTCAAAAATGATCAATCATAGTATTTTGTAAAATATAACCGAATAGAGATGTATTTTGAATCTTCTTTTTCTCATAGTTCAAACTGCTTCACTTAATTGTGCTCAATTAACCCCATTAATAGGAAGAATTAATGGTGTTTTGAAGAATGAGTCGAAACCATATACTTTATATTTCGTTCGAATCACGAAAAAATTAACCAATTTTTGAGTTTTGACAATTAAATGGATTGAAAAAAAGACCAAATTTGCGTGATTTGATTAACATTGAGATCGATTATGACAAAGTGTGCATTTGCAGTGGGGACTCGCTACATTTATAATATGGATACTATGATAAATTCTTTCATGAAATTCATCTCAGGAGAACGTAGTAACAGCCCTATTTGTGGCTATAACCATTTGATTTCTAAGTATTTTCTTTCAACTCTTTATTATTAGTCAGTAATAGTGAAAAAGTATTTAAAATAATTTATCTTCTGTGGTCATTAAGTCAATAACGATGATTCATTTATTCTAAATAAGCAGAGGACAGTGTTGACCCTTTAAAGTAGTCGAAAATAGAACATTGGATAAGCTCTAAGGCTCAATGCGTCAAAAGAATTATGTGTTTACACGTTTCTCAACATTTAGCCTATAGAAGAAACAGAATGAATATTCGTATCATTTGTATCAACAATGCAGTATCTACTTATTGTTGTTCACACTAAATAACCTATTCTTATGACTGACATGGCCTAATAGAACATCAATTCATTAAGCTTTGTTCTTACTTAAATTTTATTTGTCACTCCTACTTAACATAACCTTTTTACTTCAGTTTCACAATATTATTGCTTTTGTTGACATGAATGATCATGTAACTCATTGTTCTAATACATGTTTATGTACTCGATTTTGAGCTGTAGGGTTTTTTTGTGAGAGCTAATGTTACATTATTGTCGAAGTCCGAATCTGCCATCTACTGGTTTAAATGTAAATCCTTGAACCACTAAGACACTGTTCCACATCAATATCAGATGTTGTTTACCTCTATTAAAAAGTCTTTAGGAAAAAAGTTTTCTCTGTATGTCATAATGGCCTATTTTTAAATAAAAGGTGAAAACTTCATTTTTGTGTGTGGATATTCGATTAATCATTAGGATCGACGAAAAGTGTTGCCGAGTGATGTTTATTAATAAAATTTTGATTATCGACACAGCCAACCTTTCAAATGATAGGTGTCAAAAGACAAAATTACTATCGTATTTTATAACAAAATGATAAGTGTTTATAGAATGCTTAATCCAAAAATAACGATGATTAAAGTTCACTTAAGCATAAGTAATTGAATGAAATATGATTTGTAGTTCATTCATTTAATATTGTGAGCATCATGTTTATGAGTATGATATGTGAAATATGGTTACAGTTTTAAAGCAGCTCGAATCGTTAACTAAGTATTAGCGCGTAAACTTGGCTTCAAACTACACTTTTCAGATGATAGCTACCTCCCTGTTTAAATCAACTTATGTAAGTTGGATTCGAACATATGACCCAGTGTATCAACATCGAGTAATGTGAGTATCAAGTCACTTTCATAAACCCTTCATGCTTAACTAGTTATTACTACAGTTCGTTATGAATATTAATAGTTATTGGTTGTCATTAAACATCTTATCGTCAAGAGAGTTAACTGTAATTGTAACAATAATTTAACCATGTATCTCAGGAATTGTTTATAATTAATGAAACCTGTGCTTAAGTATCTATTATATTAGTAGTTGATCTCGTCATACATCAATTATTAACAGTTATCTTTTATCAGAGAATACGTCCATGGATACAATGTTGTTCCGCATTACAAACTATTGCATCTGTTTGCAATGTTCTGTCTATTTATCTAGTAAATTTATTACGAGGCAAACTCAAAGTTGTGTGTAATGTCAGAAAATTGTGAAAATTTCAGAATACCAAACAGATACAACCACCAGAAAACATCATCGTTTCACATTTGGGGAAACAAAGAGATCCGATAGGGGGGATTACTAATATAACATATTACAAAAATACAAACAGAAAGAGGAAAATATCAATGTCTAATTCATCTACTTTGTTTTGATAAACTCGAAGTCCATAAAAGAATCCCAAGTCATGATACGTCTGATTTGTATAACCAGTTCATTCAGATGATGACGATATATTATTTTGCAATAAGACATAATAAAGCTTACATTGAACGAAAGCTAAATACTTATTCATACGCTGAATAATGACAATGCAGATTAGGAAGTTTACTGTCTAACTTAGTTATCCCAATACATCTTATGATTCTGGATAAAATATTATGATTTGTAATAAAGTTTAGTTGTCGAAATTAATCTAAACGATAAAAAATAACTAAACATGTAAGAGACTTTGTTTTAATGCAGTCTGTCGAGTCCAGAAAATAATAGACGTAAGAAATAATAAATGTTTACGTTTCTTTTAAATGTATCAAAGCTTTAATATTATGACATATTTAAAAGTCCGAAATTTCTGGGAGCAACTAGTTCACATTTCTATAATTAATTTCTATAATAAAAGAGCCATGTCAGTATATGTGTAATATAAAATTCTAAATTTCGATAATGCAATGAGAAGACGTAGTTTATCAGAATTATGTGATATATTTGCGCAATACGTTTCGAACAATCTGACCACACATATACTTGTTAAGAATGAAAGGTCAACTAGACAGGTTAAGGGTAAGTCATAACAAAGGAAAAATATTAAAGTACACAAAAACAAATGTGATTACCACTCTGGATAGTAAATCAGTACTACCAGGGTAGGTTAAGTGTAAGCACAAATTGTTTTTGAACACATAAAGGAGGTTTCAATTTTCGTATAGCCAAGGCTTCAATAAACCTTAGTATACATCATTGTACGTCCTTGTACAACACAACAAATGCTGATTTGATATCAACCTTATGACCCGTCTCAATCAAATGTTTCGCAATGGATGATGATGTCTGTCTATCCTGTGATCTTATTTGACCATTGGAATCCATTTGTTTCTGCAACCGTTTTGGTATGTGTTAACCGCAAGAGAATATTATTGAGTAGCGGCACAGAAGCCTCTCGCTCATAGTTTATTCAAAACAACATTCTTTTTTACTTTCTAAAGTTAAATATCTTCAATTTGAACAATAATAGGTATTGTTTTCCCAACTAGTGAACGTACTTCCCTTTGATGGCTATTCAAATTTCCACAAATCGTTTTTCGTTTATTTGCTGGTATAGGTATTCTAGGGATTACTTTGTGGTAATCGTTACAGCAGGCCTCTGCTTACTTAAATACGTGGTTACCCGTTTTTTTAACAAATAAACTAATGATTCGTAAGCATAACCAAATCTTTTTATTTAAAGAAAATTGAGAGTGGTTGGATGAAGTAAGTCTCGGTGATCTTCATCATGAATTTTTTTTCTGTATGAGACTTTTGTGGCCCTGTATCTGACTGCAGTTCGATCGTATGATGATTGCTGTTGAGATATTTATGCCACCAATCTTGCTATATAACTATCGACTGAAATCGCGTTAGTGAATAACGGAATTAACTATGTCGAATACGAGAATAAAGCTTGAATACGTATATTTCGTACAATCGTTGATCTGAACAAACAATCAGTGAGACGGAGTGAAGAGAGCGAAGCAAAACGGATCGGAGAAGTCTCTTTCGTAAAGATCTTTTAGTGACACGTGATCTGACTCCAATTAGATCTTATGACCGATTGTTATTGACTTATACATGTAGCCAATCCTCACATTTAATTATCGACTTAGTGAATAACGGAATTAAATAAGTCAAATACGAGAATGAATTTTTGAATTTGTATATTTTGTAAAACCGTTGATTGGAAAGCGAAGCAAAATAAAATGATGCGTTAATCGATATTTATACTCAAACAAAAAAACAAGTTACTGACATATGATAAGTAAAATAAGAAATTCACACACATGCGATCATATTTAAAACGGTCAGGGTTACTAAACCAATAAGTAACAGGGTAAAAATGTGGCTCGAGTAGAATGAATGGATTGGTCTGTCCAGAGGCTATAATAACCTATTGTGGTGTGAGCTACTTAAATTGATATAAGTAGTATGTAACGTGCACCAAAGGAACGTAATGTCTGGCAGCGGAAGATGGCGAAGATCAAGAAAGGTAGAGCGAGAACACATTGGAATTTGTAAGAAAATGCATGAACAATGGATTGGTGTTTGCAACAGAAACAGTCCAGTTTGGTTTGATGCATGAATATTTTGCAAATTGACTATATGGTATTCAGATTTTGTTGAGATAGACTGTAATTGTTGTGCTAAATACATCCGTTTGTCCCCACCCGTGTTCTTGTTCACTACACTATGAGCGCTAGACATAGTAACAGCTCATACAACACAATACTTTCATCATTTATCAAAATTGTACAAGATGAAGTTTGGAAAGAACATGTCTTATATTTTTAAAACATAAGGACCAAAGTGTTGTTTCTGTCGTCTTGATATAATAAAATTAGTTTAGAGTCTGAAAAATAAACAACAACTCTCAATCTTATCACAGATATTCCTCATTTTTAGATTTGATTGAATAGTTCAGTGAGAACCTTGAACACGTTAAATTTCCTTTTATACTAATTACCCTACTCACCAAATCCTATTCGGATTATATATAGAATAAGATTTATCAAAAGTCCTCATAAAAGCTTCCTATATTTGGAGGTATAAGACTATTCATTGTAACAAATGTCTTCAATATGAGGCCAAAGAAACAAAGGTATATAATAGTTGATTTTATAACCTAACAATATTTTTACTATGAGAATACTACTATTTTAATTAGATCAGTCAAATATTACCACTTAATTTGAATTCCAGCACCTCACATGTATCTTGTTGAGTGAGAGTAGAAAACACAGCTACAAAAAGCAACCTTATTCGTTCTAGGCCAACAATGCTACATCGTCTTGAAAACAAAATAAACTTGATAATGCAGATGTGTTTTTGAGAGATATTTATCATATCTTTACTTTCTATATGCTTACGAATCTTCCATTTGGAACTTGATAAAAAAACAAAAGCATTTGAAACATAATTTGACTAACAATCTTTCTAATGATTGTAAGCATTAGTAAGTAGTAAAATTGTAGTTTGTAATACTTAACTCCGTTCCTGAAAAATCTATTTAATCAGTATTTTTAGGAATATATTAACGCGAAATAAATGTCTGTTATTTTATACGATACCACTAGGAAAATTTGTGCATTACAGTTGGATTTACAAACGCTGTATTACACTGTATGCGTAGTTTGACCCCTTCAAATAACCTGAAGTGCAACAAAGTGGCTAATTCTAACAGGCTAACATTATGAAGTTATTGTTTGTTATATTGCGTTATGAAAGTAATTATATAGTTAAAGGTTGGTGGTTCCTAAAATATTGGAAATACCAGTCTACGTTGATGGGGTTGCATCTCATTCATTTTATTATTCCACAATAAATCGATTATCTGACCTACGAGTTTTGACTTGGACTCTAGTAAATAACTCTAATCTTACCATAACAAGTTTATCTTGACCACTGACTTGTATATTTCTTAACTATTAATTCTTTTCTGAACCCATATTTTTTTTGCAAATTTTGCAAAGTCATGGCAGTAACTGTTTGGTCTTGGGTAATCAGTGAAAAAGATTTATTTGCAAAAAATAGACGAAAAACCACGCTGTACAATGAAAATTTATATTATTTGTAGCTTCATCTAAATTCGAAATAGTTTATTTTAGTTTGCACTCCAACCACGTATTGTACACATGCTTATCCATTTATCTCTGTGACATTATCTGCTAGTAAATACTCTTAATTTATTCCATATTATTTGGACGTTATTATCGTAGAGTTCAGAGTCTCGTTCAACAAAAAGCTTACGGTTCACTATTTTGTAGCTATCATTAATTTGAAATTCCCAGTTATTGTTATATCCATAATCCAATGTAACAGCATTAAAATGATGTGCCTTAACATTAACTGACATTTCATGAAAAAAATCCCAGTACTACTATAGCTTTTTGTATAAGCAATGCTCTAGTCTATTCTGTGTTCTGTTCCTACTACCAATAACCATAGTGTCATTTCATTGAAAAACTTATGATGTTTTCAATAATGTCTCACTCTATATAGTCCATAAAATATAGGTAATTGGAATTCTGAATGAGGTCTAAAAATTCATGCAGACAACTATCTTCATTATTTTTTATATTCATAGGAATTATTCGAGGACCTCTATTCAACCATAGTCTTGTTATAACTTTACTTATCATTCATGGATAAAAAAATAGTTTTTAAGTTGGATTTTTGGGTTCTGTCACTGTCATCCACATGCTTTCATCCTTTTCCCCTATATACTTTTTCCTCTCTTAGGGTAACACGTCATCCGTACCCCACTCACTTCATTCAGAAGTAAATGAATCAGTCGAAATGGTTTCTGTCAAGGAGACTCGTCTATATAAGATTCTAAATGTTCTCGATCCTCGTACAGGCACTCGGATTGATCCAAACGAAGCTGCTAAGAAAGGTCTTATCAATTTGGAATCTTTCACATACCATGGTGTACAACCAAGTATTTCAATTGAATCAGCACAACAATTAGGTTATATATCAATTTACGGTAATAATTATGAAGCCTCTCATGATAGTCTTATGGTAGATTCTACAGATAAGTTGCCATATACTTTAGTTCAATTATTTAATAATGGTCAACTAGTCAAACAGTCCGGATCGAAATGCGTTATCAAAGTCCCAGGATACATAGATCCAATGTCTTTAAATGCAGCTATTGCATTGGGTTTAGTTAATGTTGAACATTCAATAGTGAAAGAATTTAACACAGAAAAATTGTATTCATTGGATAAAGCTATTTTAGTTGGTTTAATAAATGATCATAAAGGTCTTTTATTGTATAAAAACAAATGGATTCCATTGACTGATGCTATAAATCGAGGTTTGATAACTGAGAAAAAATTACCAACAGAAATACCGACTTTTGAAGAAGCTCTTGAGAAAGGATTAATTGATCCAGCCTCAAATACTTTTCATCAATCAGACAACAATAGTAATTCTAATCAGTCGAATTCTATAAATGTTCATGATGCTATTAAACAAGGATTATTGAAACCTCCGGCTACTGAAGTAAGTTGTAATAAACATTTTGGATTTTTTATCCATTCTCATTTTGCTGAAATTTTTAACCTATATGAATCTTAGAGATTAGTTCTTTACACAAGTGTTCACTTCTATTTCCTTTTTACAGCTGAGTAAGTGAATCGTAAACGGAATTCTATCTATTCAAAATGATTAAAAGTACTTACAAATAATTTCGTACTTTGTTTCACGTAACTAACAGTATTTCATCCAGAAATTAACTCACATATACTTTTAACTTCATATGAAAATCAGCAGAAGTTTGATTTTGATTAGTTGACTGAACAAAGCAACAAACTATGTAATCTATACCTCTATTCTCACTGATTACTTTTTGCTAATGCTAAAGATGACTTTTGGCTAAGCCTTCTGATATCCTAAAAAATATTAAACTCACAAACGTAGTAGCTCCACTGAACTCAAATATATTGACTGGGCCGAGTGGAAAGATATCTTAAGTTTTTTACAAAGCGAAAGTATAATGATCACTGTCTGCTGCAACTATGCTCTTATGATGTATGACTTGGTAATCAAAGTGACTAACTCAGCAGTTAAAACAGTTATACTGTCAGCCATTGTTGAAAAATAATGGTAAAGTTTCCCCCCTTCCTCTGTCATACATAATTCGAATCTGATCACGTTTTCGTTATCATCACATTTCATGGACACAGAAAGACCACAAATTTAGTGCAACAATGGCACAATGTAAATCATTTATAAAATGGTAAATAATTCACACAATGATTGTGAACAGTATTAAGCATTGAAAATGAAAGAGGTGAGGAAAGCAGTGGTGATAGATAACGGTTGATAACTGTTTAAACTCATCAAGGAGACTACATTTATAGACCAGTACATAAAACTTTAAAATATAAAGCTCGGTCGACAATCCGCACTAACCTTTTAGAACAATGAGTGGGCACCTTAAGAACAGGTCATTCGGCCTCCAACCACCTTTCAGTCGCTTCCAACCTATAACTTCAGCAATGTAGGCACTTGACTCTCGGATATCTAGTTCACATTGTAGCAGCTTCTCAGTACACATATATCTGCACTTTTCGAATACTCACTTAAAAACCTGAGTACTTTTATTTGAGTGTCTGTGATTGTTTGTTTATCACGCTTTAGCTTGCTTTTATCTATCTGACTATCAGTGTTGAGTTACGTTTGATAAAATTGAGTAGACTTGGATGCCGTTGCCCATGCTTCGCTTCTTACAGTCTATCTGAATAAATGAACGTGTGAAATAAATTTTTCCAACTCACTTTTTATTTGGTTCTTATTACCTCTGTTGCACAATGGGGTTAACCTAAATATAAAAGGAAGATTTATGTTTTATGGTTCGTTCATCATCATTCACAATGATGTTTGTGATCTGTCCCAATACGTATTTAAGTCAAACTTATAAATGATCGCCATAAATTATACAAACCTAAGTTTGCTTATTAACTCATGTTTATACCTTTCTTCACCTACTGTATGAACTTTAAAATAGATGTTGACATAAATCATTAATGATGACGAAAATTTACGTTAACTAGTTTGATTACACTTAGTATTATACTAATTCTAACTAATAATTGTTATAAATAATCCAACCTCAAATAATTGTTTTATTTTTAAAACAAAATAATTTTATAGACTTTTGGAAATCTCAATAGTTTACCAAATAAAGGATATACTCATAGTATGGATTCCTTATTAGCTATTAAAAGACGAAGTGCAAAAGATTCCAACTGTACTGCTGAATTACGCAATAACACATTACCTCCTGTCATACCATCTGGCAATTTATTAAGTAATGGAAACGATTTTATTGCTAACAATGGTCGTACTGAATCAAGATTGATCAAATTCTTAGATTGTCATGGTGTTGGACGACTACGTGGTAAATCATCTCATTGTAATTTACGTTCAAAATCTACAGTAAATGATGGAGATGAATATACTATTCGTAAAAAACCTAGAGTAAAAAGTTGTGATATACCTAAACTGAAAGAACGTAACTGTGTACTTTATGCTTTCTATTACCTACATGATGATGTACGTGTTGAAGCCTCTATCACCGATACAATGGTTCGTGAAGGTCGTGTTGACGTGCATAGAAAAACTATTTGTGATCCAATCAGTGGACAGTTTTATCCTATTCCAGAAGCATTAACAAAAGGTTTTGTTTTCGGTATTGTTTTTACTCAAGCTGAACAACATTTGGAAAATGATCAGCGAACATCTAATTCTTTATATTGGTTGGAAGTATTTCATTATCGTCATGATATATATCGCTTAGAAAGAGTGTTTGATCCTTATTTGAATAGTTTAGTTTCAGTATCTGATGCAATAGGGACTGGTATTATTGATCCTATCCATTGTTCATATACTCATCCAGTAAGCGGAAATTTATATTCAATCGAAGAAGCTTTGTATCAAGGTTGGATACAAGCATTGCCTGTTGGTAATCCACCACCATTTGATTTAATCGGCAGTTCATTTGATCACGTTCATGTACGTACAGTTGAAGAAACTACCACTTTTACAAGATCTGTACATACTATACTTCGTGGTAAACAACTTCAAAATAATATAAATAAAGAAATCTGTTCACCTGATCAAAAATCTATGCAAATTTCACCACAGACGACATTAAATGTACAACGTCAAATACAATGTAAAACACCACCAAGTTATCGACCTACTCATCGGATACCGACAGATTCTTCTATTAGATATCAACTGAAATCAGACAATCAGATTACACCATCTGAAAATAATTACAATATAAAAAGTGAGAAATCTGAAGTTTCGACATATTCACATCCTAATGAACAACGCTATAGTGATCGTGAACAAGAGGTGAATAAAACTACTAAGGTACGTTTACTGACAACTTATTTCTTGTTTTACTTCAATTTATATAAATATTCAAAAACTACTCAACACAGGGACACCAACAGTTTGTCAGCCATCACTGAAATATATATGTTTATATAAGTAGTACAAATGAATTTCACTATATACTGCTATGATTCTCATTTTAAATTATTAATATGGTTCTTGTAAGCATTTTTACAAAGAATTTACTCGTTGCTTTTATGAGAATAATATTTTAATATAAGTAGTAGAGATTAATTCAGTGAATATATTTCTGTTTGGTGTTACGTTGCTAAATACATTATTAGCCATTAAGAAAATGCACAATAAATCCTAATTAGTTGTTATTATGGTTTGATATCAAATAGGATATCATTGGGAATCACTGAAACTATTGAGAATTACACTTTTATACGGAATTTTAACAGTTTATAAGAATGTATATTTATATGTAGATTTTATTGTAATTCATTATTAGATTCGCTTAACTGACTAACTTTTATGTTACAAAGATGATTATTGTACCAAAACAAAAGACCCCAGTTACAATAAGATTTAAACAAGCATTAGCTTTATTCATTAGTAGTCTAATCTATATATGATTTCATATGGCGTTAAAGTAAACGGTAAGATTGTCATAATTATTATAATTATACATATCATATATGATAATGATAACTGTTATGACTTTATGTCCGGCTTTTTATCACGTGATTTATCCACCAATCAAAATACGACTTGCACTGTACCAAACCAATAACGTTCAAGCGATATGAACAGTCTAGCGTCCTTATTGGTCCTATGTCCGCCTAGCCCGTCCACTTGAGTCCAGAACAACATACTGGGTTTATATATCCAAACAGACCACAATGCACCACAAAATAGGAAATAACATTTGTACACAATAAAGCCAAAAAGCGGCTGTGAACGTGGGAGGCAGTAGTTAATACACTAAACATAGCTTAAGAACCGTAAATCGTACAATAGTAATTTATAGATCAAAATAAAGCTTATAATGAGAGGAATATAAATATACATAATCTAATTATTGAATAGTTATAAACATAGGAATATATAGATAATATTAGTCAATTGATATGTCTCAGAAGTTACTCGTGATTTAATCTTCGCTCGGATTTAACAAAAACAATAATGATACATAATATTATATATAATATAATTAAATTATGCAACTTGTCGAGTAATAATAATAATAAACATTATCATGACTTGACAAAATAATCCACATAAATTTCGTTTATATTATACCGATCAACCTATTAACCTAAAAATACTATTCCGTTTATAAATTCACTTCAATCGTAGAGTTTCAATTAATTCTTTTGAATACACTAGATGTATTTGTTGTAACGGGTGTGTGACTGCAGGTTATGATAAGCAGCGGTTATATCGATCGATCGCAGTGACACGTAAATACGTACGAACGACCTAGTGTCCTGATTGGCCCTGCTCCCCTGTCTATCCCAGCCAGTTGAGTCCAGAACGAAAGTCACAGCCTCTGAGATATGAATCATTGTATTTCAGACATACTCTATTTATATACTAACCAAACATACCACATCGTACCATAAAAAAATAGGAAACAACATTTTCACAATATTAAACAAGTGAAGTAAATATTGACCAATAGGAAATATACATTTAACGTCCAAGGACAACATTATACTTAACATGATAACTATTGGTATATTTTTATGCACATCCTAACAGTATTTAATCGTTTCCTGATATTATTTATCACATCTTATGTTTGATTATTCAAAATAATTATAATCATGTGTATATGAGTGTAATAGTTGAGGCAACAATTTACAGACGACCTTTGCGTTATACTAACACCTTAGCGCTCTTTTAAATATTTTTTTTCTCATTCTAAGAAGTAATTAAGCTGGAAAACTGGATATACTTTATGATGCTTTCATTAGTAATAAGTCTTTCAGTCATTGTTTTGATAGATAAGTTCAGGATAAAACCTAGTTTAACAACAAGCATACATCACGAATTAATGTTATTATTACCGACATATGTTCATTTTCGAATGATAATTCATAATAACTGAATATAATTTAGTAAGTTACATTGAGAAAATTATTAAAAACGGAACAGAATCTTATAATAAGAAACAGAATCAGAAGGTGAAAATACGATCTTGAACAAATTAGTTAAGATGAGTGAATATTTCAATGTTAAAAATCTTTTCATACAAGGACACTAGAAATTCTTTCAGTTCTCTACTCAAATATTTATATTTTATTTATTTCAAATGTGAAGAAGGTTAGATTGAAGTATAGTTTTGAACAGTTTACAATTTAGTCGAAATCTACTGAATATAAACTCTAATGCTTATTAAACTTTGAAACAGTTATCATACTGATAAGTTTTGCTAATTGAACGCTATATTCGGTTCCCAAGCTATTCTCGTAACCCCCTAGCTAGAACTACACAGCAACTGGAACACGAGAGAAAAGGTGCAAAATATGCGAGAAGCACTTTACTCTAAAGTTTCGTTTTAGTACAGAAAATATAGGGTTCTTATAGTGTTTTAAATGTCCTTGGGTTTCCCGAAAATTCTGGAATGCTACTAAACATAGTAGCAAAAAGGTAATCAGCCAATCAGAAACTCTACATGTGACTTCACTTTCTTGATGTTTCTGGCTAAACGTCAATCGAACGCTAATTAAACAAAATGCTTCTTAGCGTTTCCTGAACCTTTCTTGTATTTTGCAAGAAGTTTTCTGGATCACCCCAACACATTCATAGAAATACTAATATGTCATCAATACAATGTCATATTTTACCAATATTTCGTCCAATAGATAATACTCATTCCATTTTCTTTTAAAAAAATACGTAGTCACTTAAATCTCTGTTTGACCCGTTAAAGAATGTTCAATATAACAGTGTACAAGTATGGATATAACAATTGATATTTGAGAATAGTCCTAAATTACATTAGTCCTTTTCTTGAGTTTATGAATCTTTGACGGTTCATAAGCAAACATGAACAAGATTTAAAAAATTATCTAAACCAGAAAAAAATTTTAACAAATGATTTTATTTCTTTTAACAGTATACTCGTCTTTGAGGCGAGACTATAATTTATGGACGAACCAATTAGATATAAAATCATGAGTCACAAATTTGGGCGCGGAATTCATTCATACATTTGGCTAAATAGAGTTTTGGCATTATAGCTGATGTCAGTTCGTGATGAAAACCCTAAATCTAATTTTTAACCCTAAGCATTAACTGTAAATGGGAATTCTAACTGCTTTATAACCCTCATTTAGTCCTAATTAATAGTTGTTCTCTCTCAAGGTCACTTCAGCGTCGCTCATAGGTCGTCCATAAATTATAGTCTCACTGTATCTGACTTCATCGATGGTCATAACAACTATTATTATTACTTACCTTGTCAGCTTTAGCAATGATGATTATTTTCATCGTTATATGACATTAGAAATGTTATTTTTTGTCAAATATTTTATGATATATGTATATATATATTTTCTTTTCCGAACTGGGCACATAGACAATTACAAATATATGTATATTGACCATAGATTCCTCAATCTTTTCATACGCTTCCACTGAATGGTCTATTTCATTCATATATTCTACTTCCATAAGATGATTTTCAAGAAATAGATTAATCTTTGAAATGTTGGAGTTAAACAGTGCGACTATCATCAATTCGTCTATAAAGAAACTAAATAAAAATGATGATAATAACAATTTCTAGCCTATATGTCATTACATTTCCAAATCAGATGACGACTCATTATATCCTCTTAAACGACAGTTTGACTTTGAATAAAAAGCTTTCTCAGACAGTTATTCTAAAATTCAACCCCTGACTAACAGAATGAGACAGCAATTGCAAATCGAAAATAGTGTCTGTCATTAATAAGTAGGCTTATGTTCGAGAACCTAGCGAAAGATGCACTTGAATAAAACATATTATTAGGCTAAAAAAAACGAGTAATGGACTAAATATCATTATGTACACAATACTTTGGAAAAGAAATCGCCAAGTTTTTAATGCTATTTGATAATTTATATTAACAGTAAATCAGAGTTACGATTGTACCATCTTGTTTGCTACACAATGGGTTCATCGATGATCTGAGTAACAAGCTGTAAAACAATTGAATTATTTGAATGTAAAATTAAGCGCTTGCCAAATTTTCATTCACATTTTCATATATGATATTTACTAATTGCTTAGTTAATTAATATGTATATTTTTTATGTATTAACTCATAATGTTTGTTTAAAACTGTTAACTAATAGTAAACTTCTTTCTTTTCCTCTTTTTTCCTCCGTTTTTTGCGTTGTGTTATTATTGTTGTTGTGACTGTTTATTTAAATTACTATTATTATCATTATCATTATTATTATTATTACTATTGAAATACAAATTACAATGATGATGAATTTCTATCATGATCATCTCATTATCACCATCATTATCATTATACTACTCATTTAAAATATCGAAATCATTTATCCATGGTAATGATTGTTAACTATTTGATACTATGTCATTGTGCATTACATAATCAATCCCCTGTTGCATCACTACGTTCCTGTTTTTTTATTAATTTTTTTGTTTTTATGCTTCTTTGCTTGTTGACTATTTTAAATTTATATCCCGCGTCTGTGTTGTTTCTTTCACTGCTTGCCTACCAATTCGTTTGTCTGCTTATTTGCTCGCCTGTTTTACTGCTTGTATGCATGCATTTATATAATTGCTGGAATCCTCACTGAAATATAATTAAACATTATATATGTTAAGAATACACATTTTAGGAATTCTTTAGGTTTATCGCTGAAATCACCAGTTCATCCTCTTCAACCTGTCCGTCTAGTTGACAGTACTACACTACCAGCTATTAGTTTATCATTAGTGAGATATCAGTATCCTGATCCTACACCTAAAATTACTTCAAATTCATCGGCAAAATATACACCACGATATATTCTTCTTGAAACTGCTATTCAAAGAGGATGGATAGATACTGAACACGGTTTACTAAGAACACAATGTGGAAGAACTAGTACAGTTAATTTATTAGAAGCTGTAGAAAAAGCGTTAATTGATCCTAATCAATTGCTTGTATGTGTTCAGCACTATAATGAAGATAATTTGAAAGAACATCCCGTGTACGGTGATCAAGAAATACCTGTTTATTATAGTTTAGCAACTATACTTGATACAGCAACATTGATAATGCAAACAGAAACGACAGAGTCTTTACATGAACACTGGAGATCAAATCTCTTGAAACTACTAATTAGAACAGGAATATGTTCAACAGGTGTTCAAGGGAGAATGAACGTCAAAATCGAAAAACGATTAAGCGAAAGCGATAAAGAGATCATTAGAAAAAGTGTGTTACAGAAAAATATAATATGGCGAAATGAAAATGAAAAAATTGGACAGCATGAAACAAGTAAAACGATCAAAGTATCAGAGAGCAAACAAACAATGAATATACAAATCGGACACAATGAGAGGTCGAACGCTAACACAAAGAACAAAACACGTCCAATGACAGAAAACATTGATACAAGTATAAAAAATGATAAAATATTTCAAACAAAAGGAAACGACAAATATAAAAAGCACGAACAAGATATAAACCATACAGAAAATATCACAAGAAAGGAAATAAACCATGAAGACACCTACAGTGAATTCTTGCACAAAACAGATGCACAAGTGATCGGTGTGGGTTCGACGAGTGTATCCGATTTGTTGTCGGACATGACGGAGAGACGAGGTGTGGACAGTGGTTTGGATTCGGACATGCTGTCGTCAGATGGTGTTAGGTATGGAGAAGTGTCTGTTGTGCCTGACCAGCGTGGACTTCAGTTACGTGAGGCGATTGAAGCGGGTCTTGTTGACACAAAGTCTGGACTAGTTCGTGATCCGTCTAGTGGCGAGGTGTTGACGTTGTCACAGGCTGTGAACAGTGGTCTTATATCGGGTGAGCGGTCGTTGGTTCGCGATCCTAGTTCCGGACGTCTCGAGAGTCTTGGTAGAATGATGTTGACAGGTTTGTTGGCGCCTGTAGGTTTGATTGCTCTGGCGATGGAGTCGACGTCCTCGAGACCAGGAGGTGTGGTGTGTGAGTCGACGAGTGCTTCGGAGCCAGTTGTAGATGTTGGTGTGGGCAGGTTGTCTGAGTTGAGATCTGTCGGTGGCACGGGTGATTCATTGTGTGTGGATGAGGTTGGTGCAAGTGTGGCGGACTTGAAGAGCGATCAACTGGAGTCAGTGACTCGTCCATCCGACTTGATGATGACCGATGTGAGAGTGGGTGAACGTGGTGAGATGAGTGTCGGTCGTGACGCGACACCAGTGCACAGAGGCGGTGATGAATCTGAGGGTGTTGTGTCATCAGAGACGATTTCTGAGTACGGTGTATCTGGTGTGGATGTGGATGACGTTGATGTGAAGAGGCGAGCGATGCAGACGAGTGAGGATGTTTTGTCGTCGAGCAGAGATGGTGTTGTGATGGGTGTGGGTTTGACGAGTGTATCCGATTTGTTGTCGGACATGACAGAGAGACGAGGTGTGGACAGTGGTTTGGATTCGGACATGCTGTCGTCAGATGGTGTTAGGTATGGAGAAGTGTCTGTTGTGCCTGACCAGCGTGGACTTCAGTTACGTGAGGCGATTGAAGCGGGTCTTGTTGACACAAAGTCTGGACTAGTTCGTGATCCGTCTAGTGGCGAGGTGTTGACGTTGTCACAGGCTGTGAACAGTGGTCTTATATCGGGTGAGCGGTCGTTGGTTCGCGATCCTAGTTCCGGACGTCTCGAGAGTCTTGGTAGAATGATGTTGACAGGTTTGTTGGCGCCTGTAGGTTTGATTGCTCTGGCGATGGAGTCGACGTCCTCGAGACCAGGAGGTGTGGTGTGTGAGTCGACGAGTGCTTCGGAGCCAGTTGTAGATGTTGGTGTGGGCAGGTTGTCTGAGTTGAGATCTGTCGGTGGCACGGGTGATTCATTGTGTGTGGATGAGGTTGGTGCAAGTGTGGTGGACTTGAAGAGCGATCAACTGGAGTCAGTGACTCGTCCATCCGACTTGATGATGACCGATGTGAGAGTGGGTGAACGTGGTGAGATGAGTGTCGGTCGTGACGCGACACCAGTGCACAGAGGCGGTGATGAATCTGAGGGTGTTGTGTCATCAGAGACGATTTCTGAGTACGGTGTATCTGGTGTGGATGTGGATGACGTTGATGTGAAGAGGCGAGCGATGCAGACGAGTGAGGATGTTTTGTCGTCGAGCAGAGATGGTGTTGTGATGGGTGTGGGTTTGACGAGTGTATCCGATTTGTTGTCGGACATGACAGAGAGACGAGGTGTGGACAGTGGTTTGGATTCGGACATGCTGTCGTCAGATGGTGTTAGGTATGGAGAAGTGTCTGTTGTGCCTGACCAGCGTGGACTTCAGTTACGTGAGGCGATTGAAGCGGGTCTTGTTGACACAAAGTCTGGACTAGTTCGTGATCCGTCTAGTGGCGAGGTGTTGACGTTGTCACAGGCTGTGAACAGTGGTCTTATATCGGGTGAGCGGTCGTTGGTTCGCGATCCTAGTTCCGGACGTCTCGAGAGTCTTGGTAGAATGATGTTGACAGGTTTGTTGGCGCCTGTAGGTTTGATTGCTCTGGCGATGGAGTCGACGTCCTCGAGACCAGGAGGTGTGGTGGGTGAGTCGACGAGTGCTTCGGAGCCAGTTGTAGATGTTGGTGTGGGCAGGTTGTCTGAGTTGAGATCTGTCGGTGGCACGGGTGATTCATTGTGTGTGGATGAGGTTGGTGCAAGTGTGGCGGACTTGAAGAGCGATCAACTGGAGTCAGTGACTCGTCCATCCGACTTGATGATGACCGATGTGAGAGTGTGTGAACGTGGTGAGATGAGTGTCGGTCGTGACGCGACACCAGTGCACAGAGGCGGTGATGAATCTGAGGGTGTTGTGTCATCAGAGACGATTTCTGAGTACGGTGTATCTGGTGTGGATGTGGATGACGTTGATGTGAAGAGGCGAGCGATGCAGACGAGTGAGGATGTTTTGTCGTCGAGCAGAGATGGTGTTGTGATGGGTGTGGGTTTGACGAGTGTATCCGATTTGTTGTCGGACATGACAGAGAGACGAGGTGTGGACAGTGGTTTGGATTCGGACATGCTGTCGTCAGATGGTGTTAGGTATGGAGAAGTGTCTGTTGTGCCTGACCAGCGTGGACTTCAGTTACGTGAGGCGATTGAAGCGGGTCTTGTTGACACAAAGTCTGGACTAGTTCGTGATCCGTCTAGTGGCGAGGTGTTGACGTTGTCACAGGCTGTGAACAGTGGTCTTATATCGGGTGAGCGGTCGTTGGTTCGCGATCCTAGTTCCGGACGTCTCGAGAGTCTTGGTAGAATGATGTTGACAGGTTTGTTGGCGCCTGTAGGTTTGATTGCTCTGGCGATGGAGTCGACGTCCTCGAGACCAGGAGGTGTGGTGTGTGAGTCGACGAGTGCTTCGGAGCCAGTTGTAGATGTTGGTGTGGGCAGGTTGTCTGAGTTGAGATCTGTCGGTGGCACGGGTGATTCATTGTGTGTGGATGAGGTTGGTGCAAGTGTGGCGGACTTGAAGAGCGATCAACTGGAGTCAGTGACTCGTCCATCCGACTTGATGATGACCGATGTGAGAGTGGGTGAACGTGGTGAGATGAGTGTCGGTCGTGACGCGACACCAGTGCACAGAGGCGGTGATGAATCTGAGGGTGTTGTGTCATCAGAGACGATTTCTGAGTACGGTGTATCTGGTGTGGATGTGGATGACGTTGATGTGAAGAGGCGAGCGATGCAGACGAGTGAGGATGTTTTGTCGTCGAGCAGAGATGGTGTTGTGATGGGTGTGGGTTTGACGAGTGTATCCGATTTGTTGTCGGACATGACAGAGAGACGAGGTGTGGACAGTGGTTTGGATTCGGACATGCTGTCGTCAGATGGTGTTAGGTATGGAGAAGTGTCTGTTGTGCCTGACCAGCGTGGACTTCAGTTACGTGAGGCGATTGAAGCGGGTCTTGTTGACACAAAGTCTGGACTAGTTCGTGATCCGTCTAGTGGCGAGGTGTTGACGTTGTCACAGGCTGTGAACAGTGGTCTTATATCGGGTGAGCGGTCGTTGGTTCGCGATCCTAGTTCCGGACGTCTCGAGAGTCTTGGTAGAATGATGTTGACAGGTTTGTTGGCGCCTGTAGGTTTGATTGCTCTGGCGATGGAGTCGACGTCCTCGAGACCAGGAGGTGTGGTGTGTGAGTCGACGAGTGCTTCGGAGCCAGTTGTAGATGTTGGTGTGGGCAGGTTGTCTGAGTTGAGATCTGTCGGTGGCACGGGTGATTCATTGTGTGTGGATGAGGTTGGTGCAAGTGTGGCGGACTTGAAGAGCGATCAACTGGAGTCAGTGACTCGTCCATCCGACTTGATGATGACCGATGTGAGAGTGGGTGAACGTGGTGAGATGAGTGTCGGTCGTGACGCGACACCAGTGCACAGAGGCGGTGATGAATCTGAGGGTGTTGTGTCATCAGAGACGATTTCTGAGTACGGTGTATCTGGTGTGGATGTGGATGACGTTGATGTGAAGAGGCGAGCGATGCAGACGAGTGAGGATGTTTTGTCGTCGAGCAGAGATGGTGTTGTGATGGGTGTGGGTTTGACGAGTGTATCCGATTTGTTGTCGGACATGACAGAGAGACGAGGTGTGGACAGTGGTTTGGATTCGGACATGCTGTCGTCAGATGGTGTTAGGTATGGAGAAGTGTCTGTTGTGCCTGACCAGCGTGGACTTCAGTTACGTGAGGCGATTGAAGCGGGTCTTGTTGACACAAAGTCTGGACTAGTTCGTGATCCGTCTAGTGGCGAGGTGTTGACGTTGTCACAGGCTGTGAACAGTGGTCTTATATCGGGTGAGCGGTCGTTGGTTCGCGATCCTAGTTCCGGACGTCTCGAGAGTCTTGGTAGAATGATGTTGACAGGTTTGTTGGCGCCTGTAGGTTTGATTGCTCTGGCGATGGAGTCGACGTCCTCGAGACCAGGAGGTGTGGTGTGTGAGTCGACGAGTGCTTCGGAGCCAGTTGTAGATGTTGGTGTGGGCAGGTTGTATGAGTTGAGATCTGTCGGTGGCACGGGTGATTCATTGTGTGTGGATGAGGTTGGTGCAAGTGTGGTGGACTTGAAGAGCGATCAACTGGAGTCAGTGACTCGTCCATCCGACTTGATGATGACCGATGTGAGAGTGGGTGAACGTGGTGAGATGAGTGTCGGTCGTGACGCGACACCAGTGCACAGAGGCGGTGATGAATCTGAGGGTGTTGTGTCATCAGAGACGATTTCTGAGTACGGTGTATCTGGTGTGGATGTGGATGACGTTGATGTGAAGAGGCGAGCGATGCAGACGAGTGAGGATGTTTTGTCGTCGAGCAGAGATGGTGTTGTGATGGGTGTGGGTTTGACGAGTGTATCCGATTTGTTGTCGGACATGACAGAGAGACGAGGTGTGGACAGTGGTTTGGATTCGGACATGCTGTCGTCAGATGGTGTTAGGTATGGAGAAGTGTCTGTTGTGCCTGACCAGCGTGGACTTCAGTTACGTGAGGCGATTGAAGCGGGTCTTGTTGACACAAAGTCTGGACTAGTTCGTGATCCGTCTAGTGGCGAGGTGTTGACGTTGTCACAGGCTGTGAACAGTGGTCTTATATCGGGTGAGCGGTCGTTGGTTCGCGATCCTAGTTCCGGACGTCTCGAGAGTCTTGGTAGAATGATGTTGACAGGTTTGTTGGCGCCTGTAGGTTTGATTGCTCTGGCGATGGAGTCGACGTCCTCGAGACCAGGAGGTGTGGTGTGTGAGTCGACGAGTGCTTCGGAGCCAGTTGTAGATGTTGGTGTGGGCAGGTTGTCTGAGTTGAGATCTGTCGGTGGCACGGGTGATTCATTGTGTGTGGATGAGGTTGGTGCAAGTGTGGCGGACTTGAAGAGCGATCAACTGGAGTCAGTGACTCGTCCATCCGACTTGATGATGACCGATGTGAGAGTGGGTGAACGTGGTGAGATGAGTGTCGGTCGTGACGCGACACCAGTGCACAGAGGCGGTGATGAATCTGAGGGTGTTGTGTCATCAGAGACGATTTCTGAGTACGGTGTATCTGGTGGGGATGTGGATGACGTTGATGTGAAGAGGCGAGCGATGCAGACGAGTGAGGATGTTTTGTCGTCGAGCAGAGATGGTGTTGTGATGGGTGTGGGTTTGACGAGTGTATCCGATTTGTTGTCGGACATGACAGAGAGACGAGGTGTGGACAGTGGTTTGGATTCGGACATGCTGTCGTCAGATGGTGTTAGGTATGGAGAAGTGTCTGTTGTGCCTGACCAGCGTGGACTTCAGTTACGTGAGGCGATTGAAGCGGGTCTTGTTGACACAAAGTCTGGACTAGTTCGTGATCCGTCTAGTGGCGAGGTGTTGACGTTGTCACAGGCTGTGAACAGTGGTCTTATATCGGGTGAGCGGTCGTTGGTTCGCGATCCTAGTTCCGGACGTCTCGAGAGTCTTGGTAGAATGATGTTGACAGGTTTGTTGGCGCCTGTAGGTTTGATTGCTCTGGCGATGGAGTCGACGTCCTCGAGACCAGGAGGTGTGGTGTGTGAGTCGACGAGTGCTTCGGAGCCAGTTGTAGATGTTGGTGTGGGCAGGTTGTCTGAGTTGAGATCTGTCGGTGGCACGGGTGATTCATTGTGTGTGGATGAGGTTGGTGCAAGTGTGGTGGACTTGAAGAGCGATCAACTGGAGTCAGTGACTCGTCCATCCGACTTGATGATGACCGATGTGAGAGTGGGTGAACGTGGTGAGATGAGTGTCGGTCGTGACGCGACACCAGTGCACAGAGGCGGTGATGAATCTGAGGGTGTTGTGTCATCAGAGACGATTTCTGAGTACGGTGTATCTGGTGTGGATGTGGATGACGTTGATGTGAAGAGGCGAGCGATGCAGACGAGTGAGGATGTTTTGTCGTCGAGCAGAGATGGTGTTGTGATGGGTGTGGGTTTGACGAGTGTATCCGATTTGTTGTCGGACATGACAGAGAGACGAGGTGTGGACAGTGGTTTGGATTCGGACATGCTGTCGTCAGATGGTGTTAGGTATGGAGAAGTGTCTGTTGTGCCTGACCAGCGTGGACTTCAGTTACGTGAGGCGATTGAAGCGGGTCTTGTTGACACAAAGTCTGGACTAGTTCGTGATCCGTCTAGTGGCGAGGTGTTGACGTTGTCACAGGCTGTGAACAGTGGTCTTATATCGGGTGAGCGGTCGTTGGTTCGCGATCCTAGTTCCGGACGTCTCGAGAGTCTTGGTAGAATGATGTTGACAGGTTTGTTGGCGCCTGTAGGTTTGATTGCTCTGGCGATGGAGTCGACGTCCTCGAGACCAGGAGGTGTGGTGTGTGAGTCGACGAGTGCTTCGGAGCCAGTTGTAGATGTTGGTGTGGGCAGGTTGTCTGAGTTGAGATCTGTCGGTGGCACGGGTGATTCATTGTGTGTGGATGAGGTTGGTGCAAGTGTGGCGGACTTGAAGAGCGATCAACTGGAGTCCGTTACTCTCCCGTCTGACAATTTTCTTACAGTTGGGAGAATAAATGATACTGATACAGCTTTCTTTGGTTATCCTCTGTCGTGGAAATGCGGTTCCACTTCTGCTTCTTTGGCTTCTGTTCGTGATACTAATGAGGTTTTTGATTGTGTAAGTTTTTTATGGAACCTAATTTTTTGAAGTTTTTGCTATGTCGTTTTTTTTTCTGTATTTGGTTTATCGTTTAATAAACTTTTTCCTTCTTATTGTAGTCTGACTTTTTGTATTGGTTTACCTTTCTGCATATTCTCTTTTTTTCTTCTCTGTTCGTTTGCTTTATATTTTTGTTTTTTAATTTTGCCAATGTTTTGTACTTGTTTTTCTTGCTCCCAATTTTTTCCTTCGTTTTTTTTAGCTGGGTCTCACATGCTAATTTGTTGAATCGTTTCATACTTTTAAATCTTTACTTTTGTCAGGCTTTATTTTAACCTTTTTACTTCGTTTCACTTATGCATGTATAAGAATGTTTTGTGTTTGATATGGGATTTCCATCGCAACTGAATAGATTTATGATTATTTCATACTGCATTTTAATTTACATCATATGTATTAATTTCATAATAATCTTCATTCTCTTAATCAAGCTTTGGTATTCAAGTCTGCAATCAATATCATTGTTGCTGTCGTAGGATAAAAATTAAAACGGTTTTCCAATGCACCGTTTTTAAATTGCATCTCTGGTTAACCGTGGTTTGTAACAACCACTGTTTTTTCTTTATATCTAAATATCTTTTTTTCAATATGAGTGATTTAGAATTTACGGGTATCGTTTTATTTTACGCTTGTTTAAAGTGAAGAAATATTTTGGTTTTTCCCGAATTATTGAATTGTCTTTTGTTTAAAGTTTTATTTGATAGTTTATAGATAGTTTAAAAATTTATTAATCATTATTGGATTACTTCAGTATAAATGACTTACAATCACTTTGTATTCATTAATATCTAACCTTCATTAAGTGACAAATGTTTTATTTTTTTTCATATCCCTCACATGATACACCTTTAATTATTTGCTGACTGGCATATATGATGGTGTAAGTTAAACTTTTCACATGGAAGCTAACAATACTGATGTATCATATAGATTTGAACTGACTTATATAGTCTTAAAATTAATTACTCACTTCCTGGTGGCACTAAGATATTTGTTTATATTATTGATATTCCTCTTCTTTGAAATTTATCATTCTGGATTTCGATTTAAAAGGCATTTTAATATCTAACGCTCTTATGCAATTGTGGTCCTAATTATTCTTGAAGTTCTATCCAATACTAATTTTTTGTATTAGTACCTCATCGTATATTCATTCGTGAGGACTGACGAATTCATATTATTTATAGCGTGTGTACATCGTTTGTTGCTGATGGTGGTTATACTGTTTTACTAATCTGAAAAACTATTTGCAATTCCTTGTATCTTTTGTGAAGGCGATAACATGACTCGGATAATGAAAGTTGGTAAACGAATCCTAGTTCACTACCTGAAACCAATACCTCAAATCAGAACAGATTTTACATGAAAAAATTACCGACCAACCGACTAGTTATGTATCATAGGAGTGTTATTAAATGGTGTCATTTAGGAGCAATATTTTCGTCAAATTATTAATCTATACGCTTATTATTATTTTATTTTTGCTCTATAAGTGATCAAATCCGTCATAAACAAAATATATTTACTACAGAAGTATGTGTGTTTAATTAGACACTTATATAACCCATCACATTTTGACACCCAAAACGAGAGACATTTAAACAAAATTAAAAAGTGATTGTTTCATTTGTGCCGAACAGGATGATTGCTTGTATTCTTAAAGTACAAAATAGTTATACTATTGTGTATTGACTGAATAGTATAAGCATACTGATAATATCAAAAAGAACCTAATCTTACAACTTTACCAATAGTATCTTGGGTAGTAGTTAACACAACTGAGTGTTTTTGGAAAGAAATAACACTGATATTAATGGTGATACCGATAATAATAATAACAATAATAATAATATTAATAACAGTTTTACTCATTATTACATAACTAAACACAATCGGGGATTTTCAGTAAAACATATTAAAATCTCAGTATAAATTCCCTGTAACCTACGTTTTAATCTCAGTGATGAGACTGTTATTGTCCTATTAGTTTTACCTACCGCTTTGGTTAATGATTTGAAAATTCAATTCATTCTTTTAACTCGGAAGCATATATATTACTTATTGCTCTTCCTCATGAATTACATGTCTTTTTGTAGAATTCATTACCGCTTTTACAGACAACAGTTTCAGAAAAATAATAGTCTATACAAATCAAGTATCACTGAGAAATCGATGTTGACTTTCAAATAAATAATCATCCTAATGTGAATAAAATGTACCAGTCGTTCCATCTAAATAATAACTGGTTAGGAAGTCTAGAAGTGAATAATACTGATTTTTCACTTCGCCATTATATTTCTGAACTTGCATTGCAAAGATTATAGTTTGTCTGAGTGCTTAAATATCTTCTGACAAAACTCTATCTACTTCACAAATATAAACAAATCAAGAGCGACAGTATTTTCAGGATACTGTGAATGCGTTGTATTACGTCTCTTTCTCTTCAGAAACAAATAAACCAAAAATCTTTTTCACAGTCAATTGCTAATGATTTTAAAAAAATTCTGTCATCAGTTAATAGTGTTAATGGGGTGACATTTTTAATGCACATATCGATTACATAACCATTCGTGAAGGAATCCGGGGTACAACTTTCTATCCTATTAGATAGTCGTCCGTCTTTATTTGGCTTTCTGAAGCCTATATTTCATCATAAATAATTGTTATTTTCCGTTACAATATATAAACCCTATTTCGTATTTACTACTAGTATCATTATAAGTAACATCGACATTATATTATCATACTAAATATTTATCAGCTTTGAATTTGTCATCGTTAAAACAAAAATATTTTCTTCATTGTTTTGTTATATAAAAATAATTCTCAATCAAAACTAAATATCTATAGTCTGCAGAATCAGAAACTACAAGAAAGCTTATATCTCAACTTTCCACTGCTTTGGATGAAGAAACATCATGGATAACTGGTTTAGAATTAAAACTTCTACAAATGGGGAATTTGACTTTAGACGATAATTTAAACCGACACCTTCTGGATGATCACCAAGTAAGTCTGTACACATTTTTATATAACTATCATTTTCTGTTATGAGTAGTTGCTAATATGTTCTCACCAATCAAAAAAACTATTAGCTTATTCGTTTTTTTATTCACAGCTTACTTAGAAAATAGTTCTTTTTACTGGCTGATTTATTTATATTTATTTGAACACATAAATATCAGTACGAAGAAACATCGAATACATATGCACCACACAAATCACTTGACTTGTGTGTAGGCTGTGATACTGTCCAGGTGTCCAGACAGAACCAGCTGGTTTTCTTAGAAGACCATACAAGGAGCCTTTGACCTAAACGTCTGGTCCACAAAGCAGTGGAGCAACTTCAGAAGATGCAATCCCATGATAGCCAGTGACAAATTATTGGTTCACACACCATTTGTTCCTTCAGCAGGATACTGGAGCTCATGTGCACCACTGGTTTGGCATCAGGGTTTTCAAACTCCCATAGGTGGATCCTCCATATTCACCAACCCTGTTAAAGCACCGGACATTCGCTTTTCGTCCTCTGAATTTCGTAAACAACAGTGATGCCACGACAAGGCATTGAGTAGGACTTCTGTAGCAATAGCTGTATACTCGTGGCCATGTGAGAGCATTTCGAGAGAGGGAGAGAGAGATCTGACTCACCTCACCCTCGACCGTACCAGGGCATTTGGAGGCTAATATCAGTTGAAAAACCACCAAGAAATGGCAAATAAAAGGGAATATCAGAAGTAATAAATAATGCTTATTTCTAATCTGCTCTTATATACAATCATTGTAGGATTTAATTCCACTGGCTTTGTAAATTTTTAAAATCAATTGACAAGATATGCTCGAAATTGTTAAGTAATTTCCCGCAATCAAAAATAATCTCACTCATAAGATAAGCTGATTCCTAAAGTGCGAAACCGCTTTCGTATTTTTAGAAGGGTTTTATATCGTTAGTTATTTATTACCCTATATCAGCAGTCTCGCTTATTTATTAACTGGGTGATTTACCACAAAGTATAACTATCAGAGTAAGCACCACTTGAGTAAATAACAACACGTAATTCTTAATGTATTTGTATCTGATATACATCACTTTGTATCAACTAACTGACAGTTTTGCATGTATGGTCTTTGCGATAGCAATAGCCATTATTTATTAAATATAAACTATATATACGTATGTTTATTATTACAGGAAATTTTAGATAAAATTCGTACTCGTCAATCTTCAAGTAGATCTGTATTATTTCAAGCTGAACAAGCTATTGAAACTTTACGTCATACTAATCAACCAGAATTTATCTGGAAACAGTTAGAAGTAAAATGTCAAGAACTGCGAACACGTTTAGAAGATGTAAGTTGAGTTTATTATTTCAGTAAATTTTGAATGATATTCTGAGAACAAGGTCAGTTGTAGGAAAACCATGTTTGTCCATTATCAGTAACATTCAAGACGTCTATTATTCATAAACGCGGGTTTGAATATCATAGATATTACCAGTTTCTTCAAGATTGTAAATGCGCATTGATGACAAGTACCATCTAGACCAAGCTTTTCTACTTATTGAATCCAATAACCTTACTCAAAACTTATAGCACATGTGATATTGAGTCACATGGATTAGGGACCAGATTTCAATTTGATCTATAAAATTCAACAAACACAATGGTCTAAATAACTATGACATTAGTCAATATTCTATGAGTAATCAGTGTAATAAAATATTATCCAAGTTTAATGTATATTTTTTCCTTGTTTCTTCTCATTTCAAGCTACAAACTGAAGCTGAGGGCCGAGTTCGAATTTTACTTCATAGTTTAGATTCATTAGAACATCTTACTTATAAATTACAAAGTCTTCGTAATCTATTAGAAAACCTAGATTCTGTTTTACTTGTTAACACACCATCCGTAAATACTACTACTACTACTACAACTACAACTGGAGAAAATCAGCTGTCGAATAAACTAAATACAATTAATCATCCAGATGAAATAGATTCATGTATTTTACGAATAAAAGCAGCTTTAAGTGAATCAAATTCATCGCATAATAACGTTATTAGTACATTGCCAAGTGTAAAACAAAAATTCATTGCATCTGTTAATCGTTACGCTGATAGTAAGGTAAGTACAATGTTAATTCATAAATAAAATTATTTAAAAACTCTACTTTAGTTGTGAATGGGTAGGCGGTTGAACGGTTAAAGCACTTGATATATTTCCAACATTTCTTCCCATTTATCATTTCTCTAATCATAAGCAAATTAGGTAATTTAGTAAGGGAAATAATAAATTAATAGGATTCGATTAAAATATACACTAGTCCGGGTTGATATAGTTTGTATAATAACAACATGAGGTGATTAACAAGATAAAAAGCTTAAATATGAAATTAATAATACCAACAACCTAATAAGATTTAATTGAAATTAATCATTTAAGTTACTGGATATCAACTCAGTGATTAAGAGATTAAGCTCTAGCTACGAAGCCCGAAGATGCTAAACTCAATATCTAATGAAGTTATGGATGAGTATTACTGACAAATCGTACACTTGAATGAAATAAATAACTAATACTTGCTAATTCTTCACTGATTGTCTAATTAAAGTCAATCCATTATTTAAATTCATAATAAAAAGTAGGATTGAAAAATAAATAATTCATATGAAATGATAATAGAGTGCAAAATTTGCAAAAAAGATAGAGTATACATTTATCTACATCATACAATTCAACTTCAAGTCATATTATTTTAATATAATGTCTATGTTTTCTAGTTATTAATCATGTAATCCATAAGTAGGGAATAAATACTGATAGGTTTTGGGTTCGAATCTCGTGGTAGGCGGGATCATGGATGCTCACTCCTGAAGAGTCCCATACTAAGACGAAACGGCCGTCCAGTGCTTCCAGGTTTTTTATGATGGTCTAGCTTCAACTGACTTATGATTTCAACTATTGAGATACAATGTAATTTGTTCATCAATTCTACAGTATAAACTTCATCTTTTCTTAACTCTCCAACTTTTCATGATTGTTTTCTCTGGGTTTTTTTTCTAATGATAGAAAACATACAATATCAAATTGAATCATTTCACTGGCTTAAATTGTAAACAATATGAAGATAAACTTCAAAGAAATAATACAGAATTAGAAGATAGAATAGAATATACAGTAAAAGAAGCAAATAATCGTCTTTTACATTTAATTAATCGTTTAGAAATTCAATCAACATATCTTACAGAAATTAATATTCTATATAAACAATATGAAAAACATTTATCTGAATCAATTCATCAATTAGATAAAACTAAATTACAATTGAATATAATACAAAAAAGTCTTCTTCGATCTGATGAATTAAATACTTTAACAATGAATAAAATTAAAAAATTTAGTCAAGAACGATTAACTAAATTATATACATTACAAGGTGATCTTAATAAAATTGGAAATGATCTAAAAGTAAGATTTATAAGTCAATCATTTATATGGTAGTAAATTTATTTAATTTAATTTTATAATCTTATTATTTCAATCAATCACTAGTGATTGGCTTCAAGATGTGTATCTTGAAGTTCTAGTGAGAAACAGTGGCCAATGGAATTCAACCGGGTTAGTTGTGAGTAACTCACTGATGACAATGGTGGATGTGTTGCTTAATTTCGTGAATTAGTTGAAGTTAGACATTAACACCTTTGGATGCCGGCTCAGTGGTCTAGTGGTTAAGAGCTCGCGCGCGAGACCAGCCCGTCTTTGGTTCGAACCTCGCGAGGCGGAATTGTGGGTGCGCACTGCTGAAGAGTTCCACAGTAAGACGAAACGGCCGTCCAGTGCTTCCAAGTTTTTCATGGTGGTCTAGCTTTAATTGACTCACGATTTCAACTATTGAAATTACTAAAATCTTTACAAAACCCCCTTCTTATACCAATTAATTATTCCTTAAGTCACAAGTTTTTTAAGCAAAGATGGATAGTGATTAGCAGTGGAATCCAGAACCTGCGTTTCGTCCCATTCGGGACTCGTTAGCTGGATCTAGCTGCCTCCCAGAGTTAATGTTCACTCAGAATGTGAACCCAGTACAGTTCACTTCAAATGCCATCGTGTTATCCACTTGGCTACTGAGTCCTGATAGCCACCTGCTTATGCAATGGGATGAAGTTTAAATTCACTTGGTGTTGTTTTACCTGTACCTTCCTATTGTTATTTAGGACTGAAATTGATAGAAAGATACAAGTGAAACCACACCAAGTGAATTTAATTATTCCTATGTAGATATTAAGAATATAATTTGACTGAATAAATATTTCTTTTTTACTGTGTAAAGAAAATGTCTTAAATAAAACGTTTACAGGGGAATCAAAATGAGATTCAATCATAGAACTATTCAAGGCTCAACTGGTCCTGTTAACTTGGAAATCTATGTTGAATTGCCTTGGATTGAACAATTTTGTATCATTATTTAAATTAATTTTAATTAAAACTCTTGAAATTTCTTTTGCTACTACTCCAATACAGATTTAAACTGCCTTGGGTATATTGATGTGTTTGAATTTATTTCTCGTGTAGAATTAAAAGCCCATTGCCAGAAAGTGTTCAATACTGATATATTTATTTTCTTTGTGCATGACAAAATCAGCTATATAAGTGAAAACAAGAGCGAGTAGGAAACTTTGGTTGGCTAATCGAATCTATGGTTTCTCTGTATCATGAGTTGACTGGAAATTTGAACCGGGAAAATTCTTACTCTATGATTTATAAGTATCTCATAAGGCTTAAACTTCTTATTCTCAGTAGTGGCGTCCTAGTTACTCAATTATGAAGAATTCCAAACTGCCCTGAAACAGTATTTTAACAGTTCGCTTCATCAAAACCATTCTTTGTAAGAGATTAGTTTTATGATGCACAGTTTCTACAAACCTATTCTCTCAGGTATTTGATTTGTTGCCTATCACTATATTTTGAAGTTCAAACTTGTGTGCAAAATAACAGAAGCACAATGGAATCAATAAGTAAATTCTGATTATTAATTAAACCGAAAGTGAGTAAATAACATCAATTCTGTCGTTCTATTTTAACTTATTCCTCATTGATCCCCTCCTAAAAGAAACATAACGACAAAATCATTCTCACTTTATCCATTTTATTTTATTTTTGTTTTTGTTTTCCGTCATGTTTCTTCTTTTCCTCAGAATTTAAAATCTATTGAATTAAATTTAATTGAAAAGAAATTTATTGAATCTAATCTAATTACAAATAATTCAATGAATGTAATGAATCAATCATTAGATAATATTTTCAATTATCAAAAACAATTAATTGATCAATGTGAAAAATTACAAAAACAATTTATGAATTATTTATTAACTAATCAAACTATACAAGAATGTTTAAATGAATTTTTAAATCAAACCAATCAAATTGGTGATCAATTATCTAATGATTATAAAATTGATAATAATAATAATATAGAAAAACAATCAATTGAATTTTCTTTAAATATAAATAAATTTTATGAAATTTTAGCACAAATTAATTCTATACAATTAATTTCATTAAAATTAAGAAATCGTTTAAATCAAACAATAGAACAAGTTAAACTAAATGAACCTAATAAATTACGATTAATACAATCAGAATTAAAACAAATTGATATTTTAGATAATCGGTATGATGATGATTAAATTTTAATTTTATTTTTTTCATTTATTATTATAATTATTTAAATATTTTATTTTATTTTATGATATTGTCAACAAATACTTCAATATTTAATTATTGCTGAAAAATTCCCATTATATTAAGAACACAATTATATGAACGAAGAATATTCTTTTCAATGAATTTCTCATCAGGTTCTACAATTATAAATCCAGATTAATAATCCATAAAATTGGTCAGATTTAAGGCAAATTACATCATCATTTGGAAATTGTAATATGTGAATCAGGAATTGTTTGTTATATAAAATAAAATTGTTAATGTTGGGGCTGACTAGTATGAAGTGTTAACTTGAATCAGTTTATAAGCGAAATGAAATTGTGAGATAAATTATCAGAATAAATATGGTCAACATGGGGTAAGAGAGAGAGAATATTGTGATTGCAAATCGGAAATTACGTAATATGTAAAATAATTAAGTCAAATATAGTAGATTCAGGGGTGGATATTGAATAAATCCCTTAAAAAGGGTTATCAAGTGTAAAGACAATAATAACAATAATAATAATAAGTTTGGGACATAAAATGAACATTAATCAGATTACGTCACCATATTTTAAGATTGATTATTAGCTAGTTGGCCAGGGTAAAAGGAGTGGCTGAACATACTTCTTTTGGATACAAAGCTTTGGCTTTTTGATCCGAATAGCAATTGCTTCAGCCGTCTAATAAATTACGATTAATACAATCAGAATTAAAACAAATTGATATTTTAGACAATCGATATGATGATTAAATTTTAATTTTATTTTTTCATTTATTATTATAATTATTTAAATATTTTGTTTTATTTTATGATACTGTCAACAAATACTTCAATAACTAATTGAAAATTTAAGTTATTCCATTGAGTTTTTTATTTGTTTGAAGGTAGAATTTTACTCAGACAATCCTAATCCTCATTACGATAAACAATAATTTTTAATTTAGTTACTTAGAATTTAGAATATAATTTATCTTATTCAATTTTCATAGGATTGATTATTGTTAATGGAGAATTTGTTTCATTAATAAACTAATTATTATTTACATTAAACCGTTTATCTACATAATTGAAATTTAAGAAGATTGTAATATAACGTAAATGAATCAATATAAAACGTTGTATTACATTAAAATCATCGGTAAAGGTAAGGAATTATAATCAGAATAAGGAAATATAGTATAACGGATGAGTAGAATATAAAAGTATTCTTTTTTTAAAACAACATAAAAGGGTAAGTACCCATTTCACCAAGTAATTCTATCCACCAATCTCCTTGCATACTAAGCACACCATAAATTGAATTCAAATCTATCCAGATGTAATATTTTGCATAACTATAGCACTTTGAGCTCATTGGTCTAGAGGTTAAGCGTTCGCGTAAGATACTGAAGGTCCTGGGTTCGAATCCCGCAGGCGAAATCGTAGATCCACACTACTGAGCGGTCCCATACTAGGACGAAATGGCTGTACAGTGTCTTCAGGTTTAGCTCCCAAATGCCCTGGTACGGTCGAGGGTGTGATGAGTCAGCTCTCTCTCTCCCTCTCTCGAAATGCTCTCACATGGCCACGAGTATACAGCTATTGCTACAGAAGTCCTACTCAATGCCTTCTCGTGGCATCACTGTTGTTTACGAAATTGAAAGAACGAAAAGCGAATGTTCGGTGCTTTAACAGGGTTGGTGAATATGGAGGATCCACCTATGGGAGTTTGAAAACCCTGATTCCAAACCAATGGTGCACATGGGCTCAAGTATCCTGCTGAAGGAACAAATGGTGTGTGAACCAATAATTTGTCACTGGCTATCATGGGATTGCATCTTCTGGAGTTGCTCCACTGTTTTGTGGACCAGACGTTTAGGTCAAGGGCTCCTTGTATGGTCTTCTAAGAAAACGAGCAGGTTCTGTCTGGACACCTGGACAGTATCATAGCCTACGCACAAGTCAAGTGATTTGTGTGGTGCATATGTATTCGATGTATCTTTGTACCAATATTTATGTGTTCACATAAATAAATAATAAATAAAAAAACTTCGATTAAATAAATCTCAGTAATATAACACTTACCTAACTTCTACGAATACCGTTTTATTTGTACTCTCAACTTGTCAGTTTTAATTGTTTTTGGTCTTAATAAATTTGTTCATGGATAAATGAACATACTACTGAACTTCATTATATATTTTTTACATCTTCAATTTTAAATAATTTACATTATGTTAATAGGTTTTCCCATAGTTATTCAATGACTGGCAATCTTCTGTTATTATTGGGTTTTTTTTTGATAAATTTTCAAATATTACAATTATTTGTATCCATTCAGTAGTATAATAATTTTTTACAATTTTCACCTATCCAATATATTATTACTATCATTACGTTTTTTTCGACAGACTTGAAACTTTGAAGGATGATGTTCTTTCACGAATTTCACAATTGGATACATCGCAAAATCAGTTGACACAGTATCATAATGATATTAATGAATTTAATATATGGCTTGATGAAGTTGGAAATCAGTTAAATTGTCAAACAACTGCTCATCTACCAGAAAACTATTTAAAGCACAAACTTCAGTCAATTAAAGTAAGCTACTCATTTCATTTTATTCCGCTTTGTTTTTTTTCAAGCTTTGTGTTAATAGATTTACTTTCTCTAGTTTTTTGTTTTTGCTCATATTTCACAATACTCATAGTCTTCAATTCAAGATACATATGATATGTAATGACACATAGTTTAGGGTAATTCACACTACTTTATATTATATTAATTATTCAGACAGATTACTTTGACCAAATTTATTATTGTCTCATAAAATTTAACCAAACTTTTTACCTCTATAACCAGTCTTTATAAGGTAATAAAATCACCAAACCTGATAGAATTCGAAAGTAAGTTAAGTTGTAAGCTTGATTACCAACTTCACTGTTAATTGTCAGACTACATATCGATCCAAACCATTACTTAAACTTCGAAAGTTAAGATTTATTATCACTTAAAATATTCAGAAAAGTGCCTTTTTTCAGCATCTTTATGTAATAAGACTATTTCATTCATGGACTTCAGGTCTTTGGAATTATCTCCAGACAGGGGATCAGTTTTTAAGACGTTCCGATTAATAACTGTTATTTCTAGAATTGCATAGTAAAACTTAATTAGCGAATACTAACTAATACATATTGTTTTTTTCTCCAACTTTTCCTTTCATTACGAATATTGAACATGATTAGATGTTTATACCAAATCGTCAACTACAGTTAGATAATATACAACAATCTATTAATGCTTTATTAACTAAACTTCCTGAAAGTGATGATAATGGTAAATTGATGAAAGAAAATATGAATAAATTGAATAATCGTTGGTCGCAATTACTTCATTTAATAAATACACGTGAAGATGATTTAAAAGCAAGAGAGTCATTTAATAATTCCTATGCACAAGCACGTAATCAAGTACAAGAAATGTTGTTAACTGCTGATGGACGTTTAACTACTTTATCATCACCTATCACTTTAAATTTGAGTTCGATAAAACAACAAATGGACAAATTAAATGAATTATATTCACTCCGAGAGACAATCAAACAACATTTAGATGAAGTCGACCAATTAGGTTCTGCTTATGATACTTTATTACATACACCAAGTGGAATTGATAGGAATTTCGGACGTGGAACAGCTTCATCAAATGATGCTCATATTTCTGCTTCTTCAGGTACTTTGAAAATGTTAATTAAATATTTATACGAATGCTATTTCAGCTTATTTTCATATAATATTTACATCATATGAGTAGTTAAAAAAAATAGTTTGATGTTTTTTCATTTACTGAGTATCTAAGATAAAGTTCAAAATTTAAATCAATAAGGGTTTATCAAATGTTAAACGGAACGCTTAAGGCAAATGAGCAGTACATCTATAGTAATACTTCTTCACATTCATCACGTAACAAATCAAATAATTAAATGTTTTAACTACTGTATAGTTTATTAAGGGAGAGTTATATTAAGATGTTTATAAAGCAAGTCACACATGGAATTATAAATTCCAAGTTTAATTAGATTTCCAATGACTCATAAAAAGATGGGAACATTTATTAAATATAAATTGTAATGATATAATTTCGACTTAGCACTCTCACATAGTTAATTAGGCCACTTTGTGTGTGAGGAGACGCAGTTTTACTTTTTCGGAAAAATAATGAGATCTGGTAATCAAATTTAGTTTTAAATGAAGAATCAAACAGTAGATGTTTTCGAATTTTTTAAGGGCATACTTTATTGATCTAAACAGTGAACTATCAACAGGCGAACTGCAGGCGCTAAGTCACTTCAATCACCAAGCTATTAGGTTAACATAAAATGAAGATAATTTAAAGCTTACCACACTATCATAATCTACAAAATGTTTTCCAGTAAATCTTTGTTGCTTATTTGATATACAAAACTTCCTTACTGGCTAAACCCTGTACTGTACTACCACAATCCCGCCAATTGATGTTTATTCAACAACACAATGATGAGAGTTCTTTAAGTCAAATTTTGAACAGTTGCCTAATGATAATTTTATTTAGTCAATAAGCTCACTATCCTTAACTGTGATATAACTTTAGCTTGTTCTGTGTATTCATCATCACATAATGTGATAGCATCTGCAGAGAAACGAAGGAATTTAGTCACCTTCACAGTTGATGTAAAGAAAAATACGAAAGTTGATAAACATTTTAAAACACTATTCTTATTACTATCATTACAAAGAATCTTTATATAAACTAGTACTTTTTAAAATATTATTTTGGAGTTATATTCGCTAGTATGAGTTTCAGTGTATAATTAATATTGGAATGTTAAGCGTTTAAAGGTGACAGTCTATTAAATCATTTATATCTTAAATCCTTCAGGCATCCAGTTAAAACGATAATAGTTTGTCAAAATGACTATATGTAAATTTGTATCTCATGTTCATCATATCGCATCTCAATAATTAAATTGTAAATCAACTATCGAAAATCATATCCTGATGTATATTTTTAACGTAAAGTTTGTTTCTGTTTGAGAATTTAAATGAATAAGGAATTATCTAATTAAGGAATTAAAATGACCTATTGCGACTTCGATTAGTAAGAATAAATAAATAAAGGATTTCATGATCTATCATTATTGTTTAGTCCGACCAAAGTTACATTGTGTATATACATTCTATGGTAATGCAAATTGAATCGTAATGAAAACAACATTGAGTATAAGCTACTCGGATTCAGTACATTGCTAGGCTTCAGTTAATGGACAAATTTCATCAATATTACATAAGCCATACTGTTTCGTACTTCATTCTATAGTTATTCATAGTTATCTGTCGAGTTCATCTATACAATTTATATGACCCATAATATTGATTGAAAATTTCAATTTTTTAAACATTCACTTTATCCCAACATATATATGTATGTATGTACTATAACTCAACAGCAGTACCACGTGTATCCACTTCTGCTGCCTATAAACAATCAAAAGACAATAAATTCATGAATGTATTAAGTCCAATGGCTAGCAGTGGATCAAGTGGCATCTCCAGTGCCGATCCCATGTGTAATCTACATGGTAAGCTAAGCTTTCCAAGCATTATGCATTAATATATATATGTGTAAACAAATATAAACAAACGAGAGTGTTATTTGCATGTAACAAAATAACAACTAAATATTTTGTGCATGTTTGTCGCTTTGTTTCTGTTTACATTCTACTTCATAACTGATCTTTCAGTTTCATTTTTATTCACTGATCGTCTTTTGCAACAATTTACTTAAAGCGTTAGTTTTTTTTATTTGACTTTAAAGATGTCCATTTTTTAAAACATCTAGAAACAGAGTCATTACATTTTATGTCAAGAACCATAGTACGTCGAATAACTGTTTTAACCTAGCTCCTAGTTCATCAATAGCGTTCAACAACGACCATATACCTAAGTGAACATAGAACCTCCAGTATCGTGATGAATACCATAATTTTCAGACCTTCGAAGTGGAATCCTACGTTCCATGTTTTCTAATTGAGTTGTGAATATACACCGCTGAAATATCCTAAGCTAATCTGTAACATTTGTTCATTTCTCTTTGATTTATCAGTAATGTCAGCTTATTGATTAAAATCATATTCAGGTTATATAAGGCCCTCTGGTGTACATACTGGTTAATAGAGATATTTTTACGTTTCTGATTTTATTCTTTTAAAATCGTACGCATTCCAAACAATAGCCAATCACTACGTAAATTAGATTCAGGGTTTTTAAATCTGAAAATTCTAACGATTAGTAATTTATTGTCAATAAAATATCACATAACATTTAATAACGGCGCCTTAATGCTTGATGTGCTTGATTCCTAATGCATATGATTATTTTGTATATGTGTATATAACATTTTATCAGTTCAAATGTTATTTCTTTTAATTATTGTCAAATATTATATCTCTGATGTGTCTGCCTATTCATGTACATTTCAGCTTTGATTCTGGTGATAAATATGATCTCACTATAGTTTAGTTATTTATTTAAGATTCTCTTAAATATATACCATTGTAAATTTGTTTAAATATCAGTCAGTTATAGTTAATTCTTTTGTATGAAACATTGTCATGATTTCGATATATAACGTCTCATACCTAATCATCATTTTGTTGTTGTTGTTGTTATTATTGTTGTCGATATCATTATCATGGTCATCGATAGACGTTTGTGATATCCATGAATAATTGCATCCTTCTAGTAATCAAATTCCTTTGTTTAAGTAAATCGTTTTATTGTAAAACATGTGTAATGATTGTTAGTAATAGATAAGCACACTTTACTTTGATTGGTTAAAATCTATTGACCGATATGTTAATGATGAATTATTTTGATTATAAATATTTGATTTATATATTTGCTTCCGTATTATTACTTTTAAGCATGATAAAAGATATAACAATTAGCATTAACCTATATTTAAACAGTATCTAACTTGCCTTCAGTTTGTTCTTAGATAAGTCTATCTAAGCTAGATCAACATTAAAAACCGACCGACTCATGATCTTGCGCAACCATCGGATGCCGGCTCAGTGGTCTACAGGTTAGGCGTCTACGCGCGAGACCGAAGGTCTTGGATTCGATTTTCACATACGGGATTGTAGATGCACACTACCGAGAAGTCCTATACCAGGACGAAACAACCATCCAGTGCTTCCAGGTTTTTAACGGTTGTCTAACTTATATCGCTTCATAATTTTAATGAAATTTAACAATCTTCACAATCCATACTGATAATAATAATGAGATAGCATACAAAAACGAGATATGAAAGATTATTCACTTGACGATAATAAAGAAGTCAAAAATATGAAAATAATTCAGGTCCAAATAAGATAAATAAGAGGTTTGAAATATAATTGTCCACTTGAAAAATATAGAAAGATAATGAAGAAAGGCAAACAAATGTTAAAAAATAACTGACAAAATATGGTGGGTTTTTATGACCATGATAAACTATGCGACTGAGCATAAAGATCAGGCATGAATTAATGAATTGCCATAGCCTCAGGCATGTGGAAGTTTTTTATTCGGCTTTCCTTCGAACCTCTTCGTCTTACTTTGCGAATACTGTTGAGTGAAGAATTTGATGTGGATAGATGACTAGAATTTATTAGATGTTGAACAATCAAGCTCTTGACTGATTGGCATTCACCTTTCGATAACTATAGTGAATAGTGCTTGGATATGTCTTTGGAAAGAATACGCATTATACGACAATTGTGACAAACTCCACGAGAGCAAGTAAATTGGTATATTTACGTCGAGGTGACCCAAAGCAACATTTTATCCTTGACACATCTTTGTATCAGGTGTCGGCTGTAAAGCACAATTCGTAGCTCAAATGAATAAGAAAGCCTTTTTCTAAGCATTAGACAGTTGGTTTCGTAAGATTTTTAATGCTGTATCCCTTTCTATATCAATATTCATGAACGAATAATAAAAGGTTTGTTTATCTGAGTTAAAACAACTTCATTATGTTTAATGACCCAATGTATTTCTCACCAGTTTCTTGGCAACAGATAAAGGAGGATGTAATTCGGAAACTTTGTCCCCAAGTTCTTTTGAACATGTATTAATGTGGCTTGAAAATAGTCACTAAGTATGTGAACAGTTCCATCCTTTCTCAATAGGCTGAAAATAAACATACAATTTATAGGATTTGAGAAGTTTTAAATTATATATCGGTTTCCTAAACGTTAACCAAAGGACTTATGATTAGGTAGCTGATATACAGTAGAAGGTACAATAGTCAACTTAAGGAACAAATAATACATTTAATTCATTTCATATCCATTTTAATAAACTACTTGTCTCTCAAGGAATGGAGACACAAGAAATTTAAACTAGGATCTCCTACTTCTACGATAATAATGCATGTTAGATAATCAATTTTTTATACTCATAAACAATGAATATATTTAAGTGTGCAATGATACTTGTATATTAATAGTTCCACACTCTCTCATCGAATTTGCATAAATTTTCTTTAAATAAATAGAGAATATGAGGTAATAAATTCATATTCCACAAAATTTGTTTTACAATAATTAATTCATCATAGTAAGAAAAAATCAAAAGAACTTTGTAACAAGCTTGTTTTAAGAGATGATTTACATCAGAAGGGTTTTTGTGGATATTATAGTAATTTCAATAGTTGAGATCATGAGTCAATTGAAGCTAGACCATCAAGAAGAACCTATTGTGGGTTCGAATCTCGCGAAGCGGAATCGTGGATGCACACTGCTGAGGAGTCCCACAATAGGCCGTTCAGTGCTTCCAGGTTTTCCACGGTGCTCTAGCTTCAATTGACTTATGATCTTAACTAATGAAATATGATTAACAATCGCTTATATATACTAATCAGTTATTCATTTTTCTAATATTTTCTTTAAACGTGACAAACTTTTATTTCCAATGTTTGTTTGTTTTTTTGTTGTTGTTGTCAACATTTACACATAATAAAGAAATTAATGAAGTCAATCGTGAATTAGATGAACTACACGAACGTTATGATCAATTGGGTAATTGTTTAAATGAACGCCGAAATGAATTTAAATCTTTGTTAATAAATTTAAATAATTTTGAAGAGAAACGTTTAGAATTAATAAATTGGCTTGGTGATTATGTAAAAACAGTGAATAATGTTAATAGAAATATTTCTACTGTACAATCTGTAAATCAAGCTGTTAATGAATTAAAAAAGTAAGTTAGTTTTATAAACAATAAAACTGTTTATTATTCATAGTTTTCTTCAACTTAATTGTATATAATTCAATTAGTATTGTTTTACTTGAATCTTCCCATTGATGTTTAGGACTGCAATTGATCAGTCTTTTATTGGCATATGTGCATACTATGCGTATTGCCTCGATATTACCTTAATTTACAAGTATTATAAGCAGAGATGGATAGCGGCTAGCAGTGAAAACCAGGACGCACGTTTCGTCCTATTTGAAACTCGTCAGCTGGATGTACCTGCATCTCAGAGTTGATGTTCACGCTGGTGGAGATTATTGTTTTATTTGCAGTGTATAATATTAATCCGGGTTCTATTCAAAGCTGTACTGTATTCATTATACAATCTATAGCCACCAATTAAAAACACCCAAGAACCAAATAACAAATCATGTGTACTTTTATTTCTTAAACTCATAACTCTGATTGTTATGTTAGTAAAACAGGAAAATATTTCGAATTATTAAACATAGATTTTAATAGATATGCAACCAGTACATTTTTTGACACAGTATGCATAAGTTATAAATATTGTTTTCATTTAGATCATTATCAAGCTTAACTCGAACTGCAACATTACAACGAATGTAACTTGTGAACTGTAAATGATATAGTAAGAGTTAATCAATAAAAATTAGCTTGTAATTTTGAACTATTTAATAGTGCCATGAAACAACTCGTTGCTAAACGGTCATTAAAAAATATACAGACTAGTTTGCGAAAGAATAGTTTCTCAAGCTTTATACTTTTCTTCATCGTTATAGAAGTAGAACCTAGAAAATATGCAATCCTTTTGAGAACTGGTCAAGAGCATACACTTGCTTCATTCTGTACAAGTAGAAACTAGATTTGGTCGTCGTAAACACCAAGCCGTTATCTAGTAGGTTCCTGGCTTACTGTGGTCATATCTTACTAAAAGGGTATTGGTTACTTTTAAAAATTGTGCCTTTCGCTGTTGATCTTCACGGCTTCATTGAGAAGTCTCTATTTGCATATGAAAGTCACGTGGGCATCCTTCATTATTATTGTTTGTACTTATCTGTTGACAAACTATTCTCCTTCCTCTGTGCTCTAACTACATAGAAGATGAACTCAACCTTCAAAAGTGAAACTGCCATCTGATGTTTTTCCATGATAATTTAACTAATGAACGCCGTTAATACGCGTGAATGTTCTCTGTTTCCCAATTTCACTTAGTATTGTATTTCACACACCTTGCTTAAGGTGGAATTAATAAATGCATATTCAGACTTTCACCAGACTATTTTCAAAGCATGTCGGATCTGATAATTAGATATCGTGAGTAATTTTCGTAGTAGATATTTGATGAAAGATAGCTACTGCTAATACAATATAAGTAAGAGATAATTGTATTAATTTTGTTCACCTTATATGTTAATAGTTTCTTCTTCCTTAAATAATTATATTCCCATGAATAATTAAACTGAGACATTTACTAACTACACTGGAATTATTTCTAAATTTTCTATTTAAACTTAAACAAAAATTGAAATACCTCAGCTATTCCATTTGTGTAAAGAACCACCAGATTCTTACTCTATAAACGACGTAGTTAACTACAGAAATTGATGTGTTCTTCCTAACTATTATTTACACCTGCTTGGTTTATTTTAAATCTAGATATCGTGCTCAGTTCAATGAACAAATACCAAAACTTGAAATTGTTCGTCAAAGTTTTACACAAGTTTTACACAATCGTGATCATATGCCAGGTGCTGTAGAATTAAGAAATTCAATGCATTCTCTTGAACAACAATGGAATGAAGCGGTTGTATTAAATGATAAATCACAGCAAGATTTAAACAAGTTACAACGTGATTTAAACGAATTCCATAAACTTGATATTGATCTCACACGAAAACTACAACAAAAAGCGAATCGAATACATAGTGTACATGAAAAATGCCTTGCGGATAATACCATGGGAAGTGAAAGTCATCTGAATCAAGTCAGTTGTATTACTTGTGTATATTTATTATAAATAATATCAAGCGATTAATCCGAAGCTGAATGCCCTATATCTACTACATGTTTCAGAATAAATGACCTGATCAATCTATATTGTTCCTTGCTAAATTATACTGATAGACTGACGAATTCAGTATTTGTCTACCAGTTGACCTACTGCTGTGGAGGTAGTTATGTATGTCGTTCGTCGAGGCCACTCCTTTATCGTATACGGCAGTATCTACCAGTACAGGTTAACAGAGGAAAGGACAAATCAATTGCATCATCTATACTGAACTAGGATATTTGGGTTCGGATTCATCATTTGACATAGTTATTATACTTTAGATCATTCTGTATACATTTCATATTGGTAAAAATCTAACTGATATCCTATGAAGCAGTGAGTAGTTAAAACTCTTCAACAGGAAATTTACTTTACTGCCATCATGGCGAAAATGAGAAATTTCAGATATTTATTAACGATTCTTTGAATTTGAACAGTTACATAACCATATATATACTTGTAATTTCACTTCTGGCTATTGCCATGTGACACTTTAATTTGATCAGTTACATGACTGAACTATTTGTGATGACATAATCTGTAACATTTGGTTTATTAGATCAATAAACAATTAAAGTTACGTTTTCTGGTGTTAAGCCTCTAATTAGTAGGATATTGTTTATTTATAAAACTTGCAACAACAAAAATTGTCTTATTTAACTGGTAATTTCATATTACAATTAACCCCATATTCGATTATATATTCATCTTTATTGTTTCTTTTCATTAGATTTCAACACTTCGTCAAGAATTGGACAATGTTGTTCCAGAATTAAATAAATTTAATCATTTAATACAAAATTTAAAAAAATTAACTCCTGAGTCTTTAATAAATCAATTAGACTTCAATTCTACAAATGAACGTGTTCGAAATGATTTTAATCAATTAGTAAATGAATTGTCAAAATGGGAAAATGAAACAATGAGTAAAATTGAACCTAAAACTAATTATGAACAATTAGTGCAACAATTAGATTCACAATTGAAAACAATTAAAACAAAAATGGAATGGTAAATAAAAAATATTGTCTAGTTTGTTTCCAATTGTCATTAGAATAAATTATATGAAGTTACAAACAAGTTATTTACAAGATACAGTAATAATTGAGATTGTGGGACAGACTTGTTAATAATGTAGAATTTTCATAGTTCAAACTATGAACTGATCTTAGTTAGATCATCATAGAAAACTAGAAACTACTGACCAGCTGTTTTGTCCTAATACAGAACACTTTTACAATTTGTATTCGTGACCCCACCACAAGTGATCGAACCCACGAATTCTGGTCTCCCGGAAATGTTTAATCTCCAGACCACCTAGGCTGAATTCAATTACGTATACGTCTAACTTCACCCAGTTTGAGATACTGCTCTGCTGTCTTATATTGTGATATAAGTCAAGTATACTTTGTACTACGTTCGAAATGTTATCCTTTTGTTAATGTAATTGCTAGACACTTAAACTGAAATCTATAAGTGTAGTGACAAAAAAAATTCAAGTTCTATAAAAAGCTTATTTAACGTTGTCAGTGGTATATTTTAAGGATAAAAAGTTTATAAATAAATAATATATTTGTAATATCTCAATAAGTAGAAAAATTAGATTTTCTGACGTTTCGTGACTTAGTGTAATCCACTTCTTCAGAGAATAACTAACCAAATTAAAATTAGTTCAAGTTTTATACTTGTTCATGATTGATTATTATTTAAAAACAATTAATCATATATTACATTAATTATAATTTTAGCAGTCCAGTGAAAGAACCTGTTGAGAAAACAAATGATTTGAATGAGATAAATAAGAAAATTGAAGAAATAAAACCAGTTTTAGAAAAAGCTGAACAATTATGTACACAATTATGTGAACATTCTATAAATCCAACAGATCAGTATAATATGAGAACGAAAGTAAGTATGATTTTCTTATTTCAAATTATTATTACTTCATATTCAATTGTCTTTTAAAGTAACACATATTCATTTAGTAGACTTTTCAGTATATAAAAATAATTAACTTTATATAGAAATAGCTTATATTAACAATTAGAGCTTACAAATCTTTAGAGATTAACTTTCACTATCTAACCTGGAATATAATAAGATGTATATAAGCTGGTTAACTTTTATGATAATGTCTTTGTCGTCCTCCAAAATTCGAGATCACTCACTTCTACACGAATTTTTATTCAAATTAGCATTGAAATCTTAATCAAAATATACTTAAACTGAAAAGATAATTAATCAAAGATGGATAGTGGTTAGCAGTGAAATCCAGGACGCGCGTTTCGTCCTATTTGGGACTCGTCAGATGAATGTATCTGGATCTCAGAGTTGATGTTCACTCTGGGACTCTAACACAATAACGTTCGCTTCAAATGTCATCGCGTTATCCACTTAGTCACCTTGCATTCACTGCTAGCCACTATCTATCTTTGCTTAAAAAGCTTGTGACTTAAGGCTATATCGAGGCAATACGCACAGTATACAGATATGCCAACATGAAACTGATCAATTACAGTCCTAAATAACAATAGGAATATACAAGTAAAACAACACTAAGTGAATTTGAAAGGATAATTCATTGATAAATAAATACAACATTAAGTGGTATTAAGTTGTACCCTTTAATTTATTACTTAAATTGATTACAAGTTGACATTCAGTTCCCTGTTATTTTCGTCATTTTTTAAAATTTCCTCTAAACAGATATAAAATTCAGTTGAGATTCTGCTGGATGAGTAGTGAACACATATATTCCTAAAGCTTAAAATTTTCAAATGTTAGCGTTTATGTAGAGAATTGTTATTATTTATTCTCAGTTAGAATAACAATGTTAATTTAGATTCTAACACTTCAATATAATAACCTAAACATAGGCTGAGATTTCGCTAATCATTATCAAGTATTGTCAGGAATGTACATTTTTAATTTAGGACATGTACGGCCAACTGTTTACCTATTCATATACTAAACTAAGAGGCTACAACTATTTCTTCGAAGCGTACTGAAATTCGTAAAATCTAAGTCAATGACTGACCAGTTGAAAGTTAAGTGCCTAATTCAATAATGTAAGACTCTAACTATGCAGAAGTTTGTTAACAATATGTTTTATTTGAACATCTTGTCTGATTAATATGCCATATATTTTAATCCTCTAAAACCACTTATCCTCTATGCGTAGTTAAAACGAATAGGTGTCGCCATAGAAATTGGCTATCATAGATACACTTCAGACACTCACACCATAGTTATCTTCAGTGAAAATAAGTATTTGTTTTTCTGTTATTTACGATAGGTAAATATGTATGGAACTCATTTTGTTCAGTATCAAATTATCTATCTTATCTGTAATCAGAAATGATAAGAAGTTATTAGGATTCAATTTATTTTTTTAACGCTTGATTAGATGAGCTGTTTTAAACCAGCTCTACCAGTAACTGTTAAATGAGATCACCATTAATAATTATTCTTGTTTTAAGATGATCGTTCTGTAAATTTATGAATTTCATCTATATCCATTTATATAACTGTGTCAGAGAATGATAGATTTCAAGTTACATTATGAATTGAGAACTTACTGACCTCCTCTTTTTTTGAACACACACACACACATACACATAGAAATGCATTAGACAGCATGGAAACATGTACATTGTAATCAATGAGCTATTTAAAGTACAACCAGAATTCTGATTACTCTCAGCTATAAATTTAAGTACTAATAACATCTGTCTAATTTTGTTGACTGTGATTCTAGCTTTTAGACCTTCAACATTCATATGATCAATTAATAAATGAATATCATAAACGTGAAAATGGGAAGACTGAACATTCACCATCATTGCCCAGCAAATCTGAATTGAGTCCAGTAAATAAACTAGATGAATTAAATCAATGGGTATCAGTGAAGAATAAACAATTACAGAATATATCTCATGATCTGTTAAGTTCCAGTGTATCACATACAAATATACCAGAAACAAAGCAAATTGAAAGTGATTTACAAAACTTAGAAGTAAGTTATTATCATTATTGTCAGTAAAGTTTAACACTTACATTTGTTGTTTCAAACTCAAACATTTGTATTACAGTAATACAAATGTGAAATGATAAGAAAATTGTTTAATGTGAATGTTAGAGAAATTCCAATTTTTACCATCTTACCAAATTTGTGAGAAAAAAGACCTCAAGCTAGAATTTAAAACAAACTATTTCAAATTAGATATGGTTCATTAAAAATAGTCGATGGGAAAAAAATATAATAAATACAACCATTTATATTTTATATTGAACTGGGTCAGCATTCTGATTATGTCAACAACACGGTTTATTTAACAATGAATAGTTAATGATTATGTGCATAACTATTACAAATTGAAACTAACTGGTAAACGGTTATTCCCTCTTTATCTGAAACTCGTTTGGTTATTTGATTCACTTCATACATGAATAAACTCAATAATTTTAAAGTTCACAACACACCATTCAAGTAATGAGTTAGGATACAATAGTTTGAAGCTGCAACAGTGTTTTATGAGATTTTGATGACGTGATTGCAAAATAAACTTGCTAATAGATATGTAGAAATTTCAGATTATTTCTAAACGGAATAAAGATCGTGTATCTTTGAGAAGCTTTGTAGTAGAATATTTCCCTAGATTTTTCTATTCGCTCAACTGGCGTCAACGGCTTTCGAACTTAAAAAGTATCCACAAACTACTTTATCGTTCATCTTTTTCAATAATTTCTTCCTTTCCAATATTACTCTATTTTAATCGTTATCCTTCGTATCATCAATAAAAAATTTCCTATCAATTATAGTCTATAACGGAAGAATTAAAAGTTAAACAAAGAGAATTACAAGATTTAAAAGAAAATAATAAATTAAATTCATCGTCACTTCCAATGGATTCTAAAACTATAGATTTATGCATAAATCAAATGAATTTATTACAAAACGCTGTGACAGCACAACAGCACCAATTAAAATCAAGAACCAATAAAGAATTTCTCTTATCTGACCAGCTGGAACAATT